ATAAGTTCGAATGAACACCAAAAAACATCCAAAAAACAGGCTCTTGAGGAGAAAAGCAGGTTGGTTTGTCCTTGGTCTGAGTTCATAGTTGACCCTATGCCAATCGGCTTTATTTCAATCGCAAGTTTAGTTGCTGTATTCCTTAAGAAACTATTTCAGTAATGTATGGCTTCGTCTCACACTTCCTTGTCGCATCAGACTGAACGATTCCCTGGAAGTTGCCTTCGCTGACAACCACGGTCTGACTTTGACCTGCCATAGGTCAGCAACCTTAATAGATACATCTTCGGAGCAAGAACATCCGCTCCTTAATCGCCTACACCTATGCAAAGTTTGCATGGCTCCGCCATGCCGTTCGGGAATTATTTTGTAAAACGCTCGCCCTACCCGGGCGCGTGATAACGACGTGCCTATACTCGCATGGCGAAAAAGTCCACCATCCGCTACCAACAGCAGTCACAAGGGCGTCGAGAAAAACAATACAAACAACATCGCAAGACCTGGCACCTATCGGCTCGCTGCTAAGCGGAAAGTTCGATGAGAACTGATAATACATGTTAGAAACAAGCTTCAGGAGGGGGGGGGGGGCAACTTGCTCCCCAGAAGGTTTTTTTCCGGAATTGTTTCCGAACGGTGCGGCGCGGCCGCGCCAAACTTTGTACGGATGCGGTTGCTTGGTATGCAAAATTCAGATGTACCTTGTAAGGTCGCTGACCTATGGCTGGCCAGAGTCAGGCCATTGGTTCAGTGAAGACAAGTTTTAGGCAATCGCTCAATCTGATACAACAAAGAAGTGTTAGACAAAGCCATGCATTTCTGAGATAGTTTCTTAGGAAACACAACTGAATGAACAAATTCCATTGACCTAGGGTCAGGTATGGTCAGACCGAGGCCGACACCAACCCGTTTTATTGCTCTAAATCTTGCTCTAGGGGGAAATTTGTGGTGCTCGTTTCGAATTTGTTGATAACCGGAACCGTATGATGTATTTTCAATGGACTTCTTTCACGTCAGAGTAGGTCACTGACATAACATGATCCAGTTCAATTTTGTTAATATACTGTCTAGCGTAATCTTTGACGCTTATTCCACTGCAAAACTCAAAGCGGTCTTACATAATTTTAGACAAGGTGACCTTCCAAAGGTTAAACAAGGTTACTTACCTTAAATGAGCACTAAATTGACCTTTGCTTAAAACAGACATTTAGGTTCTGGATGTACTTTTAAGACACACCTGGAATTTTACCATGTTTGGACTACTTTGACTCAAAGATCATGACCAAGGAGCAACAGATTTCCACACACCTGAGTTCACGTACGGGCCAATACATCTTGTGAATTTGGTGTATTCAGCTTCCTTACTTTTTGATGTCTCAGAGGCGCCAAATGCCCCCCCCCCCCCTCTCTCTCTCGAGCGAAGGCTCTTCAACCGGCCACCCGGGTTCGTGTTAACTGAAGCAGTCGTGACACCACGGCTTCCAAATGCCTGACCTGGTTTTCATTGTCGATGGCAATGACGAGCGCCGTGCGACCCAGAGGGTCAGTGCAGTTGATGTTGATCTTGTTGTTCAGCTTGGTCCTCTCCAGATCACTGAGGGAGTGCCCGGTACGTCGGTCAGACACCGCGGATCATTCTTCCTGCTGATTGGTTTTGAGGTAGGTAGGTTAGTTCTTACGCTAACGCCCTTCTTGGCAAAGGTAATAATGATCTAATAAAGGTCTATCGCGTTCGCCGAAATGACATACATGGTTTCCTCTTTCTGTTTTCTTGTCATGTATTCCGTCAGATCCGCTACCCGCTTACTTTTTGGGTATGGCGTACCTATATACCATAAGAAAGACAGTGTATTTGTCTGTATTTGCTGTGGCTGTCATAAAAGCCAAATGCCAGCCTGACTTATTGTACCAGCATCGGATGCGAAGATTGCAGTGTTTCGTACAAGATCCCCGCATTTGGTTTCGATATTGTCTCACATGCCAATATGAGCAGTCGTCATGCAGCTCAGCCCTCCACACCACGGGCAAATGTCTTGTGATTACGACTATTGATCTTCACCACTAGCGTTCAAGGAAAAACAGAACCGCGTACAAGTAGTCATGCTCCCATTATAGAACAAAACCGACCGTGCCTTACAGGTCAATGCGTTGAACCTTCAGCAGATGAACCAACATCGTTTATCTCTATTATGGCCTGAAAACAGCGTTAACCATTCACGCGTCCAAACTTCTCGGTTCATGCAGGGCATAATCGGAGGTGAGGAGGTGAGTTCAGGAGGTGAGAACGACCAGGGCCGTGGCGGCGACCTCGACCGCCGGTCGGCACTACCGGTTGTGACCGGTAGGCGGCAGGCCACTCACTGGGCGACGGAGGCGACATCTCCACGTTCGGCGAACAGCAGGAAGCGTTTCTCCTCAGAGGAGAGCTCGTGGTCGATGACGGGGTCGAGGCCGTCCTCGGGGGTCTGCGGTCGAGTCTCGCCCGACTCCTCGCCTAGCTCCGGGTCCCCCATGGCGCCGCAGGCTGCCGGCGTTCGGACACCGGCCAACTTTGTCATTACTAGTCAGGGATGCTGCAGCCGGCGCAAGCTGCCTACGGGGATGGCTTAACGAACGTTGCACAGCGCCGCGGGCTACACACAGCGCTCACGTCTACAAATGCACCGGGCACGCTGCGCACATCTTCCGCGCAAGGCGAGCCTGGTTCCGGCAGCCTTGAGACACGTCTCCGTCAGCCATAAGGTTTGTGCGGAATGGCTTCAGTCGCAATGATCATATTTCCACGCTCAGAGGCATCAGCCTGGTATGGTGCGCTGAATATATGGAAACGTGTTCCAGTGCCACGCCGATACCGGCTATACGCGAACGGACGCGTCGTTAGCTTTGCCTGCTTTTGTTGATCGCCGCAAAACCAAAAATCGATTCGGGCCATGAGCTTGTTATCACGTTGGCTGCTACAGGGTAGGCGTATATGGATTATTTAAGAGGCAACCACTGATGAGACGGCACAAAGTCACCAGATATAAGCTCCGATGAGTTTGGAGCCCGGAGACCCTCGGCCGGTACGATCTGCGTACAAATCTGGGGCTAGCAGAACCAATCGCTACACAAGTGACCTGTACAGTCAGACCCGACGGATATGCACGCAGAATCGAGAGGCAGTCGGCAGGTGCAAGGGTGCACAGGGAGGAGAAATTGCTCGCCATTTGGGAGACACTCAGGGCTAGGAATTTGCTATCTGGGAGGCATCTAGTTCTGAGAGTCTGCCATTTAGGACGTGTTCAGAGTTGAGGGTCTGCTATTTGAGGGGGGGGGGGGGGGGTATCCAGAAAGTCTGCTATTTGGAAGGCATCCAGATCTGAGAGTCCATTATTTGGAAGGCATTCAGTGCTGAGAGTCTACTTTTTGGGAGGCATTTAATGCTGGGAGTCTGCTACTTGGGAAGCATTCAGTGCTAAAAGCCTGTTATCTGGGAGGCTTTCAGAACCGATTCTGCTACCTTGGAGGCATCCAGAGCTGAAAGTTTGCTATTTGGGGGCATGCGAAGCTGAGAGTCTGCTCGCAGCACTGCGGTCAGATCTCTGCATTACCAATGCTGCGCAGCCCACAGTCTCTGAAGTCCGTCGCAGCGCCCCACGCCTAAAAGTCTCCTGAGGTGAACGTGACCAGCTTTGATCCCGCCAGCTCCGCGGCGGACCCCTGCCACCAGCGGCTAACCTGCACGGGGAGGAGCGTGGGCCGCCGCGCACCGCTCGCCGCCCTCGCTGCGCCTCCGCCCCGGACGACCGGCCGGCGTCGGTCTGCGGCGCTGGCCGGCCTCGGCACACCAGGGAAGCCCGATGGCCACTTCAGGGGCTTCCGGCCTTGGAGGGCTGTCAGGGACTGCGCACTCGCCGCCGATCGATCGAGCCGGTCACGGACAGGTTCACCGTGTGACGCTCCTTATGAGGAGGTGGGGAGTTTTATTAAGATGGCCGCTGAGGGTGATCACACTAGCTAAAGCTAGCGTGGCGCACGGTCAAGGGTATTTGCAGTGGCGTGCTGATTCAAAAGTTTCGTCAACGATTACGACGTTGCAAGGCGCGTGTTGCACCAAAGGTGACTTTCCTTCTCTTAAACCCTCTGCGATTATCGACGTCATAACTGCGCCTGCCAAGTAACAAAATAAACGAGAACACCATCTATGTGCTAATGGTATCTGACGCCAGCACGAGTAGCCAAGCTAGAGGTACACACAAACTGGCATTGCAGTGCTATGAGCAGTGTCCGTATCGTCCGGTCCTTGAATCTGACTTGGCGACCATTCGGGGGACCTCATGTCATTGTTCTCATCGCTGTCTTCCTCTCTGAGCACCAGGCCTGACGCCGTCCCGTCCCTGGTCAGGCGTTATGCCGCCGACCCGACGCGGCCTGTGAGCGCGGCCATCCCCGGCTGACGGCCGGCGGCGCGGGCCATGTCCGGCCGGCCGGCCGCTGTCACCCGGCACCGGTCAGGGGTCGGCCACCGGGCAGGGGGCGCCGCTGCCAACTTGGCAGCGCCGCTGATCGGGACACGCGCCGAACGCTGACGGACGAGTCGGGTTGGTGTCGCCGGATCCGCAGGCTGACATCGCCGGCGGCCGGCACAGCGTAACAGCGACGCCTCTACACGAGGCCTGAGCAGCGTCCTAAATAATGACTGTCCAGGTATATATATATATATATATATATATATATATATATATATATATATATATATGCATACAGAACCTCAACTCATGTTTTGTGCATATATAAATTATGCACAAAACAAGTCTGAAGGGAAGCTGCAAGCGTGAAATATCAGGAAACGTCTTTAGATTACCTTTTATGTTTCTAGCTTGGATCCGCTGCAGTCCTCCAGAAAATGGATCTTGTTTCACTCGCACCGGTTGTAAGCTACACAGCCGCATTTTGCGCAGTGCTTCATTTCGGGACATGATTTGGAACCGAAGGCGTAATACTTATTGCATTTTATGGTGTGATTACATTCTTGATATATTCTGACAAACCCGGTATTCAGTGGCATTATTCCAACAGCAATAAAACAGCACAAACACACAATTATCACTTGCGGGAAGCCGATGCACATTCCTCTATTCAGGCGGGCTTTGTCCGAAGCCGGCCAGGCGGCGGGAGGCCCAGTCTGTTGCGAGATTACACGGCCATGCAGGTCGGACGAACGTCACAGCAAGCACCGCGGCACACACCGCCGCGCAAACGAGTTCGATCAGGCCGCATCTCGAGCCCCTGACGCGTCGAGACTGACGGTGTCTCCCACACCGAGAGACAGATGCTGAGATAACGGAGAGACGGAGCCGAGACTGGCGGTGTCTCCCACACCGAGAGACAGATGCTGAGACAACAGAGAGACGGAGCCGAGACTGGCGGTGTCTCCCACACCGAGAGACAGATGCTGAGATATCAGAGAGACAGAGCCGAGACTGACGGTGTCTCCCACACCGAGAGACAGATGCTGAGATATCAGAGAGACAGAGCCGAGACTGACGGTGTTTCCCAGACAGAGAGACAGATGCTGAGATATCAGAGAGACAGAGCCGAGACTGACGGTGTTTCCCAGACAGAGAGACAGATGCTGAGATATCAGAGAGACAGAGCCGAGACTGACGGTGTTTCCCAGACAGAGAGACAGATGCTGAGATAACGGAGAGACAGAGCCGAGACTGGCGGTGTCTCCCAGACCAGGAGACAGATGCTGAGACAACAGAGAGACAGAGCCGAGACTGGCGGTGTCTCCCAGACCGGGAGACAGATGCTGAGACAACAGAGAGACAGAGCCGAGACTGGCAGTGTCTCCCAGACCGGGAGACAGATGCTGAGACAACAGAGAGACAGAGCCGAGACTGGCGGTGTCTCCTAGACCGAGAGGCCGACACTGCGGCAGACTGACAGCGACACACATTGAGAGACATGGGGCTCTGAGTTGACGTGTTGTCACAGTGCCACGGCCACGCCCATAAAACGGACGTGGCCGCGGCTATGTGCACGCGTGCGCCGTAAGTCCTCAACAGGTATGTTTGTGTCCTCCATGCACGCCGCGCACGCCGAGCACGCCGTACAGTCTACAACAGGTGTGTTCGTGCCCTCCAGAGTTATCTGCTGATAAGCTGTGTCACAAAGAACTTGGCCGTGCTTGTGTCCCGCAGGGCTGTTTGTCGCGTGTTGGGTCACGCAAGCATTTGGACGGTGTGATTTGACAGGTGTGCTACGATGCAAGAACATTCAGCAATGTGTTGTGATGCAAGAACATTCAGCACTGTGTTGTGATGCAAGAACATTCAACACTGTGTTGTGACGCAAGAACATTCAGCACTGTATTGTGATGCAAGAACATTCAACACCGCGTTGTGATGCCAGAACATTCGGCACTGTATTGTGATGCAAGAACGCTCAGCACCGTGTAGTGATACAACATCATTCAGCACTCTGTTGTGATGCAAGAACATTCAGCACCGTGTTGTGATGCAAGAACATTCGGCATTGTGTTGTGGTATAAGAACATTTAGCACTGCGATGTGATGCAAGAACCTTCAGCACCGTGTTGTGATGCAAGAACATCCGGCATTGTGTTGTGGTATAAGAACATTCAACACTGTGCTGTGATGCAGAAACATTCAGCAGTGCAATGTGAGGACATTCAGCACCATGTTGTGACGCATCACCCACTCGCACAGTGGGCTGGTTGAGTGAATATTTGTTTGGCGCATCATGTCGCACAGAGCACATGCGTTACGTTACCCAAGCCATTTAGCCGCGTGTTGTGTCGCATAGAACCTTGTGTTAACATAAGGTTAAAGTTTCTTGGGGCACGAAGGTCTTCGGTCGATTTCCTCGGGGTTGTATCGCGTGAGCTGCTCCGTCCTCAGAGCACTGAAAGCCAGGATGCGTATAAATGACCCCGGAACAGGTGTCTCAGCCGGTGGGTTGTGTCGCGTGTGGAGGATAGGGCACATGCGCCGTGCCTCGCGGGACGTTTGTCCGACACCAAAGCATTCAGCGGAGCATTCAGCACGCCGCCGCGGAAATCTCACGGAAGATGTGGTTGTGTCGCGTCACGCAGTCTTCAGAGCGCGCGCTGCACCGTGCACAGTCTCAGTTCGGTGTGTTGTGTCGCCTGCCGTTGCAAGCGCGGGCGTAAACGTGAGATGGCTTGGAGCATGATGCAGTTGACTTGCAACGTCTCCTGACATAACACGGCGCGGTCAGTCTCGCCCCCGTCGTCGGCCTGGCCGCGGCAGCTCAGGGCGTGGTGTAAAGCAGCTCGGTGACCAGCCCGTGGCACTGCTCCATGTCCGCGAAGCAGATGTCGCGGCCCTTCTCGATGGCCGCCGACAGGAAGTAGAAGCGCAGCAGGCCGTCGTCGCTGCGCGCGCGGCTCGGCCCGCTCTGGCCGCCCCAGATGTTGAAGTCGCCGGCCGTGTACTTCCAGCGGTCTACCGTGACGGCCACCTTGTAGCAGCAGCCGCCCTCGATCGCCACCGGCTGGTGAAACAGCACGCGCATGTCGGCCGGCTGCGCGCCCACGCCGTCGCCGCTGACGCGGTGGTACTGCGAGAACATGTCCGTCCACTGTACGCGCTCGAACGGGCCTTGCACGCGCACGGTCAGCCCCAACTCCAGCTGACTGAAGATGTAGCCCAGATGCACGCCCACCAGCTGCAGGTCGGCGTCGGCACGGAAGCGCAGCTCGTGCACGCTGTCCATGTCGTCGCGACAAAGCTTGTACCCGGCTCGGTAGCGCAGGCAACGGCCGTAGGGCAGCACGCGCCGCCGGCCCGGCTCCATGAGCGTGCGGCACGCCGACTGGTTGTCGTGCAGGTCGATGTTGCGCGGAATCTCGATGCCGCGCGTCATGAAGAAGCTGACCAGCTCCTGCGGCCCCACCAGGCCGGAGGGCAGCACCGTCTTGATGAAGTCGCTCTCGTCGATGCGATCCATTTTGACGAAGGGCAGCAGGTCGGCGACGGTGTGGCGCAGTACTGACGGATCGCCACGCGCCGGCCGCAGCTGGTGCTCTCCCCACCGCTTCACCGCCAGGAACACCACCAGCTCGTCGCCGGCGTCGAACGTCTCCCGGTCCAAGATGGTAGCCACCATGTCCTTGGAGAGGCTGCTGAAGTCGGCGGTGGTGATGATGCGCGCCGCGTACTGGTCCACATAGCTCCAGCAGAGCTGCGTCAGCGGCTGGTTCTGCACCTCGCGACAGAAGTCGAGGAAGAAGAAGAGGTTGGCGCAGGTGAGCGGCGTGAAGCGGTAGCTTTCCACGGCGCTGGTGACGAACTGGGAGATGTAGCGCACCAGCTCGCTGCACTGGAACGCCTGCGCGATGTGGAAGATGTCGCGGGCCCGTTCCACCGATGCGATGATGCACTCGCCGGTGTAGATGAACCTGAAGCGGACAGCGACCAACGTTGACGTGATTTATTGACCTTGAAAAGGGATTTGATCACGGCAGGTACAACTGTGAGTTAGAACGTAAGCTTACCCACCCGTGACTCTGCTGAAATATGTGTCGTTGCATTGACTAGAATATGTTTAGTTTTATCAAATTCAATGGAACTTTTATGATAGTTTGTCTCCCTCTCAGCTATGACCGAGAAGATTAACAAGTTGAAAAAAATACAACGATGTTGTTGAAGAGCGTTCGGTTCGTATCGCCTCTCTTATCTGCTCGTCAATCAGCGAGAATCTCGATCGTTCCAGTGCGAAGTATTTGGGCGAAACGTCACGAAATGTGATCGGAGAACGCACATAGCCTCTGTTGCTAGCTCTGTAATCACGAAGGCATCGGAAACCACCCCAGCTGTTATTGGTATACTCATATGAAGATGTACTATTTTCGTCCGTGATGATAAAACATGATAACACATACTACTTTCGAAGTCTTTGTGGTTTACAAGAATGAAAACGATCTGTGCTTGACAGCAAGATAGAAAAGGAAAGCGGCATTCTGACTGCATCTCCTCCTCTACAAGGAATAATACAAATGTCCATGAAGCAAATAAACCAGCTTGTTGCTTCTCTAAAGCGTTAAAGAAGACTAATCGCAATTCTCACAGCTCACCCGGTCATAAAATGTTAATCTAACGTTTGCATTTCTTATCCAGAAAAGAGACAAAATAATCTACGACAAAATCGCTACTATTTGGCTGGCAAGTTCGCAAGAGGCGGACATCATCTGAGCGGATGGGCTGCAAGCGTGAACAATTCCATCTCTCCCCACCCAAGAATATTTGACAATCCTTCCTCCACTACTCGCCATCTCAACACCACTGAAGCCCTCACCCCTCCCCCCCCCTCCCTTCGTACGACACACGCAAATCATGCAAAACGTTAAACATTCAGGCAACTGCTGGGATGAGCAGCCTGAAAAACTCACTCGATCATGAGCTTGAACGTGCCGGGGTTCCACTTGCGGATGATCACGGGCTGACCGCTGAAGTCTCCGGTGTATAGCGTCTTCTGAAAGACCGGGCTAGCCATCGCGAGGACCAGCCGGTGTGCCTGCACCACCAGGTCGGGCCCCACCGACTCCGGCTCAGATTCCGACTCGGAGGGCTCGGAGGGCTCGGAGTCGCTGAGTGAAGAGACGGAGGAAAGGCGGCGGCCGGTGTCGTTGCCGTTGTTGTTGCCGTTGCTGTTGCCGTTGCCGTTGTTGTTGTCGTTATCGCTGGAAGGGTTGGCAGGAGGGCCGATCGCACTTTCCGATAATGTCGGCTGCCAGGCTACCTGTGGATCAGTCAGGTCAGGCCGGGTCAGGTCAGAGACCCGTCCATATCTAACAGAGAGGGCGTACTGCGGTAAGCTCGGAAAACCAGGCGGAAATCTATCGGTGAAGTCCCAGGACAAGTACGCTGAGTGTAATCAACCCGTTCAAAATGTCAGAATCACTATCACTCGAAGATATTATGCTGCCTTACCGTCTATAGCTGGATGGGAATAAAGACGCCAAATATTCCGATCGGCCGGGCTCGTGTAACACCCAGCTGACTGGTGATCCCGCGGAGATGAGTGGTACCGGCAGGGCCAGTCGGGGTCTCCGGACCAGCAGAAACCGGCGCGGGCCGACAGCCAGCAGGCAAACGACTCGTCGTGGAACAAGAACACTCGTGGTTGGGGGGGTTATACTTATGTCGCATTGCTTTCTCACGAGGGCTACTGCTGAACAGGGCCTATTTTAGAGTAAGTGTTGAGAAATGGTGTTCCTTCGTTTCAAGGAAGGCATTAATTAACACGCGCACGGGCAGCTGGTTGAATACATTTCGCTAGGGTGGGGATCAGTTTGACTCTCTAAGATCTCAAAAAGTCAGAAAATTAGAACTCCGAAATCGCAGGATTGATTGGGCTGCATGTTAAGTCATTTGCGTCAGAAATTGATATTCCTACGTAATGGCTTTCAGGTAAAATAAGGTAAAACCGGGTTTAACTCCAGATTCGTGTCCAAAATGCCTTCAGACCTCCGTATGCAACTGCCTTGGACCTAAATACCCATTCTAAGCAGGAGGTTATTGGTATTCATCTAAGTTCATTGACGTCTTTGACCTTTAGAAGGTCACGGTGACTAAAATCGTACGAGCTTGTTTTGGTTTTTGCATTCTAATAAACGTCAAGGATAAGGCTAGGCGGTATGTTCCTAGAAAAAAATGTGGCCCGGGCAATATAAGGTCAGTGACCCACTTTGGCTTTTATGGAAGTCCATGGAAGATCCCGTCACGGTCTTTGCTAATAACGAATTCGAAATTAACATCAGTAACTGTCCCATACAGCAAAATCCCGGATTAAAAAGCGGGTTGATTTTGACCTTAGTTCGTCCTTCATACCTGGCATTAGGGCAATGCAATTTATTTGAATCCTAAATTTAATTGCTGTATTGCCTCACTTCATAGAGATGCCTGGCTTCGTCTAACACTCCGTTGTCGCATCAAACGATTTCCTAGAAATATCCTTCGCTGACAGCCATGATCTGACTTTGACATGCCATGGGTCAGCGACCTTACAAGGTACGAATATTTTTATACCAAAAGATGCGCTAGCCAATTGCCTATAATTACTGGTCTGGAACAGCATCAGCTGCAGCTATTGGTTTTTGGTGAAGTTTTGGCGCCGCTACGCTGCGCCGCTCAGAAATTATTCTGTAAAAGCCGTCGTGGGAGCTAAATCAACCCCAGCCGAGCGTATGCTGAGACGCAGATGCTCACATTTAAAAAAGCTGTGTGCTATTTTCCGGCTTAATAATTTTGTTTACGACCAAGTGCCTCGGCACAGATATATGCCCTTCGCACTCTCTGAAACAGGTCAAATGCCTTGTTGGGCGTGAGCTGCCGGAAATGCAGCGCCTTCACTGAGGGAGGAGTGTATTTCGCTGTTTACTGGCGGATATATTTAGAGCGCGGATATGGGTTACATAGCACTTAGTTTTACCTTATCTACCCTAACTTTGTGCTGGCAACTGAACAGAAAAAATACAGTACATACTCGATACATTGCCTCACCACGAGCACTTGATTTGGCAAAATCAGGTTTCTCCCAACTTTGGCGGGAGAGTCTGTAAGCCACAGTCCAGGCCGCTTGGCTACACCAATGAGTGATGTAACGGATCTTGGGTCAGCCGGTCGCGGCGGCCCGACGACCTCGGGACAGACACGGTAGGTCCGGAAAGGCCGACACTCGACAGCGCACGCCGACCGACAGGCTCCGGCCGACGCCGCGGGCTATTTTCGCCGCAGCACCGAGCCGTTATTGCGGCTGACAGCTCGACCGCGCACGACAGGATCACTTACAACGGTCCGGCAGCCGAGGGCAGCTGACCGGGGCCCAACGCAACAGTCCGGCAGCCGAGGGCAGCTGACAGCCAGCTGAGGGCAGCCAACGGCAAGGGCTGACCGGAGCCCAGCGCGCGCCGCGGCTGCGGCGCCCCGCCCCGGGCATAGCACATCATTCAAGTTATCTGGCGAGACTGTATTCGCCAGGTAGTTGAGAACAGTGTGTTCATGTTCAGACAGAACCGATGTCATAAGAAGAAAAGGACGGAAAGCTAAAATGAGGACCATGCAAGGAGTGCGAGTTCAATGACGTCAGTATGAAAGCATGACTATATACATTCATCAGTATGAAATCCATATGAAAGTTGTGAGCATTGGGAATGAATGGTGGACTTAACAGTGTTGGTTGGGGCCTCATTTGTATAGCGGGTAAATGGGAAAAGATTGATATAATTGACTGCATTGAAGCGTCATGGATAAAACGGCAATATCACAAAGGAAGATGCAACAAAGAAAAATGGTGAAATCAGCTCTGCCTAAGAATATACCTAGCACTGCTTAACTGTTTAGGGCCCAGCGCTTCCATACAGTGGCACAGGGCTGGGATCCAGGCTCTTCGTGTACGCAAATGCACGGAGGCAGCTGGAGGCATGGTATGCATGCAACCAGTTGCACAATCGCCGTGGAGCTTTACTTTGACCTGCTTCTGAACTAACTGTTTCATTTATGGGGAAGTAATGACGGGTTGAGCCGCGGCACCAGCCGGGGGTCGGCGGCTCTCTTTTGTTGCCAGTCAAGGGTCGTGACGTTTTTTGCCAGAGCCTAGTCGGCGGTGCCCGAACAGGAATGGTCGTGCTGTGTCACTAGCCCCATGGCAATAGGTGGGCCCGTGCACATTTAGCAGTCACGGTCATGATACGTACCTCAGCTTTGTGCTATAATGCTTCGAGAACTTTTCGTTGCAAAGTCGCTACATATAAATAAACAAGAAGCCAAGCTTTGTTAGTGCCACGACGGCCGAACAGTCCAACAGAATCTGAGACAGCCTTGCGATCATCATTATCAGCAGTTTGGATAAGGCGGAGTAATATGCTTTTCATGCACCTCCCCGGCACATAGCCATGACGAATATTAAATATATAATTTGAGGACATTCTTCCTGCTCAATCACACACATCGATTACCAGTCTAACAAGCGTGATAACGTAAGGAAGGTAATTATGCAACTCTTTTGCAGCCCTAGGGTTCTTCTTGCCGTTTTCAAGGGCTGTAACAGGCATTGTGAGCACAAATCACCACGGACGGTTTCACAAATGATACGGGTGGCACAAAAAATTACCTCATTAGCTTGACATGGTTGCCAAGCCTTCGCGACCTGTGACGTCGTTAGCAATTTCTTCACAAGTGTCCTCGTTTTATGGCGCTCACTTCAAGTCTGGGCAGTGCCGTGCGCCGAATACCGCTCATCCCTCAAATGAGCGGTGAATAAAGAGAGCACTCAGAATCGGATCTCTGATGCTGCTGCCTGTGACATCCCTAACGTCGCGAGCACGAAAATAAAAGGGCTGCATAACCTCGCATTGGTACTGTCATACCGTTCCCTCTAAGTCGCAATACGCCATCGTCACAAGCCAAGCATTAACTAAGGTCTACTGGAAATCTACGTAAACTGTTTTTACCGAAGATCACCTTTTCTAGCGAGGACCAAGCTGAACAAAGCTAACAAAATAAACAGACGATGCACTGAAAGAAACGTCAGAAGCAATTTATTTGGCCTCATGTATTTTTCGTGGCTATGTGTTAGCTTGATGGGCCTGCACTCTAATTGTTTCTGAAAAAACATGACGTAAAATATCTGGAGTTACGTGGCAAAATTGAATTCACAAAGCCCACTTCCATGCTCAATCTGATTTTAGTAAGTTCAGTTAATGTCAAAAATTCGTGCTATAACATATGAACCGGAAAACCTTAATGCACTGCAATTCAGCTTTATCGGCTAATTAATTATCTATTCTCCCATATTTAACGAACAACGGGCGATAGGGTTGTGGCAGGTTGCATATACTCACACAGTAGACCAAGTAAATGACTCATTTGTAAGGCAACGGACTTAACGAAACCGCGAAGCGAGCGGAGACATCGAAAGTTGAGAACTTTCAGATTACTTCTTAAGTACGATGGTACACCTATAATGGCATGCTATGCAACGTCCAAATTACGTTTAGTCAGACTTTTATTTTTTTTTCTCTTTAGCCAGACTTTTAGCCAGAGATCTCTGCCATAGATTGCACCCGGGCACAAAGTCCGGGATCTCACGGTCCAAAGTGGAATGCTCCTATTAATTACGGCGGCCATGTAGTCAGACCGTGTTTGACATGCTTTCATGACCGGATTTGCGCCACTTTTGGGATTTCCCCCTGTTTTCACATTTCCCGTGTTCTCGTCAATAGTTCTTGAGAGCCGGCCGCAGGCTCAAACCATGCATGAGTGAACGTCATAGGTATGAATGTAAGAGCAAGCAATGCAATTTAGAACACGTAGACTCCTTGGCAGCTCTAAAGGCTCAAGACATTGGTTTTGAAAGAGAATGTTTTGTTTATTGGTGTTATTGGAAAAATAAAGAGATGGCTGCAAAGTCTCGGAACTTCCAAATTTGGAGGAAAACGTCTGGTCAGTGGGTGCTGTGTGCGAAATAGAAAGCATTATTCAATCAGCATGTCTCATTTATGTGCCATGTGTTGATTTAAGCCATGGCGCTGCTATCGGAAGCAGGATACTTATATATATATATATATATATATATATATATATATATATCTATATCTATATCTATATCTATCTATCTATCTATCTATCTATCTATCTATCTATCTATCTATCTATCTATCTATCTATCTATCTATCTATCTATCTATCTATCTATCTATCTATTTATTTATCTATCTATCTATCTATCTATTTATCTATCTATTTATCTATCTATCTATCTATCTATCTATCTATCTATATATACATATATATATATATATATATATATATATATATATATATAGATAGAGAGAGAGAGAGAGAGAGAGAGGAGAGAGAGAGAGAGATATTTATATATATATATATATATATAGATATATATATATATATATATATATATATATATGTGTGTGTGTGTGTGTGTGTGTGTGTGTGTGTGTGTGTGTGTGTGTGGTGTGTGTGTGTGTGGTGTGTGTGTGTGTGTGTGGTGTGTGTGTGTGTGTGTGTGTGTGTGTGTGGTGTGTGTGTGTGTGTGTGTGTGTGTGTGTGTGTGTGTGTGTGTGTGTGTGTGTGTGTGTGTGTGTGTGTGTATACATTTGGAGGATATCTTGAGCATGCTGAGGCATGTTCAGGATATCCTCCAAATAGAACGTTATCATTAAAATAACTATGTTATCATCAGGGGATAGCAGGAAGAGTTGTATCAGTATTTGTTATGAGTTCCCGCCTGCCGCTACTACTGAAGATAGGACTACGCTTCTGATATCTGTAGACAAATCTAACCTTCAGCTCCATGCGTGGCAGTAAAGTTTTGAAGGCCATGTGTGGGTCTTTTGGCGATACCTCCTGGACATTGGTCTTTTGGCGTTGCCTCCTGGGCATTGGTCTTTTGGCATTACCTCCTGGACATTGATCTTTTGGCGTTGCCTCCTGGACATTGGTCTTTTGGCGTTGCCTGCTGGACAACCCGCCACTGCGAGCAGGGAACTACTTGCAGCGTTAGAGGTGCGCACAATGCATACACACAAGATGTGCACGGAATAATCATGACATGGAATTTCTTGCCGTCTCTGCAGGAACAAAAAAATCTGAGCATCCATGAGAGCAGCATGCGTTATGCGCGGGAGTCATGTCGGCCCTCTCGCCGCTCAAGCCATCCATCAACTCGTTCTCAGCGTCGTCCAGCACGGTCTCAACGGACGGCCTCAACGCCGTCACGCCGCAGCCCTGAGGATGCTCGTCTCCTCCAGGCGCGCAGACGTTCATCGGACTCCAGCGGCGTCAGCCGGCGATCACTCGAACATTTACTGACTCCAAGAATCCATCTTGTTGATTCGGTCATCGCCATGGACAGGTGAAACAGGATTATTGTAGGAAGAACAACATCTGTTTTGTCTGCGGTGTTTTCGGCCACTATTTGCGAGATTGTCCGCAGGACCACGATCGGGCCCACGACTGCCGCCCCAGGAACGTTAGCCGCTATTGGCAGGGTCACCAGCTTGACCGTGGCTTCATGCCGCAAGTTTGCCAAATTGCTGTCCTTCGGCGCGGAAGCTCAGGCAGTGGCCTACAGATTGCTTCTTGAGCCCATGATGCTGGAGAAGGAGGGACGCAAGGTGACAATGCCACTTCGGCTCCATTTTTTTGACTTGAAAATAACGAGATCAGGCTCACTTGTGCCCTGCCAGCACAGCGACTCCAAGACTAATGAAATGCGATACCGGGCCCGCACCCACGAGATGACCCAGGCCGCGAAAGACACCTTTTGCACTGCGCTGAGATAGCGGCCAGAGGCCACATCCCATGGGCAGGCATGAGATGGTAGGGTAGATGAGAGGGTAACCACGGGCTTGAAGTAAGGAGTTTGCGACGTTAAATGATGGCAAATCTTCTATCAATACAGACAAACAGGATGTTATTGCACTTTTAGACTAACTGGGATATGCACTTCTCCCAGGACAAAATGCCGCCGATGGTAACTACCAGCATCTTCACGGGCGGCTAGATGGTTAATATGAAGTTAAAGATGTCAAGATGAAAGAAGAATATTTATTCCGGGCCTGGCGTGTCCGGTTGATGCTGGCCGGCTCTTTGGAGTTGTCCTCTCTTTGACTGTTGATGTCGTGCAGGGTGGTCCATATCGTGACTGATGGTGGGACATCATCCACATCCATCATATCGGGACTGATGATGGGACATCATCCCGGCGCTGCCGCCAGCCATGGTGGCCTCCCGGAGTGGTGGCGCGTTAAGGTTCGACTTGACTAAGGTGGCAAAGCGGATAGTGTTTGCCTTTTTGCGCTTTTTTACGTTATTGTTGCGTTTCTTCACGGTTGCATCTTCGTTTTTATCGTTCAACATGCGGAGAAAGAGAGAGAGAGAGAGAGAGAGAGAGAGAGAGAGAGAGAGAGAGAGAGAGAGAGAGAGAAGGGAGAGAGAGGAGAGAGAGAGAGAGGAGAGGAGAGAGAGAGAGAGAGAGAGAGAGAGAGAGAGAGAGGAGAGACAGAGAGAAAGAGAGAGGGGGGGAGAGAGGGGAAGAGAGTGAGAGGGAGAGAGAGGGAGAGAGAGAGGGAGGGGAGAATGATTCTTTATAAATGTATAATGATGACCATCATCATTATGATGGCCGTGGTGACGGTCAGGATTCTGCCGCGGCACGCCGCGATCACGTCATATGATCTGGGAATTGGCCAATAGAAAACGCTTACATTGTCAGACGTGTGCCTGACTCAGGACTTTACTGCTCACTCCTCGTCCGGGTTGCCGTCGTGCGGTGCACTCACCGGTTCGTACAGGTGGAAGGTCACGTCCACCAGCATGCGGTTCTCGTACAGGTAGAGCAGCTTGTCGCGGATCGGCACCGACGCCGGCCTCCAGTCGTCGCCGACGATTGCCGACGGCGCGGCGATGCTGCACCGCGACCGGGTGCGAACCCTGCCGCAGCAGTGGGGTGCAGGTCAGAGCTCTGGGAGCGGAGCTGGGGTCAGGCTGCTACCCTGACGCACGTGTGGCATATGGTCCCCAACTGCAAAAATGTGGGGAATTACTTTTCACCTTGAGAGCAATTTTTGGGTACACAACACTCATGAGGCAAAGAGTGTTATGTTATATTTATGAAGATCCGCTTAGTACCTCAAAAGAGACCCGTTGGCTCCGTTTTTTGCTCATGACGAATTTAATGTCTCCAAGAAACATTTTCTGCGCACTTTTCCGCCTTAACATGGCTATGACACCCACACAACTATTTTCCCACATCCGATACTTTCGGAAGGACGTCAAAACCGTGGATGAGCATGAAGGGAAGTCGAACCGGGTTGACGACGTTCTTGAAGGCGGCGCGGCAGTGATCAATGGAGCGTTCTCTCACAGAATGTAGGAATCCCCCTCTCCCCTGCAGATAGCAGGGAGGACACATTGTAGCCTGTAGTAGCCATGCTGTGACTATATAATTCAATCCTGTTGCAACCGTGTATTTTAACCATGTTGTAACCGATGTAGCCCGTAATAACAATGTTTTAGTGACATGCAACTTGCAAAGTTATATTGCTGGTTTGATTCTTAGTGCATTGATATACATTGTGTGTTTTGAGCGTGTGATTATCATGCAGAACTTTTATAATACAACATCATCGGCCCGCCGCGCAAGGTCCGCGTAATCGTTGGTTGACGCCCGCCGCCCGCACCGGCCGTGGATCGCAGTAGTGTTCCTAAAAAACGGTGCTTCTCGGTAGGCAAAAACCCCAGAAGAAGGCTTTTGATGTCAAAGCACATGCAATGAACGCATCACGGGTTATCAAAACTTTGAGAGGCGTTCTACACATTTTACATTTCAGCGCATCAATTGCGCCAGAATGAAAAAGCGAAATACGCTTGCGCTAATTTTGCCATGATAAATTTCAAGATCACCTCATGGCCGATTTCATTCATTTGCGAACAAATTCCTAAATTTCTATTTTGTAGACTGTCGATTCAAGATGTAAAAAGAAACATCTCGCGCGTGGTGGCCCCTTCCCTACCTTGATCCCACGACAACAAACGAAAAAGACCCCTGTGGGGGAATAGCATGGAGCGACGTTTTCCGTAGAGTGACACCCCGGTCCGCATCAGTGTTAGCATGCTTGCAGAACGTTTCATGCTTCAACCGAAAATTTGTCAAAATATCCTGTCCAGGATTTCAGTTGTGAGATGCTGCAGTACGACATAGGCAACGAGGCAGCAGGTTAGTTGTCTATACCAAGAGTATAGTTTTCTACTCAGTTATCCCGACTTGGGTTCCAGGGCCGTAACGTTGAGAAGAGAGTGGGACAAATCCGTGAATAAACCTGTTTTCAGCGTATTTTGGAATACGTTTCGGCCTTTTTCGTTGCTCAGTCCCCTCTTCTTCTTCCCTGCAAACATCTTTTTTTTTAACTGCTCCCTCGTACGCGACGTGATGTTTCCTGAATGTATTGCACAGTGGCAAACCAGGATTTTGATGTCAGCACTGTTTGCCTTCGGCGGCTTTTTGCGAAAACCGTCATTGAGATGGGCTTTAAGCGAATGCGCATATTGACCGCTTTAAGGTAAGGACTGCTGTGAGAAACTTTTCAATTTTTTGTAAAGCTTTCACCGTATACATGTCCAAACCACAAAGCGCTTATGAGCAATTTTCGGCAAGAAATGCTCTGCGCAGATTTGAAAACATGTTTCTAAGTGGTGCATGCTTATAAATTTGCACTTTGCTCGTTGTAAGCAAGATAACGGTTGTACGAGCAATTATGATGTCAGGTGTCCTCGTGCCGATTCTTTAAAACCTTTCAAAAAGATGCGGTCGTATGCCCGGTGCAGACTCCTATGTCCTGGCCGAGTCCCGGCTCACAGGCATGCAATTACTCATGGAGCTCACACACCTAAAAATGGCTTGCGATTAGCAATCGTCGAATCAAGTGATCATTAAAACCCGCCTCGCTTCACTCAGCGCCGACGGAAACAAAACTTGTGCGGCGAGCTGAATCGGCGGCCTTTCCTGGACAAGTAATGGTGTTTTGCACGGGGGCGCTGTGACCGAAACTAAAAAAGAAAACGAAATTGGGGTAGGTTGTATCATTTGGAGAAATGGCTTGCCAAACCTCATAACTGGGTCAATCAATGTAGCTGGATGTTTACCCACACATAGGAACGTATTTTCATCGTATATAGCAGTACCTCCACCAATGTTGGCGCACCCCTCCCACCGTACTTAAAACTGTGTTTGTTCGCTGAAAATCGCCAGCCAGAGATCGCCATCTGAAACCCAAGTAGCTGAACGGATCAGCGAAGCAATACATTTTACACGCGTAGTCATAAAATACGCGAACGTTTGCAAGGTTAAGCTTAAAATCTCCGGAGTATCGGCTTACTCACATCATTCAAGGCTAACACCATCCTGCTCTCCCACAACCAAAAATACATGCTGCCGCTCATGCCTGCCATAGAAGAACGCTTTCGACGCCCAAAGGTGGCCTTTAGGGGAACGCCCTTACTTTCCGATCGGAAAAGGAACGTACCTCCAGTGCCCTCCTCATTCTGGTTTCTTCCTCGCATGACTACCATGCTGCTTTAAAGACATACTATATGAAATATATGCAAACATTAAAAATATTGGGTTGCCTATCGTCAACTAAAAATTGGGCTAGGTCCGTCATGGAAAATGGGACAGGGCATATGTCTGAGGGTCGTCGGACCCTCAACTGGGCCACCAACCATTTTAGCAAAATCGACACCCTATTTGCTTCTGTGAGTTTCCCTGAGACACTGGCAACATATGTAGGTCTCCAGGCGATCAAAAAAGTCGCGAGCTAAAGTGGAAGGCTCACAAGCAGACAACAGTAAGGCTTCGCTGACAGAGGGGGTGGTAAGTGGGAAGATTTCAGCGCTCATTACGCTGTTCAGAGGCTCTACACTGTTGTCGAGGCCCCTATATGTCCGGTTGAAGGGTCAATCTGATAGCTAAGGAGCCTTCCACGCTCCCATTAATTTATGTGCATTTGCTCAGAAGGCCCTACGTTGATAAGATACTCAGATAAGACCCTAGCTGTGGCTGGCGTCTTATCTGCTTGCATGTCGGGGCACTTTTGTCGATCAGGCGCCCTCCACGGAGTCTTCCCATTCGCCCGAAAACCTCTTCTGCGCAATAGCCGGGCCCCAAAGATTAAACTGCCGGATTGCTCTCGGTTGCTCAGAGGCCTTTCACGATGGACTCGGGTGCTTTTCATGTGCTCGGAGGATCCCGCGCTCGTGCTGGGGCCATATCAGTTAGTGCGCCGAGACACTCGTTGCTCAGGGACGCTCTATATTAATCTAGGGCTTATTCCCTTTCATCCCATTTGCGGAGGACCCTTCACTCTTGTCGGGGCCCTTTCTGTTAACCTATCCGGGCACTCTTGATCGCACAGGGACCCGCTGCAAAGGTCTTGGGCTCCCCATATTTGCTCGGAGGTCCCCAGACTGTTGTGCGAGGGCCCATACGTGCATCTACCAAGGCTCTCTCGATCGCTCCAGGGCATCAGTTCATGTACGAAGACCGTCATTCTCATTTACTCAGAGAGCCCTGTGCTCGGGCTGGGTTCCTATATGTGAACCCGCTGGGGCACTCTCGATCGTGCAGGGGCCACCAAATTGGTCTTCGATTCTTCTTTTTTGCTCTGAGGGCTCTACAGTGGTGACGAGAACCTCTTTGTTGGCCTACCGCGACATCCTCAATCGCCCATGTGCCATCTCTTTTGGTTTGGGGCTTTCTCATTTTATTGGAGCGCTTACGCCGTTGACGGCAATCTGACTGTGCTTCAGTCGGGACACCCTTGATCGCTTCTGGACCCACCACATTGGTTGTGAGCTTTTCCAATGAAGTCAGAAGGATCTTACCTTTTTGTGCCAGTGCCGGAGTGTTTCACCTGCTTTTGTGTATGGGCCTGGCTGGACCAATCCATACACACAGTTCCGATATTTATACCATGACGATATCCCTAAGTGACAGCCTTCGAGCAGCCATCGGATATGCGCCGTAAACATTTACGCGCGATAGCCGAACATAACTGTACGCAACACCGGTGTCGTGTACGTCATTTCTGTTGGTCATGGAATCTGACACGTAGCATGTCTGTGCATTGTGTTATAAATAACTCTGACACACATTTTGAACGCTAGGATACTTTGCACTTCTTCATGAGGTGAAAGCGAAAACCCTCCATTCATTATCAGCCATCAACGGATTACATTGAGCAGCCGGCTGGCCACCGGAGGCCGTCCTAGCCGTAATTAACCTTGGAGTCAAGTGCCGAGCCTGACTTCGGTGGCATTTAGCAGCCAGATTTAGTCAATTTTCCATATATTCACCCCATATATTCAGCCTTAAAATGACAGGATCCACCGGGCCTGGAGAACATCGGCATTATCCATTTATACACATACGACTCGCGCCTGGCCTCCTTAGGCTGCGCACAGGATGGGCTCTCGTATAAGAAAAGCATGCATGGGCATCCTACAATTCAATGGCCAGAATATAAGGATCTTTATTAATTTGGAGGGACAAGCTCTAGGGGACACAATGTTGCATGCCCTCCCGTCCTTGACGACATTCTGGATCCGCCACTGCCCCGAGATATGGTCCGCATCAGCCGGTACTGATCACCAATAACAGCCGCCGCCGCCGCTGCTTACCGAGAATGATGGCGGCGACGGGCTGTGCGCCTGCACAGTAGGCTGACCCGCCGTGTACAGCCGCGCTGGCACAGTAAGCTGACCCACCGTACGCAGCCGCGCTCGTACAATAGGCTGACCCACCGTACACAGCCGCGCTCGTACAATAGGCTGACACCCCGTACACAGCCGCGCTCGTACAGTAGGCTGACCCACCGCACACAGCCGCGCTCGCACGGTAGGCTGACCCACCGTACATAGCCGCGCTCGTACAGTAGGCTGACCCACCGTACACAGCCGCGCTCGTACAGTAGGCTGACCCACCGTACACAGCAGCGCTCGTACAGTAGGCTGACCCACCGTACACAGCCGCGCTCGTACAGTAGGCTGACCCACCGCACACAGCCGCGCTCGTACAGTAGGCTGACCCACCGCACACAGCCGCGCTCGTACAGTAGGCTGACCCACCGCACACAGCCGCGCTCGTACAGTGAGCTGACCTACCGTACACAGCCGCGCTCGCACAGCAGGCTGACCTACCGTACGCAGCCGGCGGCACAACCCAACATTCGCACCGGTCCACTCTGCGCTGAACGGCCGGGCGTTCCACAGGCAACTGTGCAACCTTGTACGGTCACTGCCACATATATTTTCAACGTCAATGAGAAATCGAAAACATTACGAGATACGTAGCCTTTTTTTGTTAGCGACTCCTAGCACCTTATGATTTTGCATGAAGTTTTAGATGCCTACAATCAGGCCACTGTAAAATACAGATAAATAACCGTTTTTACGATCCATGAACACAATGCAAGTTCTTGTAAAGTTTTCAAAATGTGTTTAGGTTTTAATGTACATCAAGCACGTTGGTGAGTTGTTTTTCCATGCAGTTTCATTGCCATTCAATAGCTAAACCACGTTTATTTGACTTAGAATGAGCTTGCTACGCGATGTGGGACTATTTATTGGCATTTGTTTGTTCAGTTCATGTCTTAAGTTCCATATATTATGATACGACGCCTGCCAACGGTGCGGATCGGTCCAGAGCGCTTGCCGCGCCATTATGGTTTACTTTGGTGTCACGGCGGGCTTTGAAGATCATTTGATTTAAAGATCATTTATCGTATATTATGTTTCGGTATGTAGACTCTGTAAGGTAAATGTGATTGGGCCAATTTTTTCACTAACCCCATGACGTGTACTTATAGCCCAATAAACGGAATCTACAAGTGAGCTTATTTAATCCCCACCCAGGACTCACCATCCACTTCAGCATTTACAGCAGCCGATGATAACACAACGGTATCCGTGTTCGCAATCTTCATACGATTAAATGCGCAGCACGTGTATCACCATGCATGCCGCTTTGGTCCACGAGCAGGTTGACATGCTATTGCTTCGGGTTACCGGCTCTTGCGCGGTGACATCCGGCATTTTGTGTGCGGCACATCCGGCATGACAGCAAGGATTTCAAACGTTTCAAAAGTGGAAACGTTCTGCGCTCCACTAGGGCTAAGAACCATATGTATTCAACACTGACGTTCTGTGCCAGGCCGGGCAACTGCAGGTGTTTTTGCTACGATGCTTAGTTCATGTTGCGTTGTTCAGTCATACATTGTTCGCAATTGCACGCAGCTGTTGTGGTCTCCGCCAAAGGGAGGCGTAAATGTCGTCCGGCTCCTTCTTCTAGGTTTCACCTACCACCAGCATGTTGTGCCCCGCGTTCGAACGGAAGTCGGCCCAACATCCATGCGTGCGTTTCGAATGCGCCGGCATCTTAACCGGAAGATTGGCGGATAACGTCGACTCTCCCACCAAAGTGATGAGTCGTGTTCATCGGAGCAGACGTGGCAGCTGACGAACGCCGTCGAGCAAACCTCTGCGACCCCGGGGTCTGTGTCATCGGGGTCATCTGGGTCGGGGTCTGCTCTGTGGAGCTAGAGAATGACCGGGACTTCAGCTGTGATGCATGGGGAATGCTGCCAGTGTTTTAGTTTCACAGTGTGGCACATCATACGGCAGATTGGATGATGGTCTGCTTTTGACTGATGGGGAATGTTGACAGTGACTTGACCTCCAAACATAGCATAACATATTGCAGATGAGTTCACTGATGAGGCACGGTCCAGCCTCTCGCTCGGATCTTAAGCAGGATCTGAAAATCCTCCATACGCTGTTTCGTCTACAGTTCCGCATGCTTCATATCTGCTTTTGAAACTGCATTTCTTAATTGTATGTTTTTTTACACGTGCTCCGAACATTAGACTACCACAACTAATGAAACTTCCCGGAACGGACCTACAGTGGCGTGCTTCGAGAATCTTAAGATGACTCACCACATTCAAGGTAGAAACGCTAATTTCCTTCCCATTGTTTTCAGCTGATGTGTTGGCATTGCCAGCAGACGCGTGTTCCGATAACATACGGCGGTGCCACTGTTCCAGAGTCCGAGACACATGAGCAATGAAAATATCGCCACTCTGCTGGCTATTCTGCTGGTTTGGAAACTGGTTTGCAAACATTTATTCGCCTGCCATTCCCCTTGCAGCTCAAGGATATTTGGTTACGGCATGCTGTTTATCCCAACCTTCCTCAAGTTTGTGCAACAAAAATCTGCCATTCCCTGTGCACGTAAGAATATTTGGTCATGGCATCATTGTTGTTAAGCCAAACGTACATAAGCTCGTGCCCCCAAAAAAGTTTCAAATCTTGCATAAAGAAGTAGATGTGCGAATGTTTTTTTGTTCTCCCTTGCATTAGTTTTTCACCCCCTTGCGTTAGTCCTAACTTTTCAACAAAAAAAGATGACAGTAATAAATATCGGCGTTCTCAGTAAATTGCGTCGACTGATCATGTCCTGTTTTACCGGCATTCGTCCACTGGTATTTTGATTACACGCTTTGTTATACATGCGTTGAAAGCGCGTATGATATTTAATGCATCAAAATGCGTCATATTTAGAGAATTTGCATATCAACGTCCGCTGCCCTTTTCGCTCGCGACACTGCTCTTGCAAACGATTCGCATTTACGCGTTGCAAAATAGGCACACAATAACAAAAAACCGACGTGACTTAAAGGCAATACGTACATTGTCACCGCATTCTGAGATCCTGTGTTTCAAGGAGTGAACTATTCTGTCCCTATCTCCTGGCATCAACCACGCATCGCCGACGATAGGCGCCTAACTAGGTCCCAAGGGGCCACAAATGAATGGCTGAGTGACCTCCAGCCATCGCATTTAGTGGGCAGTTCGTTCCCACACGGATGCCGGGCGAGCTGCATCCTCAGCTTGTTGCCACGGTCCAGAGCGCCGGCCGCAGACGTCATTCCCGAGCAGTAATTAGTCCCTGGAGGTACAGGCCGTGCATTGAGCCTGCAGTGCGCGGCACTGCGCCTCGTCCCTTGATTTCTTACAGGTGACGGGAACCAATCCTGCCGACATCAATGGGCATCACGACCCTCCCAAGCAAAGGCTGTCCGATAAATGACGACCCTCCCGATCTGCAGCATCGCAGCCGGCGCAACACGCCCCTTCCGCGCTGTCAATGCCTCGGGGGACGACACGCGGCGCGAGTTGACCACTTCACCCCGCCGCGCAGGGGTCCTCAATCTTTGTGGACCGCGGCGGCGCGGGCGGCGCCCGCCTTACCGTTCGTAGCCCACTGCGAGCCGATCGGCGGTGCCCTCCGCCGCACCATTGTCCATCGCGACTGACGGCCGGCGGCTGGCCCGCCGCCGAGACACTCACCGCATTGTGACGCCGCCCGACCCCGGCTGGTCTCGGCCGAGCGCGCGCCGAGACCGGCGGCCCTGTCGGCGCCCGGGGCGGCGGCGGCCGAGTGTCGACAGCCGGCCCCGGCCGCCCGTCTGGCGTCTGACCCGCCTGGTCAGCAGTCCACCGCCCCGCTGACACGGCACAGCCGCCGCCCCCGCCCCGGACCGACCCACGATCTGCCCCCCCCCCCCCCCACACCCTGCGCCTCACGCCCCAGTAAAACAACGGTGCGTCTCCGAATCCGTGTTTCGTACGTCCAGGATCGCAGAATTTTAAGCAACAACTCCAAAGTTTGTACGCTGTAACACAACTCGCTCGCACGAAGAACAGGGTGGAGGCTCTACAGCTACGCCATGCCAATCATCGCACCGATAAAAATACTCCCACGGAAAGGTGTGCACAACTGGATGGCCGCGTGCCAGCGCCGCCGCAGCAGCGGGGCCGGCCGTCGGTGCCGGCGGAGCCCCGCGGCTTCGGCAGCGAGCTGGCAGCGGGCGGCAGCGTGCCGGGGCCCGGCCGGCGACAGGGGCACACGCGACGCGCACATCACTTCTTCGAGCGCGTCGAGCGGGTGCTCTTGGTCGACGACGCCTGCCGGTCACGACGCAGAGGTCAGTCGGCGTCGGCCGGCGCTCGCCCTGGCGTGCCCCGCCTCCTCTCGCCCGCCCTCTGGCACGGCCCGAGGGTGCCGAGGAGCCACCTTCAGACACGTCACCTCAACATCGCCGACGACGAGGCGGAGGCGCCGGTCACCTACGTCACTGCTGATCCATCTGGCGCCATGCAGAACGCGCGAAACACGAATATCCCGTGCTTTTTCACGTGTGTGTAGCTGACCAGGTGCCGTATGTTTCCACACTAACGCTGATGCATACAAACACTGAGGTTACAATCAGTGAATGTCATACTGAAGAAGCTAGCTAAGCCAGTTAAGAAGATAATTTTCACTGATTTGGCTTGAATGGTAACAGGAAATGACGTCTCAAGAAATCGTCCCTACAACGGTCAGTAGATCCGTCGTGAATCGAAAATAATCGAAAGGTCTTAGAGCGAAGTGATCCACCCTGTGAGAGGTGTCAGTGTGTCTGACAGCGATGGGTTGTCTTGTAATGGGTATTCGTAACACAATTAATATGTTTCGTGCACCCTAGTGACTCACCAGTCGTCTTGTGACGAGTGTCAGCGATTCGCCGAGTCGTCTTGTACGAAAAGTGACTCACCAAGTCGTCTTGTGAGCATGTCAGCTACACATAGTTGTTTTGTAAGGAGTGTCAGTGACTCGCCAAGCCGTCTTGTTTGGAGGTTAGTGACTCACCAAATCGTCTTGTATGAAGGTCAATGGCTCACCGATGCGCCTTGTGAGGAGTGTCAGTGACTCACCACGTCGCCTGGTATGGATCGTTATTGACTCACCGAGTCGTCTAGTCAGGAGTGTCAGCGACTCATCCAGCCGTCTTGTGAGGGGTGTAAGTGACTCATTGAGTCATCTTGTGAGGAGCGTCAGTGTCTCACCGAGTCGTCTTGTAAGGAGTGTCAGTGACTCACCGAGTCATCTTGTGAGGAGTGCCAGTGGCTCAGAGTTGTTTTGTGATGAGTGTCAGTGGCTCACCGAGTCGTCTTGTGAGGAGTTTCAGTGACTCACCGAGTCGTCTTGTGAGGAGTGCCGCGCCGACTTGCGGCTGGGTTCGCCCGGCTCCGTCTTGACGACGGCGGCCGGCGCGGTCTTCCGCTTGCCAGCCCTGGAGGTCGGCTCCGCCTCTGTCTCAGTCGACCCCTGCTTCTGACTGCCGTTCACTGGCCTGGAACTGAAAGGCGGCGGGCGTTAGGAGCAGAACGAAACAGGAAACTGAACATGCATGATGTGGGAGTGCTGATGTCACTGTATGAACTGGCAGGGCGCAGTCCTGTCGAAAGCAGATGCGTGAATTTGTAACGCCCACGATATTTGGTCCGATCAACGACGCAAAATGGGCTTACAGCCCATTTTGCGTCGTTGATGAGACCAAATTAGTCATAAGCAGCCAGTGTCACGGAAAATTATGGTTTGCCACGCGAAAACGGCTACAATGGCTGCATCAAACGTAAAGTGTAAACGCTGCGCAAAGAGCTGCCTTAACAGTGCAGCTGTCTCATACATTTTTAATAATTGTTAAAACTGCCGCGGCGCTGAGCGTTCCACCGTTCTCATTAGCAAAACAGAGACACCGCAAAAACAAAACAAAACAGTGGCAGCGAAGCGGCGAATAAGCAGCATGAAATAAGTACAGCTTGAGAGGCTGTCATGTTCGTTGATAAGGGACTGGAGCAAGAATCCACCGGAGGGGAGTGAGGCCGCGGGACGAGGAGCCGATATCACTGGCGGTGCGATCGCTCACATACTGCCCCGATCTTTTTCGACGAACTCGTGAGCGCTCATATGAAGGCAAACGCCAAAACGATTTGTTCCACTTGGCCCCAGGATTGACGAAGGCACTAATCCAACACCCAGTCACTGCTCAGCGAGCCCTCCCGACAGGAAGTTCATCCGAGTACCGAACCCCCCGTCCTGCGCCAGCTCATGACTCCGCCACAGCCCCGGACAGCACGGGCACTACGCGGACCCTGGTGACCCCTCCCACGGACCCCGAGTCAGCACTCACCCCGAGTCGGTCTCCTGCTCGGCCGCCTTCTCGGCGCCCCTGGTGCGCGTGCTCCGCGACGACGTTCGCTGATTGGTCCGCGCCGCCTCCTCCTCGGCCGTCGGTTGGTCGGCGCGGCCGCGGCTCGACCGCTGCGTTGGCGAGCCGGTCGGCGACGCGCCCTTCGGCGCCTTCTTGAAGTAGCTGTCCGGCCGGACGCGCCACACAAGGGTCAGAAGGTCGCCGACAGGCGCGCAAGGGACACCGCAAAGTGAACATCCCCGAGCTAGCGCGAACGACAATGCCCACAGAATGGTGGCTGCGAGGTGACGCATGACGCCCTGAAGCGGGCCTTGATGAGCGGGAACGCACGGCAGGCTGATCTGAAACACGCAACACACCGACCCGGTTGTCTTGCGGCTGATACACCCCAGTGTTCTTACTTGGTGATTTTCTCCTGTTTGGAGGGACTGTCGGCGACGGAGGAGCGCTCCGAAGCCGAGACGTCCGCACCGCCGGCGCTGTCCACCGCTGCCCGACATTGACACACGCCGTCAACACACGGGAACGGCACGGGGGATAAACACACTTAACAGGACCCGCGTGAGGGCTGGGCGGCACGAACCTCGCCGAGAGCACTGAAACTATAACACGTGCGCCATCATAAAGCAGGCACGTACCAACGCGTAATCAACCAGACGCCGGAGCCGCGAGTGACACGGCCACGCCCGCTCAACCAGCGGACTGAGCACAACAGCCAACGACAGAAGACCACCAACAGCCCCACGGTGCCTTTCACCGCCTCCCCACAGCAGCGCCACCCCGACCCCGACCCTGCTCCGGGGACCAGCCGGCGCGTGCACTCACAGTCGTCGTTGCGGTCGCGCTCGTGCGTGGCGCGGCGGCTGTAGGTGGCCGGTGGGTCGCGGATCAGCCGCTGGCTGCTGGCGGTGGCCGCCGGCGCCGCCTCCTCGTCAGACTCGGCGGCGGCGCCCTGCCGGCACCGCGGCACGGTCGTCAGCGCACCCGCCGAGGCCGCGGCGCTGGGAGGAGCACCCCTCCCCCTTCCCTGCACAGCGGGCATCCGAGGCTGGCTTCCACGGCCGGGTGGCAGGCGGCGCGGCGCGAGGACACCAAGTGTCAAGTACCACGAGTGATCTCCCATCGTGCAGCTCTCAGTTCCGTCGCACCAGCCAGGTCAAATACCCATCAGCGGAGGTCAGCGCCGCTTACGTTGGCACCCAGCTCTGTACAACGCAGAGGACCGTCCGTCAGAGGGCGTTGGGCAGCGAACGGGAGTGGAACGGCCACTGACCTCGGCCGGGACTGACACCGCTCCACCGGCCTCCTGCACGATCACAGTCAGCTCCTTGGGCCCGTCGGCCTTGGAAGCGCGAATCTGCTGCGCCAGCTGGATGCGCTTGTTGATCATGGAGTGGCTGTAGGTGCTGGAGATAATGCCGCCGCGCTTGCCCAGGTGCTGCATCTCGATCGGCAGGTACAACTTGCCTGTCGTCGGATGTGGAAAGGTCAGTCGGCTCAACTCTTAACGAAGCGTTCGCCGCAGCACGGTCTATACAGCGACCTTTGAACGCAACACGTAGTGAAGAGCTGTGTCCGCTACGCCATAAAACCGGGACCATCCTGGCTACAGACGAAGAATGCTGCGCGGCTCAATGAAGCGTTGATATCACTAATGAACGCACGAGCCGCGAACGTCACTAGCGTTGACGATCTAGTTGGCGGAGCTGCCACCATATCAACCAATGCGAGAGGCCGGCGGGGAAACTGATCTGAACAGGCGACTGTCGCACTCGCTGCGCACGCCGCCACGGAGACCGGGCCGCTGTCGGCGCGCGGCGGGCACTGCGGCGACAGTCGCGTTCCGACGCGGCCCGCGCCACTGCCGGACGGCCAGCGCACGCACCGTTGACGAAGTTGGGGTCGGCCGGCTTTCGGAAGTACATGGGCGGGATGCGCGGCTCGGATGGGAACTCGCGCATCTCGAAGTTGGTCGTCTTGGTGAGCAGCAGCCCCATGGCCAGGTCACAGACGGCCCACAGTTTCTGTCGGCGGGGGGGGGGGGGCGGTCAGCGCGGTCATCCGACCCGGGCCGGCACGGGCAGGTTTCTCCCGATGGCGGCTGCTGGTCTGTTCCGTCGCTCGTCCGACGCACGCAAGCCACCGTTGCTCGCTATGCCGGATATTGACATCCGCTTGAGGAGTCATTCGTGTAGTAATGCTGGGACGAGGCCAGCGTACAGCCAGCCACGCATGGTCCCGAAACGGTATGGAAACACGCAGAGATAGGTGGCAGCACTCAATCATTACCGGATATGAGAAACGCCTGGACGACTGACTCAGAATAGTCTTTATGTTACTTGCAGTACCTAGATGTTATGGTCAACGCACTTAATGGCGGCCACGTTGTTCCGAGGCAATAAAGAGGTTGTAGACATCCCACCTGGTTTGCTGCCTCTTCCTCGCTCCGAACGGCGTCCAGGTGGTTTTTCATCCGCTCCACCAGAGCCTTGTAGAAGCCGAAGCAGTAGTTGTCGTTCTTCGTGATCAGTGGCTCCAGAATGAACCTAGCAAGACAGTCCAGAGGTTTAGCAAATGAAGCAATGAAACACTAACATGTTTAAACCTCCAAATCACGACGGGGGTGCTCACGTGTTTTAGACAACACTCCAGACGCAAAGGTTTCACACGACGGCAAAGCGTCAGCAGCTGATCAGAATGGGAGACGACATCGAATCCCGCTAGTGAGGATCCCGCGCTTCTCACAAAGGACACCGGTGCCATACTCTCTCATAAGAAATAGCAGACGATGTGGCACCTCTCATCAGACTGCAGCAGAAAAAAAGCCTCGCCAAAAATACACGCATCCGATAAGCCACGCCGATAAAGGGCCTGTTGCCAGACAGCTGGACCGAATCCCAATCGCCCTACCAGAGGCAACAAAAGACAAAGTATCTCATCTCACACAGCAGGTCTCACTCGAGGCCGGCCGGCGCCGGGCCGCGGCCACTCACCAGAGACAGGAGCGGATCTTGGTGAGGTATTCGACGTCCTCGTACGAGGTGAAGTCGGGGTCGTGCGCCAGGATCGGCACGGCAAACACCAGCATGTAGTCGGGCATGATGTGAGGCAGCTGGTCAGCCGCCCGCTCCGCTGCAGGCGAGAGGCGCCGTCAGCAGGCACCACCCCTCACCCAGCGGGAGCGAGCCGACCAAGCTCGCCGGAGCCGAGCCGTCAGCCGAGCGATCCGCCTCCTCCCCGAGACGGCGAAGCGAGTTGGCCGGGCTCGTCCGCGCGGGGATTGGCCCAGCGCGCTAGCGATCAACTATCAGACTGTTTGTCGCCGCAGGCCGTCTGCGGCAACTCGCAGATACAATACGTAGCACGGGGAGTTCGCTCGAGTCAGGGTCAAGGCAGATTTCAACGAGGCCTCATGTACAGCCATAGAGATATGGCGTGCCGGAGGACAACACGACGGTGTTTGGTCTGAGAAGCAGGGGGAGGGGGGAGGGCAGGGCGAGTGCCGCTCAAGACCATTGCATGGAGCAGGCGCTTACGCTTACCCCGACCCCGCACGTAATGAGCGTCGCACTCCGGGGACCAGGACGCGAACAGACTCGACGGATGGCGGAGCCGTTCTTCTCAGCCCCTGGCAGCTTTAAGGACAGCTCTCTCTCGCAGAGGAGCGTCATACCACCGACTCCCGCGCCAGGGACCGCAGAGCGAGCCGGCTCGCTCCGCCTCCCCGCGGCCGGAGCGACGCGCCACTCACAGCCGCCGGTGAGCAGCAGGCTCTTGATGACGTCACGGCGCTTCAGGATGTCGGCCGACATGTAGCTGCGCACGATGGACTTGAGTCGCTTGTCGGGCTCCTGGCCGGCCAGCGCGTACATGCCCATGAAGTCGAGCGGCAGGCACTTGTGTGGGATGCCGCGGCTCAGGCCCTTGTGCAGCTTGGCCGCGAACCTCTCCCGCACCTGCGCGCACTCGTCCTGTCGGCCGCAAGGATCACAGGTCACATGAGGTCACGGGTCAGGTGGGGTCACAGGCCAGGCGGGTCACGTGTCAGGGGGTCACGGGTCAGGCGCAGTCAAGGGTCCGGCGGGTTACCGGTCAGGTGACGCGTTGAGACCCGTCCGACGGGCTCAACACGGAAACAACACAAAAATAGCAAAGCCGAAGACTTGCACACAACCTTCAAAGCTATTATCTCATCCATTGCACCACTCATCAGTGACAGCAGCCATATCACTAGAAGGTATCCTCCAGGTGTCCCACAAACGATTCCGCACGGCACGTTGTGCGCCTGGCGCTTCAGTGCATGGAGTTGCGCACCCCCGTTCTCCGGAGCAGCGCCGCCGGGGGCCACAGCACGACACTTACGGCCATCAGGAGGGAGAGGCTGTAGAACTGGTCGGCGGTGAACTGGTCGCCGACACCCTTCTGCTCGCAGATCTTGAGCATGGCGGCCCCGGCCGCATACCGCAGCCAGGCCGCCTCCGGCTTACTGAGGGACGGCAGCGGCGCTCGGTCAGAGAGGCGCGAGTGCCAGGGACAGAGTGGCACGCGCCGAAGCCAACCGAGACGCGCCAGCGGACACGCCGTGGAGACCCCGCTGAGCCGCGCATCCCGCGAGCATGGGCGTTAGAATACTGTTGACGGGATCGGGAGAATAGCACAGGAGCGTTCCGAAAGACCCTCTCTCACTCACTCACTCACTCACTCACTCACTCACTCACTCACTCACTCACTCACTCACTCACTCACTCACTCACTCACTCACTCACTCACTCACTCACTCACTCACTCACTCACTCACTCACTCACTCACTCACTCACTCACTCACTCACTCACTCACTCACTCACTCACTCACTCACTCACTCACTCACTCACTCACTCACTCACTCACTCACTCACTCACTCACTCACTCACTCACTCACTCACTCACTCACTCACTCACTCACTCACTCACTCACTCACTCACTCACTCACTCACTCACTCACTCACTCACTCACTCACTCACTCACTCACTCACTCACTCACTCACTCACTCACTCACTCACTCACTCACTCACTCACTCACTCACCACACACACACACACACACACACACACACACACACACACACACACACACACACACACACACACACACACACACACACACACACACACACACTCACTCACTCACTCACTCACACACTCTCACTCACTCACTCACTCACTCACACACACACACACACACTCACTCACTCACTCACTCACTCACTCACTCACTCACTCACTCACACACTCTCACTCACTCACTCACTCACTCACACACACACTCACTCACTCACTCACTCACACACACTCACTCACTCACTCACTCACTCACTCACTCACTCACTCACTCACTCACTCACTCACTCACTCACTCACTCACTCACTCACTCACTCACTCACTCACCCACCCGCCCCAGTAGTCGGTCACTCACTTGACCCTGCCCTCTTCCAGCAGGTCGCCGCGGTGGATAATGAACGCGACCAGCATGCGGAACGTCTTCTGCGCCGAGATGACGTCATCCTTGAGCCCGATCAGCCAGCGCGCCATCAGCTTCATGCCCTCGATCTTGCAGCGGATGCCCTCGGGCAGGGCGTCCTCCTCGCACCACTCGTCGTCCAGCTCGCCGCTGTCTGTCAGGTCCTGAAAAGGCCCGGGGGCGGCGGTCAGACGAGCCGCCGCGCGGGACGGGCAGCGGTCGTGTCGACACGTGGCGCAGCTGATGCCCGACCAGTAAAGGGCTCGCGCGGGGTGGCGGACGGTCTGTTAAAGGGGGTGTTCTACATCTGTAGACATTGAAGCAAGCACCGGATCTGATTAAATAAACTCACTCATAACCATGTGTACACTTGGCGGAAAAGACTGCTCTAGAAAATACAGTTTCTCTGTTTAGTAATTGCGCCCCTCAAACCGTCATTGTTTGGTTTCTTCCTCGTGCCCAGCACAGCATTAGTTAAGAGACGATTGACGCTGTTATACCTGGAAATCGTGCTTACGAACGCTAGATACATACGACTCGACAATTATTTTTGTCCGGACTAATAAAATGGCGGGATCTGAGTAACGTCGTTATCACATCATGAATGCCTACGTGACCTCGAAATACCCTCCCCGAAAGACTGCAGATTTCCACGGGCGCGCAGCTCGTGGAATTCGCAGCTCGCAACTAGAGGGGTTTAGGTCCTAAGGAGGGGGCAAGGCTGTGAACTGCACCGAATGATCTTCAAAATGACTTTTTCAGTTCAAAACCCGACGCAAAAGTAGACATTCCTTTCAAAGGATGATCACATAGGCGTTTTCCCTGCTTCTTAAGCATGATCATTTGCATTTACAAGCTCCACAATGAGATCATACATGTTTGACATGACCAGTGGCAGTGTAATTTGATGAATGCGCGCTGTGTTGACTCATAGTTGACGGTGATGGCGACGACAGAGTTCTGCACAGCGTCACAGCATCGCTCGCAAGAGTGGACGGCACACTCACCTTCATGAGCAGGTCTTTCACGATCTTTCTGGAGACAATGTTCTTGATCTGGATGGGGAACTTGCCGGACAGGTAGAGGGCGATGTGGCCCAGCGAGACGATGGATGTGCGGTAGTGCTCGTGGCCCAGCTCCAGCTGCGCCTTCAGCCTCTGTCGAGCGGAACGCGACGTCACGACGGGCACCGGCCAGCGGTCCTACGAGCGCCGCTTGCACGCACGCACCAGTCAGTAGCGACCTCACCACAGGGGGAGGGGGGGGGGGGACTGTAGCATGCGTCGCCTCCAAACTGAGTCAACAGCAGTGACCAGCAATAGGGCCCATCAAATGGAACAAGACGTTCGCCGAGCCCACCCCGACACATTTTACGCCCGATCCAGCGGCACTGTCGCAACAGACCACCGCCTGGGGCGTCGCGCCCCACAGCCGCCACACCGCGGTCCGCTACCGCCGCTCACCTCCAGGATCTCGGTGAACACGCCCTCCTGGTTATCGGTGACGTTGACGTACAGGCAGCGGATAGCGTGCTTGGCCTGCTTGGGTGTGCCGGTGGTGGCCAGCTGCTGGCAGACGGGCACCAGCGCGTCCGCCAGCTCGGGGAACTCGGCAGCCAGCGGCCGGTACTTGCCGACGAAGTGCAGCACGCCCAGCACTTTGGGCGTCACCACGTCGTCGTTGGTTTGCAGCATCTCCAGCAGCACGGCCAGGATGTCGGCGTGCAGGAACTGGGCGGCCTGCACGTACGACATAACGAACAGCAGGCGGAGGCCGCGGCCGACGGCAGCGCCGGGCTCGATGTTCAGGTCCTGAGCGGAGCCCGGGTCGCGCACCGCCTCCTCTACCATCTGCACCAGCGCCAGCAGCGCGTCGTGGTCGATCATCACCGACGACACGCGCTCCAGCAGCTGCTTGATGGTGTTGTAGTAGAGGTTGGTCATCACCGGCTGACCGAGTCGCTTCAGCACCATGTTGACGCTGTCGACGCTCTCGCGGCACGAGACCGTCGGGTTGATGACCGTCTCCATGAGGAGGAGCAGCGCCTCCTCCTGCGCCAGGTGCACCGAGAACTTGCGGATGAACTCCTGCGCCTTGACGGGGTCTGGCAGGAACTTGGATAGGTAGCTGATACGCAGAGCTTTCTCCTTCTCGCGCTCGTCGGACGGCGGCGCCCGATGCAACTCCAGCAGTTCCTGCACCGTCTTCCGCACGCTGCGACACCAACAGGATGTCAGGTGTAACTTCTCCCCTTCTCCCTCCCCGAGGAACACGCCCACCCACACGCTGGCACATTTTCGGCGCAGTGCCGCAAACAGGTCCTCACAGACGGCGGAGATTCGGCCGATATCGAGCATTTATGCGAACGTGATCAATTTTAAGTTGGTAAATTGCAACATCATCTTCCTGTTCAGCATGTTAAAAAGTGGACGTCGAATTACTTGGATTCCGCGGAACCAGCAACTTAAACAATACTCCTGAGCCTCGGTCGATCCAGCCATCACTGGAAAATGGCCCCCAGCTATTTCGTATCGGTAGTCGACAAAACGACCCAAACAAACGTTGGAATCCTCTACACTGCCCCCACACTCACACACACCAGTCCCTCCTATCAACTCACGCCAGTTGCTGCTTCTGCATTTCGATGAAGGCCTTGGTGGCGTTCTCGTCGAGCGTGGCGAACAGGTAGTAGAGCTTCTTCATGCGCTCCTCGGGCGGTAGCGTGAACGGCACCAGGCACGTGTTGACAATGCGCTCCACCAGCAGCCGGTCGTCCAGGCTGGTCATGTAGTAGCCGTGTAGGATTTTGTCCTGCGGGGGCGGCGACCTCGCTCAGCCCCGCGAACAACAATCATCGACTTCTCACAAGAGTGCATAGTATGAGGTTAGATGACTCACGCCTGTATCGACGCATACCAGCCCTCAGGGGATATGCATTGTCGCTTTTGCATCAGTTCGTCTGTAGGAAACTCGCCGCGCGGACGGAAGGGGAGTCGCTGCGGCGGCAATCTCGGTGCGCCATCCCGCACCAGAGCAGCTCACGCTCTCCGCACCCGCTCGCGTCTCGGCCCGCCCGGCGCGTGGCGCGCGGCCGCACAGCGAGACCCCCTCCCCCCCCCCGAAACACCAGGCGCCCCGGCGCGCGCCGCCTGGCGACGCGCGAGTCGGGTCGACCCCCCCCCCCCCTCCACAGCTCAGCACGGGGGCGAAGGGAGGGGAGGGTACCGCGCCGCGGACAGCGCGCCCACCTTGATCCAGGTGATGGCCGTGCGCGTCGCCTCCGGCACGTCCGGGTTGCTGAGGTACTTTCTGTAGATCATGGCCAGCCCGCACATGGCCTCCTTGCGGATCTTGAACTTCTTGTCCAGCGTGCGCTCCTTGACGAAGTTGAGCAGCGCCTCGCTCTCGGAGACGATGCTGAAGTCGCGCTTGGCCGTGGCTACGATGGCCATCACCACCTCGTATCTGTGCCGGGCCGTTCGGGACGTGTTAGCGCGAGCCACGGACGGACACTCCGCGGGGGTCACAGCAGCACTGATAGCAGGCCAGCGCCACTCAGGAGAACGTGGCGGGACGTACGCCGGTGGACAGGCAATCTCGACAATCTCCGCTCAAAGCGCCTGCCCCACAGCAGAGCTGGCGGCGCCGGACCCGGCCGACGGAGCGACGTGGGAGACTGGGCGGCGCCTCTGGCACCTGACCGGGCCGCCGGCCGCACTAGCAAACCACCGAGACCGACCCAACGGGGACACCCAGTCCGAACCAGACCGGCTGCTCAGACAGTCGGACGGCCTCGTCTGAGCCATGTGCACTGACTTGATGGCCTTGTCCGAGTCACGTCCACTGACCTGACGGCCTCGTCCAGGTCACACGGCTTCGTCCGAGTCACGTCCACTGACCTGACGGCCTCGTCCGAGTCACGTCCACTGACCTGACGGCCTCGTCCGAGTCGTGCTGGCGGAACTTGAGCGTATCCGTGATGTCGCTGCGCAGCTCCGGGTGGTTCAGCAGGAAGTGCATCGAGTACTGCACGCACTTGGTGCGGATCTTCACGGAGATGTCGTTGAACCTGACGGCAGTCACCACGCCTAGGATGTCACACCGGAACCCAGCCGGCACACATCTCCCGACCACGAGTCGACCAGGCCACCGCCGTACGACACGGGCTGCTCGCCAGCCGGCCGACCGCAGCCGCCGGCCGGGCGAGCGGCCGGCGCGCGCCTCACCTGCCCAGGAAGGCCAGCCACAGCTGGCGGTGGTGCATGGCGAGGTTGGACTCCTGCTCGGAGAACATGCGGGCCAGCAAGCTGACGGCGTGGAACCGCTCGTCCTCCTCGGTAGACTTCAGCTGCGGTGGAAGAAGACAACGGGCCGGCTTGTCACGGTCGCTTCTCTAGCGCGGTGGCGTCACAGCACGTGGCAAAGGGCGCGGGGACTCATACCACGGGCACTGTCTTAGCATGCCGACGATCAACATGTCTGTTCATTATTCAGCCTGTGACGCACATACCAACTACGCCTAACACTACGGACTGCACGGAATGTTGCGCCCTTTCCCCGAGCCAGGTCGATACTTTTGTTTACTTGCCAAACAAATGGCACTCCGCTCGAGCCCTGACAGTGACAGCTCCCCGTCATTCAGCGACGGATCGCCGCGGCTCCCGCCGACACATTCCGGCCCGACGGCGGGACGCCGCCGCCGCCACCTCGCCACTCCCCCGCCGGAGCGGGCTGGCCGAGCCATCGCCGGCAGCGCCAGACCGGGCAGGGTCTCACCTTAAACTCTAGCTGCGGCACCACGGCCAGCAGCACGGTCGGGCAGATGTGGTTCAGCTCGTAGATCAGATCGTACACCTTGCGTGAGATACCCAGCTTCTTCTCCTCCTTGCCCAAGATCAGCACATGGTTGAAGAACTGCCGCGCAGACGCGCAGATCATTCAGAACATTAATTCAGGCGTTTCAGAGGAGATGAAATGCACATCCCACACACAATATTTTCATATGGCTGGGCACAGCTGTGTGGCTGCCAGAACAAGTTCCACAGAAGTATGGCAGTTACCTCAGAATACAACATGAGTGAACAAGATGAAAAAGCCACGTCGTTGTCTAAGCCACCCTAGATCACACATATAAATCAACATCCCACATCTACACATATATATACACCAGGTGTGCCATAATAGAGGGTGCAGCATTAGCTCACTGCTTGTATGTAGGGCTCCAGCGTGTCACTGCACTTCATGATGAGCTCCTTGGCCAAGTGGTAGGCGTTACGGCGGGTCGACTTGGCCGGCTCCACGACGTTCATCAGGATGATGTCCATCAGCTCGTTTGAGACCACGTCAGACTCGTATATCAGCGGGCAGAGCACGTCCAGCATGAAGCTTTTCACCTTGCCGGAGTGTTCGTCACTGCAAGCGGGAGGTGGGTGGCGTGAGAGGACCAAGCCCGTCCTATGTGAACCCCAGTATCGTGACCAGAGTGTTTGTCAAAGCGAATGGGATGAGGCGTGTGACTACGGTGGCCGCGTCTCGTCTTCCTCCAACCAGGAAGGCGACGTTTGTCCGGGTGATTGTACCGAGGCCATGCACTGCACGTTAAAAAACATTGTCATTTGACTATCAGGAGAGCGGAAAATGCTATCACAGCTGCGGACGACGTGGGTGGCAGGGTCTGGTAGTCGTGCAACAGCCCGCGTCTGATCAGGAGCCTGATCGCAAAGCCGATCAAGTTAATCCATACTGCTGGACTTCCATGTTGCTGCTGGTGGATGACGAAATATACAGAGCTCCGTTTCAAGTCTAAAATACACATGACCTCACAAGGAGGAATAAGGTCAACCATGCTGCCCAGACAAACCAATACAAAGCCGCTTTAACTTTGCTTACTTGACGATCTTGAATGTCAGGGAGAAAAGACTGCATATGATTTCATTGCTGTCTTCCAGTTCCAGGCACATGTTGAAAGATTTGACGTATGCGAGGTTCTCCAGAAGATAAAAGTAGCGCTTGAAAGCAGGATCCTTTGGATCCTTCAGTCCAGCCAGCTGCTTTATCAGGAACATGAAAATTGTCTGAAAGGGAACGACACGGCAACGTAGTAAGGTAAATGGGCCTCGGCCTAGATATGAAGTGTTCTGAACGAAAACCACGCGCAGAATAGGTGCTCACGATTGAATGTTGGCAATTACGCATTCTTTAAATCTGCTGGAAATACAGCGAACCAAAATAAGCAGTTTGAGCACGGAGGACAGGACACGTGAAAGCCAAATCGAAACACATGTGACCAGTCAAGACCTAGGCATAGGTTAAAGGAGACACTGAGGAACTCCACGCCATTCGATAGCATTCTGCAGCCATCATGGCGTAACGACCTCCGCCAGTGCGCGACAACGCCGACTTCCTCCGACCACGCCTGCACATTCGTCCGTGGCGACACCGGCACCCGGAGCCGTCCCGTGCTACGACCCTGACCCTGCCACGTCCCCGCCGCCGCACTGACCTTGACCTGGGCCGGGTCCTTGTACGGCGCCTCGGGGGCGTACACTCGGAGCACATCGGCAATGCAGCAGGCCACCAGCAGCTGCACGTCCTTGCTCGGGTACTCGCGAAAGTAGTCGTCGGCGATGTGCTTGGCCAGCGGCAGGTACTCCTGGTACGCGCCGTCATCCTGCACCATCGACTGGTACGTGTGCGCCAGCGTCTGCAGCAGCGGGGGAGGGAGTGGGGGGGGGGGGGGGGTCAGAAGGGCGCGTGACGGACGGCAGAGCTGCCGTGTCTGCAGGGCGCCGACCAGGGCGTGTAGCAGCTAGGTAGAAGTGTATTTGAGTCACTGGGTACTGCGCGATCCTTTGCGAACATGATGCGTGCCTGACATTGACATGATCTTCACCTACATCGAGAACTGGCAGTTGGAGTTATCACACCGGAAAGAGGCACGTCAAGACGTTCTCTGTCCACCTGGCGTCGCGCGCGGTCGGTGAAGCGAGGAGGGTCATTGTACGCAGCGTTACGACGGGGCACAGCGGTGACTTTTTGAGCTGTTAGTCGGAATTTGGTAACCAACCCAGATTTGGTTGGTCTGCCTCAAACCTCCACTCATGAAACTGGAGCCCCCCTCCCCCCCCCCCCCACCCCCCCAAGCAGTTGGAGGCTGAAGGAAATGCTAGTGCAGTCCACAAGCATACATCCACAGCCATAACATCGCCAAGGTAAAAAAAATACGCTTTTGTTCCTGGGCTGAAAGGCAGCTGGCTCACCAGCTAGTGCCCGACACTGCAGCTTTGGAACAGAAAAAGGTGTCATGTAATCAGTAATAATGACACCAGCAGCCAAAAGTCCAGCCAACCACCATCTCTGCCAGTCGCTGATTGGCTCCGCGCGATGCCACGCGACATGACGCAACGTGGCAAAACCTTTTGTCTCAAAACTGTGACGTCTCATGAAACTTGGACACTTATAACCACAAGCAGCATTCAAAGTTTCACCATGTCTTGCTGTTCCTCTCTTAAATTTAATATTTAATTCCGGCACCACCTGGGGTACTCTGCCACCCATGATTGCCCACGTGGATGGGGTTGGGGCCAGATCAGGTCAGAAAGTTCAGATTACAAGTGATAGCCCAATTACTCATCCAAAAACCAATGAGCTGCTTCTTGACAAGCCATGATGACACCCAAAGAAAAAGGCTTGCAAGATTATATTAAAATCCATGAAGTCTTTGCCTGAATTCAGGGGATTCCAGCTCCCACCATATTGGTTGCACAGCTTTGGAACCAGCACCAAACACAAGAGCATGTCATTGAGCATCAGATTCATGCCATGCTTGCAGATGTCCATGTCAGCCTCATCTGGTCAAGGCAGTGTAGGGTCTATCCATCAGGTCTGTTTGCTCTTCCAGTTCACATGTTAAATGAAAGTAATTGGTTTCAAAATATGTCACCTATAACAAACTAAGCATTATGAACTGGCATTACAAATCACCAGTTCAGCATCTGAAATGTGACTTCATGGCCATTGATGATGACTGGGTGTGACTTTGAAATGTGCCATTAGCCACAACTATGAGACCACCAAAACAGGTGATGCATTATATTGAATAAACCCAAATAGGAACGCTAACCACATATTTGAGCACACATGTGAAAACTGTCGTGAAAGCCTCCACTGACGTCAGAACCGTTCCCGTGGTCCCGGGGAAAGATGCTGGATGCACAACCTAGTGGCACTGGGTATGAATCTCACAGCGGGTGCATTGCCTGGCCGACCAGCATGGAAAGATCAGCTGGCAACCAGCCGAGGGTCAACACAGGCCTGGGGCGGCCGTGCCGCGGCCTCGGTGGCACGCAAAACCCTCCGCATTCCTGTCTGGCAAAAATACAGAGGCAAAACTGCATTAAACCAGTGAGCATAACCTGGGTAATGGACTTGCAGCACACACAAGCCACGCTTAGCAAGTACTCTGATCCTAAAGCCACCCGTGCAAACAATTTGGAATACATTTATGAAAAATAACTTGGTGACCTGCTAAAACATCAAACTCTGTCTGGCTCCACAACATCCAATTGATCACCACAGATAATATTGTGCCCTTGCCTCATACTGTTTGAAGGTAATTCCAGAAACTTGAAGATGCTTAACCTACCCCTCCCCAGGCAGTCAGAGGTTAAAGCAATTGGGGCATTATTGGTTACTTAAACTTAATTTCTAATCCTCTATCAAAACAGACTTGTATCAAATAATGTGAAGACTGGTCAGATGTTAGGCAAAGGACAGGTCAGGTGGAGAGACAGGAGAAAGATCACCAGGCAATTTTTAAGTTACTACTGATATTTATTTCAGCAGAGGTTTGTAGCCAAAATATCAATATATATATATATATATATATATATATATATATATATATATATATATATATATATTTGTCTGCTCTCCTGGTCCTTCTACCAGGAATAAAGATACTTATACCACCTTATCTGTGTGCTTAATGTTCCTCACAAATGCCTTTAACAGCTTACTTGAATAATACCTTGCCTGAATTCCAATAGCCATCTTGGTATTAGCACTTGGATCCTGACAACCTCTGGTCCACATGATCCTGCTTTCTCTAGAAAGCATTGTTTTTCATCAACACAGACTTAACTTGGTAGAGGAGGGCATGGTACATCTCCTCAAAGGTCACAGGGTCTCCTGGACAAAAAAATACCAAAAGCTTTTCACAACGAAAGGCACCTAGAAGTACCTTACTGCCAACCTATTCCAACACCAGGGTCTTTGGGTGTGACTCAGCTCCCCTGCTGGAAAGCCTTGGTGAGCAAGCATTGCAGTTCCCAACCACCCAGTCATGAGAGGTCCAGCCAGGTCAGATCAGGAATACCTTGAGCCGACGGATGAGCTCATCAGGCCCCAGGTCTTCGGTGATCTCTCGGCAGCCTGGCGGGTACAAGATGGCCGCCGACTCAGTGGATGAGCCGGCGCGAGACATCACAGCAGTCTGTTGTCACAGTGCCTCAGCTGCTCCCCTGGACTCCTGTCATCAATCCAGGACAAACCTGGGAAATTCACAGGTCATTGTTACAGAATGTATAAGATTAGGTGGACAATGACACTGACTATTCATGATTGAAATCATTAGGCACTGATGCCCTTATCATGGTCCAACAATGTTTTCATATGGTGTAAGTGCAAAAACTGGCATGTAGTGCCAGCTGGGATGCTTACATGTTATACATGCAGCATAATTACATTCTTATATTTGCAAACCATACAAGTGCATCCCCATGCCAGGTGCAAGACTCAACAAATTAGCTTCTGAACCCCCAAGCATTGACATGAAACATGATCACACAAACATAGTAAACTGTCATGGAAAATACAGAACTGGGCAAACCAACCAGCTACAAATCAATCTTAAACTTATTAAGATCAGGTATTGCAATTAGCAAAAATTATTTATGCCATCTCTTGCAAGCTTTGGTAGAACTGGCAACACAATATTGGTGCATTGTATGACACCTCTTTAAACAGACCAATGCAAAGTATGGAAACCTGGATAAAGCTTTAATTTTGACAAAAGAGCACATCAGCAGTTTTCACACATTCCAGGGTAAATTTGACACAGGAATGGACAATAAACATGCTAATGTGCTACAGTGCATGCTGTAATAGTAAGTAGGGATCTAAAACTAAATCCAGAAAAGGTAATCACATATCATACCTAAAAAAAGCTATGCTGTTATTAGGATGTTATGAGTGACAGATCTAAAAACATAGCTGCACCATTTGAGATTGAATTGTCATATCTAACCAAAACATGTTCATTTTACACAAAAACTGGTATCTATATACAAAAAAACATTGCAATTGTGGCTTTGATATTGTAAACACAAAAGACAGACAGCTAACTTTTGAACAGTACATTTTCCAACATCAAATTTATTGGCAATTTATCATGAGGGAACATTAAGAATTTTGTGTGTTACACCACAGCATAATTAAAGGAAGTTCATTTCCATCTTGATTGAGGGTGCATTCCATACTGACTACCTGCACATGCTCTTGCTCACATGCAACATGCATGTGCAAATCAAACTTCTTTGGGTTCCAGAATGGGCATGTTCTGAACCAGGGACTTTCCAAGCTTACATCATCCAATCTTAACAATTCACTGCACCCTATCAAATTATCATTTGTACTGGATCCAAACTCCATAGAGTACTACATTTATCCTGAAAAAGACCAGACAGCAAATCTGTATATTCCTGCCTACATAGGCAAATATACCTTGCCTACACTATATGCAAACATGATGCATGTTATGCTTCAAAATTCTGCTCCACATACCTTATTCTAGACCCAAGACATTCCCTTTCTTGGTCTATGGCAGTAAAACATACATTAAATTAAATGCATCATGCATGAACATCTGGCATCTAAACTGCAAACTTGGTGCAAGTATCACACATACACATTTCACTTCCATGCATGCACCGCACATTTACAGTTAGGACAGGATATCTCCAGTCTGTGGCTGCCCAGCGCTAAACTTATGTCAAAGACCGGTATTTGAACCTGCTGAACTCATTATAACAAAGATCCCATAACTATGCGGAATTTTGTCCACACACACACCATTTGCACGGCCGACACTGACGTTCTCCAAAACATCAACACGGAACACACGCCATCACCGCGCTTGTGGCGGGACGGTCACCCATCGGACGCCGCCATAATTTTATCTGACGAAACTGGCACAAGATGGCACTTTCCAAACGGCACAAATTATTCAAGCAGCGCAACTCACTCCTCTTATGGTGGGTGACACACTTTAAGCAATGTCACCGGAGAAGCGAAATCTTTAGTCAGAAGCCAAACAACAATTCTCAACCGAAACCCCTCCAAAACGTTCAACCAACTCAACTGGCACGAAATGGCGCGACGGAAGTGGAAACCCCGCGGGATCCGATTGGCCGATTCGTGCAAATTAGTTACGTAATACATCCCTAGATGTCGCCTACTTCGCCGATGCTATCCGTTGTCGCTAGGTGTCAGCACATGATAAGCACAATAGACAAAAATATTTGTGGAAACAAACAAAATCAGGTAATCCAGCGTAATCTTATACCAGAATACGTTGTGTATGTGGTTACTTTAAGGAAATAAAAGCTTGAATCTAGGAATATATTCTACAGCACATCCAGAATAGATAATGTCCGATTAGATTTCCGCAGGCAATTGTTAACCTGTCGAGCGTCACTTCGACAGAATCTTTCAGAGCCTGAAGCTTTGCGGTACTGAAGCCGGAAAGGTAAAACACCGTTATGTATGCGTATTTTCAAATTAAAATAGTGATGACTGTATGTCATGTATGCATATCTACCAGGGTGGTGGTGCGCCAAATTTGGGCTTACTTCGCGCGGGTAATTCGATCGACAATTACAATGCTGGAACGTTGGAGTAGGTTTAGATCCCCACCCCTCGTGGGTGTCGAGTCGTATTATTTGTGGGGGCCCTGTCCCCCCCCCATGTTGTATTGCCCCTTCCTCCAATGTTGGCTGGGCCCCCCAATGTGTTTGGTTGAAATGCTACAAAAAGCGTGGGTAAAAGGTGATCATAACACAAAGACTATTTTATTTCTGCGTAATTGCGTCTCGTACCACTCTCATAACAAAACGTCATAGTTACCCTCCCCACAAGCTACAAATCGTAATAGCTGAGCAGATAAACGATGCAATGAACTTCACATACCCAGCGCCAAGAGACACGCAGTGGTTTGTGAGGTTTAAGTGGAAAGGTTTGGAATGGGGGATGGCCTAAATCCTTCATGGCTTACCCCGTCTCCGTCGATCACAACTAAAATGCGTGCCGTCTGCCGTGACCACCACAGAAGAGCGCCATCGGCGCCCCAAGGTGACCTATAAAGAGGTGCCTCCACCTGCTGGTTAGAAGAGACGCGTGCGTCCTATGCCTGCTGCCTGGTATCTAACCCTGCAAAACTTCTATTCTGCTTAATTCAAAAGGTTTTATAACTTACACGAATATTTAAAACGTATATTGTGTTTAATCAAAATAAAGTGGGCCGAATCCAATCAGACAAATTGGGGGGGGGGGGGGGTAGGTTGTCGGGCCTTCTGTCCGCCCCTTCCCAATTACAAAAATGGGCACCCCGGCCCCCCTCCCCCGGTGGAGATCTAAAACATTGTTATATGTGGTTTGTTTCCTAACAACATTAATGTATTTGAATTACGATTCGAATACTAAATGCTACAGTACAGTACGACGGTACGATAAAACGTTACAGAATCGACAGGACTAAGCAGCCGACCCCCGTCCGCGCTTCTTCGCGCCCCCAGGTAGCGGCCGCCGCCGCCGTCAGCGCCGGCAACAATACTTCTCGTGCCGCACAGCTCGTGCGGCTCTCGTGCCTCTTCACGCCGGGCACCTCCGCCCAGCGCGGCCGCACAACACAATGAACCCGCGTTCAACGATCACAACCTTCAGTCACCAGACGCGCTTGTTTGGAGCAGCTCCGACGTCACCTACATGTGGCGCGCGCAGTGACGAGCGACAGCACGTAGGGGTAAGAAATCCAGGCTGGGTTGTGGGGTGGAGGACATGGGTGCAGGGACAGGGGGGCTAGGGGAGCCATAACCCTCCCCCCCCCCCACACACACACGCTTTTCAAAGTGGAAGCCAGCAGTGTTAACTTCCAGCCCCCCCCCCCCCGCTTTTCAGATTAAGCTTGCTTTTAGCTTACTTTTGCATTACATTAAACATACATGCCGATTTACCTAGTTCACCAGCCATCTTTCTCAGGATGCGTCATCTTCTTTGTTTGCTCATTGACCATCGCTCAGCGTCACAGTCGCCGACGGCGCGCGGCCTATGGGGACTGCAACGTCGGGCGTCGAGGCTATTGTTGCTGTGACTTGCGAGCGTGTTCATGGTTTTCATCCATGATCACTTTTGACCGAATCTTGAAAATTTTGAGGCAAACATGGAATACCCATGTTAATACAAATTTGGGACTCCATTTCGGCTACAATCTGTGTTCATGGGAGTCTACATATCTGTGAAGAACAGAAAGATGCAACTGGATTACGTGTGGTACTTATTGGACCCTGCGATCAGGGATATTGTCGCGTCAATGAGAGTTCCTGTGCCGGTCCGGGGCTAAACGCGCGGGTCAGAAGGCCTCCCGTGTCAGGGAGGGTGAAATCAATCATATCACGCTCCCTGACACGGGAGGCCTTCTGACCATCCATGCATCCATTAAAAGGATATATGGATATATCCTTTAAATGGCCTCAGGATCGACCAGGAGGTCTCGCCCCGTGTCGCCAGAACGACAGCCAGAAGGCACTCCGCTATGGGACGGAATGGTCCTTCGACCCTTGACTGGAAACGGTGATGTGCCTCTGGTGTTCTACCCAAAGGGCCCCTTGCCTGGAAGGAAGTAAGGGGTCTCAATATCGTTGAGTAGAGTGAGAGTCTCATCATTGTTGAATAGGATGGGTCTAAATGAATTAAAAAAGGACAAGGCTTTCCCATGTTTGCCTTTGAACATCCATTTTTCAGAATCGATTAGTGAAGCAAACTACATCAAAAGGTTTGCACATGCCGGCCCGCAACCTTGAGGGCAAGGACAGCGATGGCCTGGGTTGTAGCTTCCGTAAAACTGAACGACATCATCCACTGTAAGTGCCCCAGACGGCGGGTGCCGTGTTCACCAGCCTTTTGGACAGGTAAGTAGTTACAGAAACGCAAATAAGTCATTTTTCCTTCACTCCTCTAGTTCCACCACCAGATTCCAGCACCACTTCACGGTGCTTTGAGGGTCAATCCGTTTTTATTATCAGCCTGAAAATCGCACACGTAAAACATGTGCCTAGACTGCCTTTTAAATGTAAGAAAGAAGTACCTTTGAAGCCTTTAAAGGCATTTCTTTTAGAGGCGTCATCATTTTCGTCCATCGGTTGGCCACAACCCAGTATTAGCTGTTAGGCCGACGCCACGCGGCCTACGGAGACTGCAACGCCTGGTGTCGAGGTCTCTGTTACTTAGGTTTGCTAGTGTGCATGCTCAAAATTATGTCACATAACTTACCTCACTGATCGATGAGTGTTTAAAAGTAATTACTTCAGGAGCGTCATCATTTTTGCCCACCGGTGGGCCACAGCGAAAAGTTTGCCGCTGGACTAACGCTCCGGTGTCTCCGGAGACTGCAACGCCTGTTGTCGACGTTTTTGGTGCTGAGATTTGCGAGCGCGCATGTTAAAAAACCACGCAACATAAATCGCATCACTAAGCGATTCTGACTGAATGTTGAATATTTCTAGACATACATGGCTCGGCCTCGTTAATATACGTTGTTGACCACTTGATCTACAATCAAATTTTCGTCTTCAAATTTCGATCCAACAGATCCAGGGGCTGATCTAGCCTGGAATTTTCTCTTGGGGGGGGGGGGGGGCAACCGTTCGTCGCCAGCTGACTGGTGTGGGATCCGAGGTCCAGTGCATGGTGCCTCTCGCGAGTACCTAGTAGGGACACCATTCAAGCACCGAAATGCTTTTGAATCTTCTATATGCAGTATGCGTTTTTACAAATCTCATAACATGGGATATTACTTTCGAGGGTCGACAGAAATGTTTGATACCGCACCACCAAAGTTAAAGCAGACGGAGAATAGACGAAACTTTTGTGAAGTTCTGGGAATACCTTTGGGGGGGGGGGGCCAAAATATACTCAGTTTTTTTGGTGGCCATGGCGCCGTGCCCCCCCCCCCCCCCCCCCCCCCCAGGATCCGCCTATAAACATATCGATTCGTAACCTACCTTCACGATGTCCTTGATGTCTGGAGAACACAGATAAAACACTCCGTCAAAGCTTCTAAATTCTATCGATTTAGAAAGAGTTCACTAAGCCATTGTAAATTAGCACGCGCTCGGGGGCCGATGAAATTAACCGCTCCTCAAGGGTTTTCCAGAATGATTTCCGACGCGGCGTAGCTGCGTCAAATGTTGCATAGCTGTAGACAATTGAATAGCAGATTGTTAAGCGAAGAGAAATTTAGGCGTACCCCGTAAAGTCGCTAATCTATAGCAGGTCAAAGTCAGGCCATGGTTTCAGCAAACCCAATTTCTAGGGAATCTTTGAATCTGATGCAACAACGGAGTATTAGACAAAGCCATACATCTCTGAAATACTTTCTTAGGCAACAAAACAACTGAATGAGCAAATTGCATCGGCCTAAGGTCAGGCATGAAGGTCAGACCAAGGTAAAAACCAACCTGTTTTATTGCTCAAGGGCTTGCTGTATTGGATGGTTTCTGGTGATCATTTCGAATTTATTGACAACAGGAACTACATTCTATATCTTCCATGGACTTCTTGGAGGTCAGAATAGGTCATTGACCTAGAATGACCCGGGTCAACATTTGGTTGTTTGGAGCACACTGCTTTGCGCAATCTTTGTCGCTTATTCAAATGCAAAACTCACAGCAGTTTTGTATGATTATGGTCACCATGACTTTCAAAATGTCAAACAAGGTCACTTACCTTAAATGAGTATGTGACCTTTTTGCTTCGAAACAGTTATCATCTAACATACTCGTCATAATTGGAGACGAAGATGGAGCCGGAGGTTGAAACAAATTTACGGAGAGGGCCCAGTGAGGACAGGTAGCCCCCCTCGAGCCAATCGAGGCACGAGTCCTATACCACACTGGGCAATTTCGTGAAGTTTATCCAAAAGTGCAGACCTTGGGAAGAATTGACATTTCCTCCCTTATGATGAAAACTTAAGTTATGCATCTAGCCAGAAGACGCATGACCGCACGTGGTTCGACGCAGGTCGCTGGAATGATACAAGGGAAGTCATCGGGTACTGACAGCTACACGTCTCTAAGCTTCGCCTGCCAGCCACGTGACGGCGCCACCTTACACGGACAAACCTCCACCCTGCTCCGTCTCTCGTCTCCGTGCTGTGCACTGCGCCTTGGGCTGCAGTGAGCAGGTGCCCTGGTGCTGTGTGCTGTGCTCGTGAGCACCGTGAGACACCACGGTACAGACACCCTCACGCCACTCAACAGATGCCACGTGAGAGTTACACCTCACGCCAGGTGTCACGGTGGCACAGTTCACACGTCGAGAGTGATGCTGTGCGAAGCAGGTCGAGCATGTGTGTGGTAGCCGACAGCGGTGTTCTAACACGCTGACAGGAGTCCATCACACCAGCCGAACAAAAACAGGGTCTTCATATCGGTGCCATTTTATTTTTAAAACGTTTTCTCCACATTCACCGAAGCAATTTAGTTGATACAGCAATTCCCACAACTAAAAGCACGGCGATCGCATATTTACTCTTATGGTACATCCGAGATCTCCGAGAAAGCTGATTGGTGCGTCTAAGCCAGGCAGGTCGGCGAAGAATATTTAAAACAAGCCGTTAGAAGCGAACCTCGAATAGCAAGAGCACGTCTGCCCATAGGGAGCAGCATCCCGACACTGGCGCATCGTCGCCCAGGCGCACAACCGAGCTCCACTGCTGAGCTGTACAACACGGCGGAAACAAGCGTCACCAGCAGCGACAATATGTTAAAACGCTATCATAGTTGCGACACATACACGGTCACCGACACTATACACACAGATTCCGCGCGCCTCGCGGCACGGCCGCGTCGGTCCGGTCGCCGCCCGGTCGCGGCTTCCGAGTGGCGTTAAAACAGGAGCGATCACGCGTTGGAGGGCTTCAGCACCGACGCCGACCGACTCTTGGCCATGGCCCCAGCCCTGAAACAGGCGCGCGGCGGTGAGACGGTAAGGCGGTAAGGTGACGTCACACACCCCGCTCCGCGCCGGCATTGGGCGGAGCGGCGGGACAGTCGGCAACAGCATCAATAGAGGAGGCAGTGGGGGGGGGGGGGGGGGGGGGGGGGGGGGGGGGGGGGGGGGGGGGGCGAGCCGCCAGGCGCCAGCGGCAATCGTCACCACCACTTCATCCCAAGACCAGCACAAGCACGCTTGGCCGATCTCGGCACGTACAGTGGTCAAAGACATCAGCCCAGTGCACCCAGCGGCGCGGCGGGCGGGAGGGCGGACGGGCCCGGCGCCGACGGAGACGTGCGCCGGGCGCCACATCTCACCGGTTGCGTCCCAGGCCGAACTTGCCGACGGAGGAGACGAGCCCGTGCCTGGCGGCCGTCTTGTCCGGCGCCGCGCCCGGCAGCGACGGAGCCGTGGCCCGGCCCCACGCTGCCGACGGTCAGTCAGGTCAGTTGCGGCGCCACCGACGGCCGCACGGCGCTGACATCTCGAGGTCGGAGCGGACCACGACCGAGCACGTGCGGCCTGACCACACTCGTTGTCGAAATGCCCGATCAAGTGACAGGCGAGCCAGCAGGAACAAATGCTAAACGCAGGGCTGGATTGGGTCTCGCATTGGATATTATGCGCTCGTTTCCATCGTTGACGAAAATGCTGGTACATAGTGCGCACACCTCAAGATGACGGGCTGCCCAAGTGTTTGATCATGATCATTTCCAGCTTGACACTATCCCAAACTTATTTTACAAGCGACGAAGGTGCAGCATTGCACAGCGTTTTCATGACACTTCAGCCAAGGTCGCGATATCTTCACCCATAGTCTGCATTGACCCACAAACATGTCCAGGACGTTGTATGTACCGTCATGATTAGGCATTTTTACACTCAATTTGCTTCGCATGGTCTCAGAAGACTGACTTCAGGCCAGAGTACAGTCCAAGCCAAGATAGGTGCTCACAATCCTAATGATCAGAAATAGTCATCACAGTTCAACAATTATTTTACAGCCAACTCTTTTTGCAACAGAGCTCGACCTGCGGAAAGTTTTCGCGCCATGAATGCTACACGGACGAAACTTGCAAATCGTCGCTGCGCAATACGTCACGAGTAACCAAACTAAGCAGTGCCCTTCCATTCCTCGGCATTTAGCTCTTTGCAGGTAAGGAAACAGAACGCGACTCCCGATCGGACCGGTGCTGAACACCTACGGCCTGAACCCCTGGGCTACTGATCAGACCGACGCCGACCACCCATGATCTGACCCCTCTGGCTACTGACCGGGTCGGTGCCGACCACCCACAGCCTGACTCCCCTGGCTACTGATCAGACCGATGCTGACCACCCACGGTCTGACCCCGCGGCTACTGACCGGGTCGGTGCCGACCACCCACAGCCTGATTCCCCTGGCCACTGATCAGACCGATGCTGACCACCCACGGCCTGACCCCGCGGCTACTGACCGGGTCGGTGCCGATCACCCACAGCCTGACTCCCCTGGCTACTGGTCAGACCGATGCTGACCACCCACGGTCTGACCCCGCGGCTACTGACCGGGTCGGTCGCTCTGCTCGCGGCGCTGCCTGTTCTCGTCCTGGGTCGCCGCCGGCACCAGCCGACCGGTGCTCTTACTTTTCTGCGCAGACAGTGACAGCTTGCCTCCGCTGAAACGCCGAGATGTGAATATCAGGCTACGCGGCATGCAAATCCAGCTCAACGATGAGGTCGTGACTACCGTAATAGGCCTACAAAAATCTGAAGCAGAAGCCAGCAAAGACGAAGCATGTTCGCAACATAACCTTAGCACATGACACAGCAGAACATAGAAGGGAAGGGGGGGGGGGGGAAGCAGAGTAACCAGGCACTATAACATGATATTCAGTTGAAGCTCCATGAGATGCTTCAATTCTTTCTGATGCCAACCACGTGTTCAAAAAGGGGTAGGAATCAGCGAACGAATGAATTACCGAACAGCTGGCAGGTAACAAGAGGATCTTTTCCGTTGACAATGCAAAACCAATTGCCTCGCACACACCTAACCCTGTGCATTATATTACAATGGACTGGACACTGGAAAACCGCTCATATAAAAATGCAGCACATCAGCTTACAGCCACGACACAGGATAGTAAGTGTGAATTCAATAACGTCCTGTCATAAGTCACATTTCCCCAGTAGCCCTTGGCTGTTTTCGGCACGAGTCCCATCTCAAGACACACCCTCCGGCCTCTCAGCAGACCGGTTGCGACGGTCTGGCGGTACCAGGACCCGCTCCCCCCTCCTCCTCCTCCGACTGGCGCCTCTCACCTGTGGGTGGCGGACACCGGTCTGGCAGCGGGCCTCCTGGCGCTTCCACCGCCCGTCGAAGGAGGCGGCGGCGGCGCGGCCGACGGCGTCGCTCGGTCAGGCCCTGCTGGACGGAGGTGTGCCGGTCACGGGCGCTGTGGCACGCCCCTACGCGCCAACAGCCGGTGATCGCACACATCCCAGTCCGAGAAGCCACGCGAGAGGCCCCGCTATACCGAACGGCAACACCGGGGGAGAGGCCCCGAGACGTAGCGGGAGAGGCCGCCAGACGCCGTGGGAGATGCCCAGAGCTAGAGCACTAAAGCGCAACACCTAGCATAGCCTCTGGTCCATAAGGCTGACCTACCCACGGCCATTTTGCTTCCAAAGCCGCGCATGATCTTCGACACACGTCTGGGATGCTCGCACCCGAAGTTACTGCAGGAAGCCGGAAGACCGTCGCCTGTTACCCGCGGCTAGAGCAGGCGACCGTTACGCGCCAGATGGGGGCAGCGGGCCGCGTCTCCGCTCACCTGTCCTGGAGCTGGCGCCGGGCTTCAGAGCCGGCCGGCCAGCCACAGCTCGCTGGCCGCCGAGAGCAGCAGGCGTGCCGCCGCCCACCTCAGCCGGCGCTCGAAAGCACTGCAGCGTGAAGGTCGAGTCGAGCCCGGCCGACAGCGGCGCGGGCGCGGGCGCCGGCGCCGGCTGGGTGCGCGGCTTCAGCGGCGTGCGCGCGCGCCGCAGGATCTCCGGCGTGGGCGGCAGCTCGGGCGCGGCGGCCAGCAGACCGACGGCGTCGCCGGCCGGGACCGGCTGGATCGGGCTGCGGCCGAACGACGGCAGCGGGCTGGGGCCGGCCGCCACCGGACTGTGCCCGGCCGCGGCCCGGGCCGGCACGGTTCGCGTGGCGTTCAGACCGGGCGGCACCGGACTGCGGTCTCTCGCAGGCAGCGTGGCCGTCACGTTCAGGTCAGCGCCGGCGCGACTGCAGTCCTTCGGAGGCGACGGCTCGGTGACGATCGGGCCAGGAGGTGCACGGCTGCGCTCCGCCGCAGGCAGAGTGGCAGTCACATTCAAGTCCAGAGCCTGGGGACTGTGGTCCCTGGCAGGCAGTGTGCAGGTAACATTCAGATCAGTGGTCACGGGACTGCGGTCCTTCGCAGGAAGCGTGCAAGTCACGTTCAGATCAGAAGGTACGGCCAAGTGATCTTTCGAAGGCGGGGTACAAGTAGCGTTCAAGTCTGGGGACGCAGGACTGTGTCCCTTTGACGGAAGCGTCGCAGTGACGTTCAAGTCCGGGGTCACAGGACTGCGTTCCTTCGATGCAAGTGTTGCAGCGCCGTTCCAGTCAGGCACGAGACTGCTTTCGCTCGACGGCAGTACGACCGTGGCATTCAAGTCGGGCGCCACAGGACTGCGTCCGTTCGACGAGTGCGTGCCGGTGCCATCCAAATCAGCCGCCACGAAACTGCGTTCCGGCGCGGCCGGCTCGGACAGCGTCCGCGTGGTGTTCAGATCTACCGCCGCGGGCCGGCACTCGCCCGCCGTCGGCGGCCGGCAGACGGGCGTCTCAGGGGTCGCGGGACCGGCCGGCGGCGCGGCGGCCCTGCTCAGCGCGGGGCTGCTCTCTGCCGTCGCCATCACTGGGCTGGCGGCGGCCAGCGCTGGCGCCACGGCGGCGCGCACCGACTCCTCGGCCAGCTCACGGTCGCTCTCTTCCGGCCCGGGGCTGCCCACCGGCGGCGGCTGCACATCGGGCTCAGCCTCGGCGTCACAAGGTGGAGCCGGCGCGCACTCGGCGCGGCGCCGCGGCGGCGTCGGCGGCGGCAGCGGCGGCTCGTGCTCGGCCGCGATGAGCGCCTCGTCGGTGGCACAGCAGCCCAGCGTGGTGTCACTGGGCGGCAGCACGGCGTCCAGCGCCAGCGTCGCGTCGCCGGCCGCCAGCAGACTGGCGTCACACGGCGGCGGCCCGTCTCCGAGGGGCGCCGCGACGTCCCGGAGCGGCGGCGGCCCGTCCGCGGCTGATGCCGGCGCCGCCGCCGGTGCCGGGCCGACCCGGCCGGCCGTCGGCGGCGTCCGCCCGGCCGGCGCCGGCACCGGCTGCAGCGGGCCGCTGATGGCATGCCGCGCCGGCTCGGCCGGCCGGTAGCTGGTGTCGGTGAGCCGCAGCAGCGCCGACACGTCATAGCTGGGCTGGCCGGGGCTGTTGGCCGGCGGCGACTGCTGGTCGGCCCAGCACACCTCCTTCTGGCCCTCCACCAGGCTGACGATCTCCTGCCGGACCGGACAGATTGGTGTCACGTCATGCCTCGACACGGGGTGCGGTCGCGCCGCGCACAGCTGCGGATCGGGTCACCGGGCTCGGACGCACCCCAACAGACCGGAGAAAGGCCAGCGAACACTCACGTTGACACACCACTGGTGAAACACTTCACAAGTTTCCCTTCTTATATCACCTTTTGATCTCTGGTCTCGTAGCAAACTTTGTCCCTTTATAGCTTATACCCCTAGCACGCACGGAAGTTTCAGCATAACCGTCATATACCGAAAGAACAAACCCTTTCAGATATTGACAGGACAGGCCTTCTCATTCGCAAACACCCTCCTTGATTCTAACGGACATCTCTAGCTTCTTACCACCAGCTGAAGGCGGCTGTCTTTTACCATTCTTGTCGGTCTCATAGTCAAGCACTACCGGCGACCAGTCGTAAGTACATCTATCAACCACCACCCCACCCAAGTCGAGCGGGCAGCGCTCTCTGTCCGCCGCGGGCCACCGGAGTCTGCCCGTCTGGGCCGCTCGCGCCGCGTCGTCTGGCGGCGCGCCGCTCGATGAGTGAACATCTAGTCATGCGTGTGCGGCACCATGAGCCAGACGCCCACTCATCGAGCGGCGAGCCGCCGGCCGGTCCGCCTTCCGAGCACACGGCGCGCCGCGCCGGGCGCCCGCCTGCCTCGCACTGGGTCTCGAACTCCATGCAGCCGAGCACATGGCACCCCGCTCACCTTGTGCTGGGCCTCCAGCTCCGGCGTGACGAACTTCATGTAGCTGAGCACGCGGTACTGCTCGCGCACGGCCGTGGCCAGGTGCGTCACCAGCTGGTCGGAGGCGGCCAGCTCGTGCTGCTGCAGCCGACACACGGCCTCCAGGTGGGCCGCGTGTACGCGACACTCGTCCAGGTGGCGCTGTCGGCAGCGGCACTGTCAGGCGCCACGCACCCGCCCACAGAGCCAGGCTTACGGTGGCACCGTCAACCACGGCAGGGGTGTGAGCTAAACCAGTTTGATTGAGCGCGGCATGTACAAATATTATGGTGTGTACATTAATTGGCTTTGAACTGCGTTTCCCATGAGAAGATCCGTCTGCAGCTGAGATCATAGAGCACCTATTCACACCCTTTGCATAATTTAATGACACATCACATCACAAAATCTATGCGTGCGTCTGAACACGCGCCAGGCGTCTGCTTACCTCGGTGGCCAGCTGGGCGGTCAGCTGTTCGGTGGCGGGCCCAGGCGGCGCGCGCTTCGCCTCGTCGTCGGCCTTCTGTTCGGCCTGCAGCAGCTGGAGCCGTGCCCCCTCCAGCCGGCCGTGTGCCAGCCGCAGCCGGCCGGCCAGCCGGTCTTGCTGCCGGTCCGAGCGGCCGCCGCCGCCCGGCCGCAGCAGCAGCGCCCGCTGCAGGCTCAGGCGCCGCCGGTGCAGCCGCAGCCGTAGCTGGTGCGCCTCCGCCTCCAGCTGCAGCCGGCCCGTCAGCAGCTGCCGACGCGCCGTCTCCGCCTCGCGCAGCGCCGACAGGTCAGCCGGCGGCGGCGGCGGCGGTGGCAGGGAGGGCGCCTCGGCGGGGCGCTCGGCCAGCCGCGCCTTCAGACTGGCCACCTCTTGACGCAACTCCTCCACGATACGGGCGTACTGCGACACGTGCATATCTACCGAGACCACGTTCCGCTGCAGCTGTGGACGGCGAGCGCGAGCGGCTGTCAGCGCGGGCGGCGGGGAGCGACGCATGCCATCACAGCCCAAAGTGCCAATGTATTATCGCGCATTTCGAGCCGATAATGCCAAGCTGCGCACAAAGGTCTACACAAACTCGTTAGGTCGATCTGTATAAAATCGCGACCAACTCTACCAAAGCTGGGACCATGTTGTGGGCAGTCGCATCACCCGCTTCTCGCTACATGTCCGCACGTCTCCTGTTCCTAGACGTCACACGCCTCCCAGTTCCCCGGGTTCTGTTCCCAGCGTCCTCGGGCCAATTTCACCCCATCTGCGTCTGCGATCGCGCTGCGGCATTAAGTTAAAACTATACAGGCAGCGTGCAGCCCGCCGTTTATAGCGGGCAGGTCACGTAGCGGTATCGTCGGCCTACACCAGCCGGCGTCCACTCACCCTGGTCTTGATGGCCTTGGCGCGGTCGGCGTACTTGAGCGTGTTGTGCGTGTCCTCGTAGCTGGCCGAGGAAGGCGTCACGTTCGCGATCATCACCGTTTTGCAGTTACCACCGATCGAGTCCTTCAGCAGCCGCGTCAGCTTCGAGTCGCGGTACGGCACGAACTTCTTGCCGTCGGCCAGCGCATTGATGCAGCTGCCTGCGGGGCGCGGACATACTGCCCAGTCAGACAGGTGGGTGGGGGCACATCACAACCGCCGGGCTAGCCACTGACGCGACAGCGCAGAACACACCCGGCCCACCAGCATGGGGAGGGCGAGTGCTGCCCGTCAGCAAGGGGTCCTTGCCCATCGGCCATACAAGGAACTGCTGCATTGGCATAATTCCATGTTGAAACTCATTCACCGCAGCAGTTTTTTTGTGTGTGATCGCATCCGTGCTCTGCAGATACACAGCCCTCTTTGCAGCATCTTAGCCGCTGATACGAATCAACTGGACAGAACATGAGGCTAGAGGACTCGAGGGTACACCGCGACCTACAGACCGCTGGCAGACACGAGGTCAAGCCGTGACCTTGCAAGCAGCAGCTGCGGTGTCAAGAAGTCACATGAGGAGCCACTGAGTGCCGACAAAGACTTGAGGCCCGGTCGCGACCCACCGAGCGCCAGCAGCGAGCGGTTGATGTTGGCGCCCTCCCGGAAGCGGGCACCCTTGTGGCCGGTGGCTGAGCCGCGCTCCGAGCCGGCCAGGTCAATCAGCGACAGCTTGGAGAGGCGCACGTCCGTCGAGAGGCCGGCCGTGCTGTCCGACTGGCGCAGCACCACCTGGCGCAGGGGCGCAAAGGTCAGAGCGCCGCTTCGCACGGAGCTGGCGGGGTCGCAACACCATCCGACCGACAGCAGACTCAGAGCACCAGCCCGACACCCAGATGGTGGGCTCAGAGTGTCGCCTGACATGGCCCAGTCAGATCGCCATCACGTCGCACGCACAGCCACACAACACAGCACGACAACGCCACACGCACAGCACGACCTGACGGACGGAACGTCACGTCCGCACCCGACACAAATGCCGAATTCAGAGCACCGCTGGCCACTCCCATGGTGGAGAGTCCCACTTTTTCACACCATCATGGTGATTGATGGTGTGATGGAGTGGTGTGATGACTGGGATTTCAGGGCGCGCCGACTACTAAGGTTTCTTTCCGCCCATGTGACAAAATGGGAGACACACTTGTTCAGAACAGGCGGCGCAGCACGCTCGCCTCGGCGCGGCCTGACGGCCGACCGGTCTCACCTGGAAGACGGCGTGCGAGCGCGAGCTCTCGGCGTTCATGTCGGTCGGGTGCTGCGTGCGGTTGCGGTTGCCCGCCTCCAGGATGGTCATCAGGTGGTCGGGCCCGTCGGGCCGGTGCTGCGAGAGGCCGGCGATGACCACCGCCCGCTGGCCGTCCTCGCGCACCTCCAGCGAGCCGCTCGGCGTCAGCAGGTCCGTCACCGTCTCGTTGTACACCTGCGGGCGAGCGGACGGCCTCAGCGTCTGGGTCGCTCACCAGTGTCCGTAGCCGCTCCAGCACAGCGTCTCAGGCAGCTTTTGAACGGATAATTTTTTGCATATTTGCCTTTGTCATACAGACACCAAACCCATGCGCCGAATGCACTCACATCTGGACAGCATATATGCATGCACCCATTATTTCCACTATTTCGGACGTCTTGATCTCCCGTGATCCAAATCATTTGAAGATCCTCTGCTCCAGCAACTACCATAGGGCAAATAATTTCCCATGGCTCACGCAAAAGCAAACATCGCTCAGAATCGACTCTGCAGCCGCGGCTGGCCCTGACACCTGACATTCAGCTCAGTCACCAGGCGGCGCTGGGCGGCGGCTGCTCACCTCCACGTAGGAGACGGACACCTCGCAGTGCTTATCAGACATGGCCTCGATCCTCGAGTAGAGCTCCATCACCGTCAGGAAGATGATGCCCGGCTCGCCGGCGGCGCCCAGCATCGTGTGCGTCTTGCCGGCGCCGGTCGAGCCGTATGCGAACACTGTCGACAGGCGAGCGTCACGGCACAGGCGGCTGGTGCCGACGCCGGCGGCCAGCCACGCATGACCACAGCCAGCGTTTAGGGCAGGCAGAGTAACGTTCAAGATCCATAGCAGAGCAAATTAATTGCACAAATATTGCACTTCACTTTGCAAAGCTACGCTTTTGTTTCACAGCACATTTTCGAAGTTTGACTGCTGAGATGGGCAAAAGGGCATTGAAGAGAAACAGCTTGATGAAGAGTCAGCCTAAGCCAAGTGCAAACATGTTTGCCGCCAAGCGCTGTACTGTCGCGGCAGTGCTGCAGCCCTGGGCCGCTGCGCCGGGTCGGCGACACACGCCAGCGCGACCCCACGCACCGGCACCCGCGGACACACAGCGGACAGCGCGACGGTCAGGCGGCACTACACACCACCCACCCCACCACCAGAGCACCGCCCTAACCGGCACAGCTGAAGCCCCCGATGACGGTGCGACGGCCGGGCGGCACCACCCACCACCCAACCCACCACCGCCCTAACCGGAACAGTTGAAGCCCTCGATGACGGTGTCGACGACATCCTTGGTAGTGGCTTCGAACAGCTGCTGGTTCGAGTGGTGCGGGTGGAAGACCCGATCGAACATGTACTGCACGTCCTTGCTGGCACGCTTGAGCAGGTCACGGCCGCGCTGGCGCACGCCCTGGAAGTAAAAGTCGTCCTCCTGCTGGCGCGGGTCGAAGATGAGCATGTGGTCGTCCAGCGGGCGCACCACATTCCTGTTGGAGACAGCGCCGCCGACAATGTTAAGAGGGCTCCAGGAAGCCTAGGAGATATTCCTTTTTGCTTGTGGAAGCATCATTTGGATAATATAAGTGCCTATTTGAATCTGATATGAACATGTGCATACAATTTTCATATTATGAAAACATGACACAAGCTTTAGGTCTGTGGTCATGGCACAATGGTCAGTGGAGTTGGCAATAAAACTAAAAATAATTGGGTGATATGTTCCAAAGGACAAGTGATCACAATATTGTATAAGGCACAGTCTCCATCAACAACCCTAATTTTTTGAACAATGAGAATTGAATTTTGTGGCATGCATTTGGCCACATTTTCTTTAATGGGCATTCCAGTGAGTGAATATGCTCCACTCTCAAACACGCCCCACTGCCAGACTTCCAAAAACCCTTATCGCGGCCACTCACTTGAAGTTTCCCTGGCGTTCTCGTTCGTTCTCGGGTCGCACACGCACCACCACGCGCACGTTGGAGGCCTGCGTCCCGCCGGCGGCGGCGGCGGCTGAGTGGCCCGGGGCCGAGGGGCGACGGCCCGGCCGCGGCGGCTCTGGCTGCGTCGCCGCCTTGAAGCCACTCCGGCGCCGCTGCGACCGGTCGGTCAGCGCCGACCGCTTAGTCGTCTTCGAGATCGTCATGGCGGATCGTCACATGTCGCTGCAGCAGATGGTCCGTCGGTCAGCTGGTGGCCATAGATGAGCCAGGAATTCTGAAGTCAAAGTGAAGGAAGTGGTGCAAAGGCCAGGAAGGTGTTCATGGTCACCCAGCAAGCTATAAAGCTTAACATCTGTGTTACATGATCTCCCCAAAAGAGAACATTTGCTGCAAGTATAATGCCCACATAATGTGCAGTTACAAGCTAAAGTTGGAGTGATTTCTGGTGCCCAATTATATGTTAAATATCTAAAGTGTTTTTAAATACCAAAATGGTAAAGTGGGGTAACACCTGCTCTCCTGACCACATATAATGTCATATATGCAATTTTGTGGTACCCTTGGTGCTCAAAAACTGAGTGAAAGACAAGATGTCTTAATGTGAAGCAGCTTTATATGAGGTATCTTGTTAATGATAGTATTGTGATCCATCCAAATGTGCACTACCAGGCTTTATGGCATTGCCTGCCACTGTGAGAGGCAAGCAATGCCACACAGCCTCAATAGCTGTGCAGTATAACACCCTATGGTAGAAAACAAAGGAGCGTGCCAACATACCATATGTCATACATGCATATATATATAATATATATATATATATATATATATATGTATATATATATATATATATATATATATAATTTTTTTGCATTCTCATGTGCTGAAAGCTGTGGTGCTCAAATACATCCAGGCAGCATTCCCCATGCCAAACACTAAAAAAAGCAATGTACGTCACAGGTATGTCATAACAGTTCCTATTGCTCATTTCACATGACACCATAAGGACCCATATAACCACACCATCCACATGTGTATTACCACTGATTAGATCAGATACTTGCATGTAAGATGACACTGAATGGCAAAAATTGCACATATATCTATTTCACTATTTGTTCACCTGATAGGATGGAAAAAATCTGAGGTAAAAAAACATACCTCTGGTGCTAGCAATGTAGTGTTTTAAGATGTTAATGTTAACCATCATTAGGGGAAAAAAATCCCCAGGTGCCTGCCTTTCCAGTCACTGTGAGAGGCATATAATGATGTAAAATCTTGACAGCTGGGTGTGTTGTAAGGCCCTATGACAACAACAAAGGACCATGCCAAGATTCAAGCTATTTGAGATAATGCTTTTAAAAAACCACAGGAATGCAGCAGACTACACTCACATAAAATTGCCACATCTTTCCCTAGCTGGCCCAAATTTCCATGCTGACTGCTATCAATTTCTTGGCAATACATAAATGGTGACAAAAATTGAGTGAGCTTGCGGTGAGCACAGTTCTGGACTGGAAATGCCAAAACACCACATACTGTGAAAAGGGAGTAAATATGGATTGAGATGGGAAAGCATAACTTGTTGACATTCAGGAGATATCGAAGACAGGCAACCGATACCAATGGATTAAACTATTTGCTGGCAACATGGAATCATAGACCAAAAAACAACTTATTCGTCTGCACTTTTACATTTAGACATGAGCACACGCATTTCTTAGAGGGATGAAGCTCACTGCTACCCACCACAAGGGCTGATCACAAAAGTGAGTCGGCAGATCACCCACCTAAATAACACCAATAACTTGCTAACTACTTACCAACAAGATTCAGTCGTAAGCAAAATGATAGCAAGACGAATGCAGGCGACGCACGTCAGCCTGACGCCCCGGACTTTTAAATCGGCCGTTGAGCTGCGACTTGTCAGTTTCAAAGTCAGACGCCAAACAGCCTACTGGCTTCTGATTGGTTACGGCTTTTGCGGCAGCAGCAGCAGAAAAAAACTTAAAAGTAAAGTATGTTTGTTTATTCTGTTGCATTTGCGATTGACTCTACTCGCGCACCAACAAACTGTATCCAATAAATAAATTGATGTATAGCTCCCATCTACATGCAGATTTAGTTATCAACCACAAAATTTGAATTCAGAATAAAACAACGATTGTTGTAAACCGAACTGCGTTGGTTAGTCCTTTGCAACAAAACATTCCGAAACAAGTGGAAAAACACCAGCGTTGTTGCAAACCAGCCAATATCAACTCTTAAACCTTTCTCTGAAGATATTCAGATTTCCCACTGCAAAAACAGGAGAACATTGTCTGAAAATGGAAATACCAAGTTGTTAATGTCGAATCGTGCACAAGAAACGATGAGTAACAGGACATGAGGCCTGGAATGCTATAAAGGGTCATTTTTGGGCTCTTAAGACTATGATTTTACCAAATGCATCGCAAATTGTAAAAAACCCTTTCAAAAATTTTGCATCGAAAAATTATATGAAAATCACGATGCCGCAACGAGAGCAGCGGTTTAGTGCCTTCTGATCTACGGCAACTAGACCTTGACCAACGTGTGTTGTGATCGTGAGAGATGCTGGGCCGGGTTTAATTAATTTTACGGTAGAGTTAATACCGTGAGTACTGCTCGTAACAATTTATTACAATCATGTCTGCGGAAGGCCCCCCGCCAAGTAAGGTCAAGAAGGTTGACGTCTCTGCGGATCCGGAGGATGGAAGAGACTATGATGTTGAGACGCAGATGGCTCTTGAAGAAATTGACGGTTGCCAAAACGAAATAGACGCGCTGAATGAGAAGGCCAGCGAGGAGATATTGAAGGTAGAACAGAAGTACAATAAACTAAGGAAGCCATTCTTTGAGAAGAGAAGTAATATCATCAAGAAAATTCCCAACTTTTGGGTGACTGCCGTATCCTTTGCGGAGCTGACCGGTTTCGTGCGCCATGATCGTCTGCCTGTAGTGAGGAGGAGTTCTGGAGCTTTCAAATACGCTGCCTACATGCAGTGCAGTCTTATATATGCACCTTAGCATCTCAGATAAAATGTTTGCTTTGGCTTTATTTGACACATTGCCACAGATATGTGCTGTTGTCAGCAGCACTTGGGATGCCATTTGCAATGTTCTGATCTAATGCAACTATGTGGAATTGCATAAGACATGTTTATTGCTGTCTATTTTGATTTGAAAACTTGCAGGACCTGGGTCCATCCATATTTGGGCATTTGTATAAAATGATATCAACCTAAATGATCAGAGCAAGTTGAGATGCAGAACTGACAGTGTAGCATAGATGACTGTGCTGTCCCATTGTTTAGCATTGTCTGTGCTATGTAACCTGAAAATGCCATATATTGCTGTGTGTCTGGATCCAAAGGGTGGATCTAGGATCTCTAAAGATTCCATGGTAATGGGGTCTTGAGGTTAAATCCTGGTGTTGATAAGGAGAAGGCTGCAACACCATCAGGGGGTCATTAGTATGTTTAATCTCAAATCTGGCTTGCTATACCTTAGGCTGGGCAAAAATGGATAGCAAGTGCTACTGCATAACATCTGAGTATAGTTGATTTTATTGTGTGCTGCAATATTCATCTTTGTGGTATTCTGGCCTTGACCCAGCTTTTCAGTTTGTCAATCATCCACAAGTCTCAGCTTTGCTGGATGAGGAAGAGGAAGAATGCCTCCACCACATGACGCAACTTGAGGTGGAGGAATTTGATGACATCAAATCTGGCTACAGAATCAAATTCCATTTCTCCAGCAATCCATACTTCTCAAACACTGTGCTTCAGAAGGAGTTTCATTTGGGGTCATCAGGTAATATTTGCATATGTATTTTATAGGTGTGTGAATATCTTGTGCCTACCTTTTTTGCCCTTATGGTATTTTATGCATATAAATTTGTCACTATGATAGTGCATTTGGTAAAAACACTGATGGCTTATTCAGCATTTTCAAATTAAGTGAATAGAGCTGAGTTAAAACATTCCCAAATATCAGTCTGCTATTTTGTCTGCACCATGGGGTCTCAGTGCTCTCAGTATGTGATAGAAACAAATCATGCACATGGTTCACATCTATAATTGGCAAATCATCATAATGTTGAAATGCTTTACTCTGTTTTTTTGTATGTACTTTCTTCAGTCATGCGCAAATAGAGCAAGGTCAGCTTGATCCTTTGCAGTGCTGTGCTGAGTGCAGCACTGTTTAAGATGTATGACAAATTGATACAATCATCTGTCAAAGCTTCTGTTCCCCATGCTGCTCTGTGATGGTGTTGATGAAGTCAGAGCAGAACAGGTCACTGGGCTATCAAGATACTGTATATGCCCTTGATGTCTGTGGGAATGTACCATTCGTTTTAAAAGATTGTCATGTCATTGGCATGTGCTGAAAGTTTTGCAAGGGTTGTTAATGTTGTGTATAGTTGGGGGCTCTGTGATGGACTAGGGATTTAACTACAGATGTGTCTTCACAGTTTGCATGTTTCAAGTTTCAACTCTTGGAGCGGTTGAGCTATTGTACTGCATAAATTTGTTCCTTTTGCATGTTTGTGTCCTCAATCTGTCACTTTGTTAACTGAATTTGTTAATTTTTATGTAGTGTTTGTAAGCATCCTGTCAAACCTAATATGTTTCTAAACTGTGTGCATTTTGTCCGCCAGATCCAAAGTCAGAGTCAACAAAAATTGACTGGAAGGACAAAATGAATCTGGCGCAGAATGCCAAGAGCCGAATTGAGAAGTTCAAGCAAGGCCGAAAAAGGGGCCTGGAAACAAAGTCATTCTTCCTGTGGTTTGAAGACCATGAGGATCCTTCCCAGGATGACATAGCTGAGGTTATCAAAGATGATATGTGGCCAAATCCTCTTCAGTACTTCTTGGTCCCAGACATTGAAGTTGAAAATGGTGTGGAGGAGGAGGAAGAGTAAGTCATTTTGGAATGCTTGGTTTGAATCATTTCAGTTGAAGGAACTTCATATGATCAGAAATTTTGATATTTTCCGGCTTGTGTGTTTTTTCAGTGCGTGAAGGTGGGGTTGTCAATGATGGTAACATTGCCAGTCAACTTCCAAATGAAGTTCCTGTTAGCATGCCTGCTACACTAAGCTACACAGTTCTCAATACACTTCCTTCTGAAATTTCATGTAGGGGTTTTTTAGTATTTTAAGTCAAGCAAAAAACCCTGTGCATAGTGGTGTGCCATTTGTTGTATTTCCTATCTTGAAATCATTAAATTTTTCCAGCGAGGATGTTGCAGAGAGTGTCGTAGTAGTAGAAGAAGAGGATGAAATCGAAGGAGAGGATGAAGAAGGTGAAGACGATGAAGGTAACTGATACATGTTTTGTTGTATTGTGTGTATTGTACTGCATTATGTGTATAATGCTGCAATTGGATAGCTTATGTTTGGTATTTTGCAGCATTTGAATGACTTGTCTATGTAGTGCAGTGCTGCATATCTGTTTGCATTTCATAGTGACAGCCATGTCACGTCTAATGCATTTACACTTCAGATTGTGAATCTCTTCTTCCCATGTATCATGCCATGGTGTTTGGTGCATATTTAGCACCGAGCACCGTGGTCGAGTGTAAGTGTTCGGCAGCACCCCGCGGGAGCGGGTCGTGCGCCAGCCCGACGCCTGGCGACGGGACGCGTCCGTGCTGATGCTGTCCCCATCCCCCACAGAGGGTCTGGAGGAGGAAGAGGACGACGGTGACGATGAGGACGCCGCTGGCGAGGACGAGTGAGCGGCGCGTCGCCGCTTCAGCGGTGCCCCCTGCGCCAATCCCGTGCGCCGCCGCCCGTTGTCAGGTCGCCTGCGGGGGTGCTCGCGGCCCGGAGCTGGCCCCAGAGACGGGGGCCGACGCCAGCGCAGCTGAGGTGCGACCGGCGGCGGCGCGCGTGCGACGCCAGGACATCTGTATATAGTCAGATCTCGTCATCTCCGGAGCGCGCAGCAGACTCTCGTGTTTCGGACCTTTCGGCGCTGCCGTTCGCGCGCGTGGTGGTTTTTTATGTGCATGTGCGTGTGTGTGGCGGGGTTCGCTGCTGCGCGGCCGTCGGTGGCGACATTGTGTGTGCGCGTCTGTGTGCGCCGCTGTCGGTGCGAGGGTATGACAGGATACATGCCCGACCGGCCTCCCACCGCCTGTCGATCCATTCCGGCCGTTATTTAACTGTAATACATCACTGGAAAGATAGCCGCCGCTGTCCACCACATGTACTATATTTCGGAATCCGACTCGCGGACGACACGCACAGACAGTAGAGATCGACACAGAGGAGCCGGCTCGGCATGTACAGACGACATACATGGGGCGAGGGCCGCGGGCGGGCGGCGCCCCTTCGGAGGCGCGCCGCCCGCGGCTGAGGAGCTGAGCGCTGGGGAGGGGAGAACGCTGCCGCCCAGCGCTCCAGCTGGTCCGGGCTCGCGCGAGAGAGGCTCCCCTCGCCCGACGGTCGGGGCTCGCCCGGGACGAGGCCTCCGCACGCGCTGGGCTGGGTTGGCGGCCGCAGATTGAGCTCGCGCTGGAGGGCCCTTCGCGCCGGCTGGGTCGGGGGCTCGCGCCAGAAGAGCCCTCCGCCATGGCCATGACCGGCGCGAGAGAACCTCTTCACGGCAGCTGGGCGGTCGCGGAAGGAAAGACACAGAACAGCCAACGGCGGAGTAAACAATGCGAGCACCGTGCTTCAGCGCAAGGCGACCTAACAGCTACACACGTACAAAGCATGCACCCGGCATCGGTAAAGCCACTCGCCGAACAATAAAAGGCGTGTCGTGTTCCGCGCCCGTTGGGTACCACGAGAGGTCAAGGTCGCAGGTGTTGGCAATTTTTCCCACGAGAAGCAGCGGGGACGCGCCAGGCTGCGCGGGGAGAGCGCTGCTGTGAGCGGCTCTTGGGTAGAGGTGATGATTCGGCTGGAAGCCTTCCATGGGGCGGCATGACGGGTCAGGTGTCTACGGTAAACCACATATTCCTCGGAAAGTACTGAAATATTATGAAGTGGAAACCACGAACCAACAGGAAAATGTTATTTGGGAGCGAGATTGATGGACAAAATGTAAAACGTTAAGCCTGAGCACCGCTGATCGTGCCATACACAAAATCAGCCGGAAAAAAGTGATATCAGCCTCCTGATCCACATGGTTGTAAAAGAGTTGTGGGCGGAACACAAAATCAAGGGTACCATGCATCCCGACGCCGCCCGGCCTTACGAATTCATAGCCTGTCAAAACGCTAAGGAAAGTAAGCCGCCTGATACAGTCCGGACACTTAATGTGATCAGGACATATCAGCATAATTATCTGCTGCCTTCGGATAGAGGAACATCAGGCGTGCACCAAAACAACACTTACTTGTTTCGTTGGGTGCAGCCATAGCTTATGCATCACAGAAATAAAGGGATTTATTGCCGACCGAATAACCATTTCCCTTCTCAACGAGGTATCAGTCCACCCCCATGTATGTGCCATCCAAAGTAAATGTGGATGGTGCCAGCGACAGACGTCCGTGCGTGGCCACCTACCACAGTAATCTCAACCATGAAAGACAAAAGACGATTCCGCATGATGTCGCCAGCAAACGTAAGTATAAAGAATGGCATGGCCTTAAACTGAAGGAAGCTGGCGATTGAGATTCTACCTCCAGTCCATGATGTCTGAAAAATCAGATTCACGTGTGTGACGAGCACGTTGGAAATTTTACTTTTCTATATTCTCCCTTTAAAAGCAAAGGAAATCGCACGATGTCAGTGTTGGGGACAGCCACCATAACCTATACGCTCTTGATATGTAGGGGTCCCGAAACGGTTCTCATATTCGTACTGCTTTTACATCGCCCCTGCTAATGACTTGTGTACACACTTTAATTTATCTGTTCATCATATGAGCACTTGACTGTTTTGCGGCAGGGGTTTGTGCTCGAAGGAATAGCAGATATTATTTTCGGGCGGGGAAACGTGCAAGATCGGCACTTTTCCAAGTCAGGCATACCCCTGACTTTCTCAGACATCACAGCATACTCTAATGCTGCTGTTGCCAAAACTAAACGCCCGCCACTCAAAGGTAGGCAAACTATTGAAAACGGGCAGCCGTAAAGTAATAGTTGCCGTCGATCAATCCCAGACCGATGGTCAACAGGCAAAGGGCATGTGTGCTTACGATCTCGTGGTAGCACTTGAACTTCCGAAAAGGATGCGTAGTCACCTTGCGATGGAGATCAAACCCTGAAGCCAGAGCCATATGTGCCATGAGTTCCCAAAGCATGCAGCTGTCGTGTGTTGCCATTGTACAAAACATCGCTCTGTTCCAATCTTTCTCAGAAATTCGGGTTGTAACCTCAGAGCACGATAATTCTCACCAGGTGGGTGTTGGCAGTTGATGGCATGGGAAGTTACAAGGTCATGAATGACGGCTTAGCTGGAACGGCTCCCTTATGATTGTACCAGGATCTTCGCAGAGCGTTACCACAAAACAGCGTTCAATGGCATTTTGTAACTAAGGCGCGAGGATAAGCAGACATCACGCTGTGCCCAAATGGTTCTACCAGACCTTCAAAATGAATGTAAAGCTGTTCGTATATCACGGAGTGCTGATTCGACCCATCACTGATGACGTGATCGGCATCGGAGGCACCAAGACCACGTGTCTTGCGATTCCGCCAGCCGTGCGGTGTGGTGGGGATAGTGCAACGGTTTCCTCGGGCCGCGAGCCGCGGCTGGCGGTCCGTTAATCGCGTGGGTACCGCATGCAACTGCTGGAATTCCGGCGGAGACTGGCCGAGCTAAGCCGCCGTCTTTCTCAATTTCGCTGACGCCTTGAGGGCACTGGGCTAGAAGGGAGTGTGGGCTGCATTGTTCTGCAGCCCTTTAGATATGCCATTAAACGGAGAGACAGTCGAATGGCTCAATGTGATACCATCGCATGAGAGGGGTACTAAAAATGAATGCAACTCTTCAGACAGGTGACTGGCATCGAAAGCTCCACCAAGGAACCAATTGCAAGTGGATATAAACTGCCTCCTTGTCCGTCAGTATCGTGTAAAAACTCCACAAAAAGAAGCGCCACTCCAGGAAACTGCCGTCCGAAACAAGGCGGGAACCTAGCGTGGTCACCAGCATGCGCGCAGTGGCACTTTTTCTAGGGGGCACGGCGCGGGCCCGTGCATTACATGTCGCCAAATATGCCGGCGAACGTTTTCCGCAGGTTGGTCATGGTGTCTTCCGTGTCGTCCTTGTCGCCCTGCGAGACGGAGCCCTGGCGGCCGAACAGGCCGGTGCGGCTGGCGTCCACGCTGGAGGTCTGCTGGATGGTGCGGCCGGCGCTGGGGCTGCTCACGCCGCTCACCGAGCTGCTGGCCTGCGACGCTGCCGGGCGCGGTCCGACTGGGGTCACTGGCTGACTGACGCGACAGGACCGGGGTCACGGGCTGGCGCGGCGGCCCGTAACCGGGGTCACGGACTGGCACAGGGGGACAGGTGTCACGGACTGGCGCAGGGAGACCAGGATCACAGACTGGCGCAGGGGGGCCGGGGTCACGGACTGGCGCAGGGAGACCAGGGTCACGGACTAGCGCAGAGGGACCAGGGTCACGGACTGGCGCAGGAGGACCAGGGTCACAGACTGGCGCAGAGGGACCGGGGTCACGGACTGGCGCAGGAGGACCAGGGTCACAGACTGGCGCAGGAGGACCAGGGTCACATACTGGCGTAGGGGGACCGGAGGCACGGACTGACGTGGCGGCACCGGGGTCACGGAATGGCGCAGGGGGACGGAGGCTGTGGACTGACAGGGAGCAGAGATCATGTACTGCCAGGTACGGCGGGACCGAGATCACGGACGGGTACAGCAGGTGGGGAGATGTAATATGACGGGTGCTGGGGACAGGGGGGGGGGGATTACCTGATGCACACGGGATATCATGAGCATCTGGCAGGCATTTACCAGTGACGAATCGTGAGTCACATTACAATGGTATGAAATAGCGGACTGGGGGTCATAAACTGCCGACGACGGACTGGGGGTCACAAACTGCCGACGCGTTGCAGCACGTGTGTCTATCCGCATCTCTTGTCAAATACTTCCTTCTTAAATTCCGAAGTCCCGGCTAGTGTTCAACCAACTTAATCCAGGATCACGAAAGTGATCATCCTGCAGTAATTTGCCGACAGCTCTATCGCTATTTGTTTTCGCGTCATCAACTACGAGTGGCATAGTGATGCCTCTCGGTCATGATTTGGGGCGGGTTTCAACAAGCCTGTGGACCCATGGCGCCCGTGGATCTGGCTAACTGGTACAGGCTGACACCAGGGCCGCTGGGACAGACAGCGCGACGGCGGCCGACGCGACGATGGGCTGGGGGGTGACAAACCGCCGGGAACTCTCTGGAAATGGGCGCCGCCGGCGACAGACGGAGGCGGTGTGCCGGGAACTTCCAACTAATGCCCTCGTCAGTGACGGCTACGACCGACGGAGGCTGATGGGCGCAGGCACGCGGCTGTCCGACTCAGTCCGACGGCACTGCCTGACACAGGTCAGACCGGACACTGGCGTCAGACGGCGGCACTGCCTGACGCAGATCAGACCGGACACTGGTGTCAGACGGCGGCACTGCCTGACACAGGTCAGACCGGGCACTGGTGTCAAACGGTGGCGCTGCCTGACACAGGCCAGACCAGGCATTGGTGTCAAACGGTGGCGCTGCCTGGCACAGGCCAGACCGGACATAAGTGTCAGGCGGCCGCACTGTCTGCCAGACCGGACACTGGTGTCAAACGGCGGAGCTGTCTGACACAGGCCAGACCGGGCACTGGTGTCAGACAACGGCGCTGCTTGACACAGACCAGACCAGGCACTGGAGTCAAACGGCGGCGCTGCCTGACACAGGCCAGACCGGACACTGGTGTCAGACGGTGGCGCTGCCTGACACAGGCCAGACAGGCACAGTGTCACAGCCACTGGTGTCAGATGCCGACACTACCTGACACAGGCCAGGCCGGGCACTGGTGTAAGACAGCAGCACTGCCTGATACAGGCCAGAACGGGACTGGTGCCAGCCGGCTGGGCTTCTTCGAGAAATCGAGATCTTCTCCCACCGTGCGGTCCGCCAGCAGTTTTCGGAAAGGACTGTTGCTATCGGTGCTTGGTTCCAGACGGAAAGATAACGGCCGTAAATCGATGAGAAGCCCGGGAAGCACTTAATGTTATTTCTGAATCGAATGCAACGAAATGTTGATTTCTTCGGCAGATGGTCACGGGTAATGAATGACAGGAAGTTTCCTCGGAACCGTTCTAGGACACGGGGCGGTAGGGTCGGTAGTGCCTGCGGCCATTGGAGGTCGATAGCTTCTATCGCTGCCAGGGAATTAAATAATTGCTTGGCCATCGTTGGTTAAAGCCAGGCCGTATCTTAGCATGCTAACTGGGAAGGAAATGCGTCCCCAGATGCTCAAAACGCCTTCTCAGCCGTATAAGTTTAGCTTAGCAGCGGAAAATTTACTTGAACACATGAATAACGTGGAAACTGTCCGTCTGCTGTAGTCTAGACTACGTAAGACTCCACATGAGTAAAATAGACAGCGGCACCCTATCCTTGCCAGTCTGGACACATTTGGTGCGGACCCATGCCGACTGGCTGGTAGGGGCGCATGCGGGGCAGGGGAGCAAAGGAGGCACTTACATCCAAACCTGAGTGCTGAGGGGACCTTCGGGCCCCTCTGGACCTGAACATCGAGTGCTCGATTCGAAGGGCTGAAGGGCTGACTAGACATGGTATTAAACGCCCCCCCCCCCCCCCCCAATGCTTATCAGAGTGCCCTTTTTGTCGATCAGGGGTCTCTCTGAGTCGATTAGGGTCTATATGTCGGTCAGGCACCACCGGTACCGAACAGTCCGCTCCGAGTCGGCCTGGGCCTGAGGACCCATTCCCCACACAGGGACAAGGCCGGGCCCGCTATTTACGCTGGCCGGGGCCCCTAAGTCGACGAGTGGCCCTGTGTTAGTCATGGGGCCCACAGCTCCAAACAGGGAACCTGCCTCGGCAAGGTGTTCACAGATGGCCAGGCGAACATTTGCTAAACAGGGGCAAGGACGGTGCAACTGAAAGCCAAAGGGTGTCTTGCGTTGGTCAGGGCTGTCTGGAATACAATAATGGCATTGTTTTCGCCGTACTGGGCTGCAGAAATGTCCGATGAACAATTACACAAGACAAACGCTCGTGGGCACGCCAGGCCTTTGATAGCCACGTTACGTTTGTCCAATCAGGCTCGACAAACGGCTGCAGGAAACGGAAGTCTGTAATGATCACGAGGCATGATGTCCCCAGGGTCCATGTTAAGCCGTGGGCCCGTCTGCCCTGCTCCCGGATCCGTCAGTGCCAGCTTTCAGCCCGGCCCTGTCAACTGAGTACCAATAGGGACATATCCCAGGGGGCCCAAATAGTCATGACCTCCGCCCAAGGTAGAAGAAAGCACGTAAGTTGTGCCGTTTACGTGATCTCAATGCAATTGACACACCAAATGTGCGTCTTGATCTCTCCAAACGGACTTTGGCTTCTCCCAAGACCCTTTACTGGATATGTCCCTGGGTACCAGAGAGGAGTCGATGAATTATAGCATGGGTATCCCGAGTCTTTCCCCTGGGCATCGGAGGTGGCCGATGAACAATCACACGGGAGAAAGGACCGTGCACACGACAGGCCTCCGACACTCATATTACAGTTGTTCAATCAAACCTGACAAACGACCACAGGTAATCACGGCCTACAATGATCATGTGATATGATGCCCTCCAATGTCCGGGTGAAATAAAAATAACAAGAGGTCCCGACCAAGCTGAGGAACGACTGCCGGCAGCCAGGGGCAGTGCCACCGGTTAGGTCGGGCACTCCGGCAGCTAGGGGTAGTGCCACCGGTTAGGTCGGGCACTCCGGCAGCTAGGGGCAGTGCCACCGGTTAGGTCGGGCACTCCGGCAGCTAGGGGCAGTGCCACCGGTTAGGTCGGCCACTCGCCCAACGTGTCGTCAGAAGGACGAACAAACATCCCGCCCGACCCGAAATTTCATAAAGATGCAGAAGTCACGTTGATATGTTTGGATATGTTTGTCTCATGTTTGTCCAAACATATCCATGAGTCTCATGGATTTGTTTGGTGAAAGTGGTCAGAATTTCCAGCCCTGATCAACAAAGTAATGCCGTTATGATCGAGAGAAGGCCCCATACATGAAAGTATCCGTCATGGTGCAGAGTGGTTGTACCGCAGGGAAACAGGGGGCCTTAATTATCAGCGAGAGTGAGCCTACGTAAGACAGAAATATTAGCCTTATTCCTCGGTGAAAAAAAAAAACAGGAAGATGGAAATACAGATGGGTTGATATTTCGACAACACGCCTTTATCGAAACAACAGAGGTGGTACTGTTCCGATAAAGGCATGTTCGAAGGGGCATCGCCATCCTTGGCATGAAACATCCCTTGCCCACGCCATCCCCATCCTCATTCAGGGGTAAGGGCATGCTTCTGCATCCTTAAAAATTGTTCGCCCCTTTGTGTTTCTGACATTGTTTCGATACAGGCATGTTGCCGAAATATCAACCCACCTATAACTCCATTCTGCTGGTTTTTTTTTCTCCGAGGAATGAGGCTATTGCTACCGTCTTATGTATGTGAATGTCATTCCTTGCAAATGCGTTGAACAGCTGAAAGTAAGCCTCATTAAAGGGAATGTTTCGCATTTGAAGATACTAAGGCAAACATCAGGTATGATGAAACAATCTCACTTCTGACTATTGGCGTACTTTAAAGGAGAAAACACTGCTCTAGATAACACAGTCTCTCCGTTCAGTAAATATGCTCCTCGATACGTCATTGCTCGATTACGTCATACCTTACACATACTTGACTGAGAGCCAGTTCAAGACCGTTGTATCTGGAAATCGTGCTCACGAACACCAGATGTGAGCGACTCGACCATTATATTTTTTGGTCCTGACCGTACAGCTCAGACCCTAGATGGCTTAGGTTTCGGCGCCGTGAACTGTACCGAATAATCTTCAAGACGGCTATTTCAGTTCAAAACACCATAGCAATGTGGAACAGTCCCTTTGGTAAGGTTTGCTGGCGTTATTGAGGCTGAAATCATAACTGACAGGGGTGGAGTTTCCTATTAAATGTGGGGCTTCACGCCCCTCCCCAAGCTTGAGAGGAAAGGGGTCAAATCCGGTTGAAACTTTTTTGAAACGTAGGTTCAGCCATTTTACCTCTCCAGTCCCTCTCCTCCAGCTTCTTTTTCGAAACAATATATCTGATCACCGATTTAGAACCGAGATACTGCAGGAGACATTGCCGGTGACTCAGGCCCTGCCAGGAGCGAGGTCCCAGCCCAATACAGCAGACGGACCACTCATCCAAGCCAGTGGGAGGGTTTCCAGACGCTCGTACAATGGGGGGCCCTGTTCAGAGGGAGAACTGATACTACTGCCTTCCAAAGAGAGTTTTGTCAGGAATGAGAGGACATCCCCATGTGTCAAGGATCTTGCGTGATGGAAAGTCAAGATGTGACAGCGGTCTCCTTGTCATGACCGACATACGATCCCGTCCTGTGCTGAGGAGATCTGGCATGGTCGAAGCCCATAGTTTGGCAGGGAGCGCATGCGGTCGTGACGAATATGGTCTTGTTTCGGTACGGCAATGCCAATATGATCGTGCTGACATGCTGGATGGATTTGTGGGACTGGCTGAGCGCTTGCATCGAGCGGGAATCGTTAATAAGACCTGACAATTGCTTGACAATGATTCCTTTTGTTGTCAATCCGTTCACAAACACGCTGGTTCATCTGTATTGAAGGGAGTGTTCTGCGGATTGGTTACAGTCATAATCAGGGCCGTAATAGTTTGGGACAAGTGCCTGCGGGCTTGCTTTGCTTAGCAACGGAGCGTCTATGGATGCACTGTGTTTGCAATATTTCGGAATACAGTCAACACTACTCATGAGATTCTCCGGCCGACTGAACCTCTGAACTCCGGCTACCAGCACGCCTAGCGGGAACCGGATGTGATGTGCTTACTACCAGGGCCGCTCAAATTTTGCTCCCTGATTTCCACTGCGGTTGAAACGTTGTTATGCATTCCTAAAGCTCAAGAAAGCCGCGCTTGCTACCTCCGTAAATGCCAGACCTCTTCAAGTTTGGAACTGAAACTTGTCAGTGCTACCGCAATGTTTCTGTGTTGTCAGTCTCTTGTGGGACTTCAAGATACAGTCCTCAACGCCAATGGCTGCTGTTTTGCCACAGCAATGAGCTTCGCTGAAAACTTACTGCATTTCGTGGCTCTCTCATCGTACTCGTAAATTGTTCTTCATTTGATGTGTGTGGTTTCTCAAGCATTTTCTCAAAGCGGGGAGTTCGAGTATCTCATTTCATAGTCACTATGGCTCAGCTATCTCGCTACAACGAACGAATGAATGAATGAGTAAATAAATGAATGGATGACGGCTGCCTGACGCCGGCAACATACGGAGCGTGCCCAAGTCGTCGTTTTATTGAAAATAGTGCCCACCAGTAATGAATTATGACTTAATGTCTGGTAAACACAGGCAATGAATAAGCGCATCCGATGATGTAAATTTCGCCGTGCTCCTGGTTACCGTTGCGGAAACAACGTGTCGTATCCGGCACCGTTTCGAAATGTCGACTAACCGGCTTGAGCTTCCGGCTTCCCCGACGGTTATTGGCGCAATCGTACTTCACACAAACCCGTATTAGGCACATAAGTTGACGACGGCACGTCGACCGACGTTTTTAAATTGGTTTCGCGTCTCTACGTGCTCTGACTGCCGAGGTATAGTGCAACACTTGAAAAAGAATAAAACGGGCAAATCCATCTTGGCGCTTCTGTGCACGTAACATGCGACACATGCTACTGCAAATCTGGCATCACGCGATTCTCCGTTCAATTAAGTGCCTAGGCGTGTTGATTTCTGGTCGCTCCGACCCCTGGCTGCCGAGATGTGGCCACGATTTCGAGCGGAATCTCGCCGACTTTGTCGTCGGTCGCATTTTCGACCCGCCCGTGCAAAACCACCGGACCTAAAACGGTCCTTCCGCCACGTGCCACGCACAAAGCCCGGACCGCAGCGGCTCGCGATCCACCCGAGGAAAGCGACCTCCTGGGCCCACTCGTCGTGTCCAGATGTCACCATTCAGCGCCCCCCCCCCCCCTGTCCAGATGTCACCATTCAGCGCCCCCCCCCCCCCCTGCCCCATTCGGCCCACGGACAGCGTTACGCAAAACGGGACAGGCCACACGCCCTTAGCAAATAGTATATAGGTGCTTCTTTTCCCTGAGAAGACACCTGAAACGATAACGGCTCGTCATCAATACTAGCCTGTTCACCACCACCTACCCACCCACCCCAAAAAGCTGTGGCAATTCGCCCTGCTCACGTGAACTGGTCCCACCACATCTCCAGGATGACGATCCTCCCAAATATATCCTGACGTGTCGTCTGATTATTTTTCAAGTTGCACTACAAACATACAGTCTTCGCTCTGGTAGTTGTTGAGGCATCCCATTAAATATTTTCGTCATCAGCGCGGTTTGATCCAGGGTCTTCCAATCAGCAACCTGCGATCTCGGGCTCCGGCGATCCCCGTGCTTACCCTGCGAGTCACGCCGCTTGCCCGGCGAGGGCGACTCGTTGGCCAGCGTGGAGCCGTTGGGCGCGGAGGTGGCCGGCGGCTCCTCGGGCCGGGGCGGCACGGGCGGCGGCGGTGGCGGGTGAGCGGGCTCGGGCGCCGTCGCGGCCGCCGGCGCCGGCGCCGGACCCGGAGCGCCGGCGGGCTTACAGCAGTGCTGCGGGGCACCGGGGTGACGTGTCAGACCAAGCGTGGCGAACGATGCGGCGCCCGGTAAGGCGAGATTACGAGCTCGTTCGTCCACAAGGATCGACACGCTGGTTACCGGCCCATCGGAAAGAAGTTGACACTAATTCGGGACGCGTCATGTACACGCCTGTGCGCAGAAGAGTCGCCGCGGCGCGGAAACACGAACAGAATGAAAACGTTCCTCAACATTTGCTCGCTCGTAAGGGAGTATAACTCCTTGAATAACGGGACGTTCTGCCTGATACAACACATCGGCCACAGTGAAATCATCGCCCCGCGGCGCCTTGAACGCGAACCCGCAGCGCAGCTCGCGCCGGCTGACCTGCATCTTGGCGCAGACGAGGTCGGCGATGTGACGGCGGTCCTCCTCCTGCGAGTCGCCCATCAGCGTCAGGGCCGAGTCGTTCACCTCGATGATGTGCTCGCGGCCGTCCTTGCCGACCACGGCCTCCAGGGCGCAGATGTCGAGGCCGCCAAACAGCTGGGCCACGGCGCTGATCCAGCTGCGGTGGCGCTCCGTCAGCGGCTGCTGCTCCAGCATCGCCGAGCCTACGTTCGTCTTCCAGTTGCCGCTGATTGACTTGCGCCTGCACGGAGAACGCGGCTCAGGAGACTGGCTCCGATGGCGCCCGTCGGGCTTCGGGCCGTGCTCGCGTTAGAGGAAATCAGGCGAATCAAAGCTGTGGATTCTCTCAGATGTTTAACTGACGTGGGGTCCGTCGCGCCAGAGCTGACAATATGTTGTCAGTCAGCCTTCGGACAACTCAAACACGACTGCCAAGTGCAAACATGGTGCATTGGGCGCGGTGTCAGGTCTATGGTTGCCTAGATCACCAATACGCCAGCTCCCCCAGAATGCGGATGGTCAGATGATTTTGAAATATAAAACCTTTTAAGACGTTGCTTCACCATTGACCATGCGGGCACTTGCATGAACGCCTTGTAGTTGTTGCCGATCTTCTGGATATGCAGGTCATATTTGGCGTCGATGAAAGGCTCGGTGGTGCAGTAGACGCCCGACACGCCCACCACGGACGCCATGTCCTGGAAGGCGTTCGGAGACTCGACGCGCACCTTCCCGGCGCCGTTGTGAGCGTGGCCGACCTTGAAGACCACCGGGAACTTGGTGTTTGACAACTGAAAACGATCAGAAACGACCGTTTCAACCTGGGGTCTTTTGCATGGGCTCCACGTCAATTAGTTTATAATGTCAAAGGCGATCATGATAGTTTGGTAACTGGCCGGAAAGTAGCTGCTCATTTTTACGAGGTAGTTAATATCACCATCCCGGACGATGCTCTGCACACAACATGAACACTGTGACAGGGGTGTAGTTCACAAAATAAGTTGGGGAAGGGGAGAGTGGAGCTGAGTAGTGAAAGCTAATGCAACCTTTCCACAAAATACGTCAAGGAACAGGTTTCTCCCTAGCTTTGGTCAACTTTTGTTCAAAGTGTGGGAGCTGCCACCCAAGTTAGGGGAGGAGGCTGAAGACCCTTTCCGCACTGAGAAGGAAACTAGACACCTATACCACAGGTAATCCCAAATCCGCAATTCAAGCCGCGCAACAGATGCAGGCATTTGCATTCATCTCCGGACCAAATGGCAGCAAATCGCCAAGTCGCATCTGATAGCTTCCGAGCAGCGTTTCTCGGCTGAGATCGACCTCTTTCCGCTGAGCACGCGCCGTTCCTGGACCCATGAGCTCGGCTCAGCCCTCATATGCAGCGGTCCTCTGCCTCGCAGCCGCCGGGAGGAGAGCCAGCGCGGCGGCGGTGCGGTGCGGGACACGGGCTGCCGGACGCTGCAGAGGTCACGGATCTGCTCCCGCTCCATCCAATCGCACACACAATCGGCCCCACCCCACGCGCGTCATCGACCACCCCCGACGGCGGCCGGCCATCCCGGGATAGAGCCGGGTAAGCTGCACCGCGTCGCGTCCATTAGCAGCCGCGCTGGCGGGGCCGGGCGGCCGGCTGCCTGGACGCAGGGCGGGCGGGACGGCCGGCGCGCTGCCCGGTGACATGTGGTGTGCTGCTGGTCGTGACAGCGAGCCATCTATAATAGGCGGCGCTGTCCTGCCGACGGCCTCCTGTCCCCACCGAGACAGGACGGCGTGACAAGCCATTATGCTTGGAGACATGTGAGCTGCAGGCCGTGGCATCGGGCCTCTTTCTAACATGTGAGCTACAGGCCGTGGCATCGGGCCTCTTTCTAACAGGCAACGCTGTCCTTCCGACGAAGGCTGCCCGTCTCGCGAAGACAGGGAAGGGTAAAGGTCCGTTGATATGTTATGTTGCATATGAATAGGGGGGTCGACGGAGCGTAGCCAAAGGGAGGGGAGGATGGACAACGTAAGCCTACACTCACGCGTGGTTGCAAATCATTGACCGTTTTTAATGTTTTTTTTTTGTACTTTAAAAGCCGGGCACCGTCGGTCCCTCCCATGCTCTCATGGCAAGCAGCACAGTCGTCTTTGTTTCGCACATGTCGCCAAACGGACGTTACCTTTCCGGGACGTATCTACGTTACGCTAACGTAGCGGATTCAGGGAGGGGGTCCTTCGCCCAGCGTAACCTGCGTGTAAAAAAAGGGTGAAGGGCAGGGGAGCTCTTTCTAAAATCGGCTTGGAAGGGGGCATAGCCGAAAAGTTTAACCAAAGCCTTCCCCAAACCTATTTTTTCCGGATTTAGGCCACATCAATTTGGGTCTTTGATGTTATAATGAAAGGTTTTTCATATTCTGTAGATTAAAAATTGTTTTCCTGCGAGGGAATTTCTTCCCATTTTAAGTAAATGTGGGCTGCCTTTTTGTAGCAAGCTTAGAAAGTGGTGTGATGAACAGGAAAGCATCTTGATAAATCTTCGTAATGGATCACTGATAACTAATTCTGTTGCTGTTTGCGTTGTATAACGAGCACAGCCACGATTATGCGACTAATACATTTCCGCTGTTGGGGAAAACATACGTTAGATTTTATCTGGGCCGCCCCGTACCTGACAAAGCTAAGCGCATTACCGTCAATGTTCTTGGCGTTATCATTTGAAAAAGTCAAACATTTGCAGGTCGGCCTCACAAATAAATGAATTAGCATGACAAAACACAATGTACCCGTCGGATAGTATTTGGCACTAATTTCACATGATTTTAAAAGTGATGTGTTTAGGCATCTGCTATTTAGAATGACAAAGGTTCATCTAATGGCTCTGCATTCGTTTGGCCTAGTATGCCCCCCTTGCTCATATACAATGAGGGGGCTCAGAGGAACATTGGGAGGCTCAAGCCAGCACCGGAAGGGGGGGGGGGGCTCAGCACCAAAAAGTATATAAAGTGGCACCCCTGGTGAGAAAGAAAATGACCAAAAATTTGTAACGTAATTTATGGATAGCCGTTAGCAAGCAGTGCGGGGGAGGTGGTGGTGCAGTGGTACTGATACTCGGCTCTGGTCATGTCGGTCTGGGCTTCGGGCCGCTGACACGCCACCACCGCATCCCAGGTGCCTGGCAGAGGTATCCGTCTCGAAATGTCCCGGACAGTCATGAAGACGTCAAGCCCCAGTGATTAGTTATTAACAAGCTGTGGTGATTGGCGACATGGCATGAGTGCTTTAAAAGAGGAACGTTGTCTTCCCGGCATCGGCTTCCTGCCCTACGGCAGCAGGACGGAGTAGCGAGCAATGATGCTCGGACACATGTCGTGTGCTGTTGGCGGTGGCAGCGGGGACCATAATACCCGGCGCTGTCCTCGTAATAACGGCTCCTGCCCCACCGAGGCACGACACATTACCGAGTCCCCGTCCCTTATCGCCCAGGTTCGCTGTGCCGTGAGCCTGTCCAGACCCCTGAACAGGACAATATGCAGCGGGGGTCCACTGCGTGGTGATTAGATGCACAGATGCGGAGCCAACGCTCATTAAAGGACAGCTCGTGCTTCGGCTGTGGCTCTGAAGCGAGAAACTTCCTCGAATGAATTATATTCATGCGTTGACAGCCTATGGAATCGCCAGGAGGGACCCCGCCCGACGAGCGCGCCGTCGCACGGGTGTGCACGGACGGGCACGTGACTCGTGAGTCAGAACGCCACAGCCGCGGGCCGCATCAGCCGGCCGAAGTCCGGCTGCTCACTGACTCACGACTCAAGCTCCGCCCATTGAGATGGCGTCACAGTTACACGCCGATGAAGAACGCCTTTGGTTCCGTGTATGGGCATAGGTAGAATCAGTTGATCAACCCGTGGAGACATGTAGCGCGCAGGAATAGCATACTTGAATATTACTCGACTAGCAATCATCCGTCCCTCTCATCCTCTTTCTTGCTTCATCCTATAACCTCTCGACGCCTGGCTTGTCTGTGGCAGGTTGCATGCGTCAATCACGAGTGGGCTGAGAGGTCCCCAGGAGGGGGACCCTGACCGGGCGCCCAGCGCACACTCTTAGGGGTCCCTGCACGTGTTAAGGCTCGGAGGTCTGCTCCCCAGGCGCATATAGTCCCGCTCCACCGCTATACATCCTCCTTCATCCCACAGCCCTGCAATGATCACCTATGGTCGAGAGGGCTCTAATCCAAACAGCAACCAATCGGTACGCAGTTAATGTCAAATGAACTGCAGCTAACCGCCTCATTTTGGATCACATTGCACGCATGAGATCGAGGTCTGCCTACTTGCCGGGCATACAAGACCGCGAACAGCGAATCGATCATTGCGATGTGTTGCTATTTCGGCACCGACGGCTTACTTGTGAGCAAACGCACTTACTTCATTCACCTTTCGGCCGAGTAGGGAGTGGGCTTCGGTTTTGACGTCATAAGTACGGAATGCGCTTACCCCGAAGCAATCAATGGGCTTCCACTGGCTAACAGAGAACGGACCACTGTGTTGGGCGAGTTCAGGCCAGATCACGTCGTCGTCTACGGCGATGAAGCAGGTTAACTCCAGTGAAGAGGCGGGGCGAGATCGGGCCGACCGGTCACAGCCCGCTGTTGGCTCCAGTAGAGAGGCGGGGCGAGGCTGGCCCGACCGGTCACAGCCCACTGTTGGCTCCAGTGAAGAGGCGGGGCGATGTCAGACCGACGGTCACGGCCCGCTGTTGGCTCCAGTGAAGAGGCGGGCGATGTCAGATCGACGGTCACAGCCCACTGTTGGCTCCAGTGAAGAGGCGGGGCGATGTCAGACCGACGGTCACGGCCCGCTGTTGACTCCAGTGAAGAGGCAGGGTGAAGTTGCTCCGACGGTCACGGCCCGCTGTTAGCTCCAGTGAAGAGGCGGGGCGATGTCAGACCGACGGTCACGGCCCGCTGTTGGCTCCAGTGAAGAGGCGGACGATGTCAGACCGACGGTCACGGCCCGCTGTTGGCTCCAGTGAAGAGGCGGGCGATGTCGGACAGACCGGTCACAGCCCGCTGGAATGTGGCATGTTGCAGAGCGAAACAGGAGATGAGGATGGTCGTGGAAGATGAGCGTTTGTTTTCTAGCACCAAATTATTTACCACTTTATTTAGGCCTTTATGTTGGTACGTACGTGGTACACCGCTGGCTGAGCGGTAAGACAAGGTCGCTACAGATAGTGTTCACACGACATCGTTCGCCCCATCAGAAAGCAGCTTTGGAAAGCTTTGGAAAGAAATCTGTCTGTTCACGTATTTTGGGGAGGTTGAACCATTTTTCACTGTCCGATCCCCACCCTTCCAACTCGTTTTATGAAGCTTCACCCCTGGCAACGACATTCTCAGCGCACAGAACCCCAATTTCCTGTGCTCCTCTCACGCCCACTCTCTCGTCCTGTAGAACGTCGCGTCCCTCCCAGCCCGAGGGACGCTGACTCCGTGAATAACCACCTGATTACCGGACAGTGCAGTGACTGGGCCTGCTCCCAGGCCGGGGCCTGCGACTGGGTAGCTTCACTGCACGGTGGAAACCGATTCAAACTCCCTGCCAACAGCCACAACGAAACGCTGCGAATTCGCTTCACGGAAGCTGCGTACGTTTTCCTCGCTATATGGACCTTTAACGCTGATGTATGAACGATATTGGGACCACTACCGGAGCATAAATGCCGGGCAGAAAACCACAGTCCAGCAGGGGCATGATCAGGCATCGCTGAATGACCCCCGACCGGAAAAGCTCTCAGAGCGGGGCGAAGCCGAACTTGATATGTGTCCCGCAACCCCGGTTTCCCTGAGTGCAGAGGCCCAATTACGAGCGGATAAACCTAGATCCGTACCGAATGACTTTGCTTTCCGTCTGGTTGAAGGCTTGCAAACCCTTTGTCTAAAGGTCGTTGTGCCCCCACTCAGCCTGGTGGTCCCTCGTCGCTGCTCTCCGGCCAACGCCGAAATGTCTTCAGACAAGACGCGCCCTGGTCGTTCACTCCAGCTGTTCAGTACTCGGGTATCTATACTCGGCCTACATGTACAGACTCTGTTCGATTTCCGGCCTCGGAATCAATAGGCCGGGTTTGGCACCCAACTGTCACCGGAGCACAGTGAGCACCAGCCAACCCCCGCACCCCAGCGCGCTTCCGTGTCGGCTCAGCGCCTGCTCCAGTGTGCTAACGCATCCCATCTGGCAGGTCTGTTCAGATATCGCAGCCGATTGCAGCCGATCGTCTGACTGTGGTTTTGAGCCGGGATTCGACGTTCGAATCTGCGTGTAATCAGCCTTGTGCCGTGCAGACTCCCATCTGGAAATCTCTCCACTCTCTTTTGCTCCATTTATGTCAAGAAACGTGATATAATTGAGGCTTGTTTTTTAGCTTCGCAAAATCTCATCATTTGTTACTCGGCTGCCTGAAACTAGGATGAAGCGCATGTGATGAGATGAAACGGCGCTCAGGCGGAAGCTTGTTCCGACTTTGGGCGCACCTGCGGCTGGCCGCCCTGGCTGATTAATGAGCTTGTTTTGATCATCACCAGCTGCGTGCGCCTCTGGACAATTCTCCAGTCAGACCGCCGAGCTTTTTTGGGCGTAGCCTCGCTGGCGCTACGCTCTCGTTCCAGGCGAGAGAGGTGTGTCCGGGGGCCCAGCCATAATATTTGCAGTCTGGTGATGGAGAGGGGGAGAGGGAGAGGGCAAACGTAAACATGGCAAGATTCGCTTTCGTTGTTTGTTCCATAATATTTTAATAGCTGAAACAGTTAGCTCATTAAGTTTCCGTGGAGCTAACGCCCTGTCACGTCGTTGTCGGCCCAGTGTTAAAAGTGACCACCCAGACACCAAGTGTAACAAAACGACCAGCCAGACTGTCACGCCATGTCATTGGTGCCACGATTTGGCATGCCATGGCAAGGTCCGAACTGCACACCGTGGTGCATCCTCGCTGGCCGTCCTGGAGCCCACTCTTTGAGGCAGCGCCTGCGGAGGGGGAGGGGTAGGAGAGAAGGGGAGGGGACTGCGTCAGGGGTCGACCGCTGCTGTGTACTCAACGGTGTGGACGCCGCCTACTCACCATGCCTTCGTGATTTGGGAAGTATGCCTGCTATGATGAGGGGGTAGCAGAGAAGGGGAGGGGGCGACGTCAAGTGTCGACCGCTGCTGCGTACTCAACGGCGTGGACGCCGCCTACTCACCATGTCTTTGTGATTTGGGAAGTAAGCCTGATCAATGAGTGGGAACGCCTCCTTGCCGAGCCTCCTCTGCAGCTGCAGTAGGTGGGCAAACACCCACGGCTTGTCCTGCCGAACCGGACGGCTGTCAGCCACAACCGTGACGTCACACGCAGTCAGTCAAACCAACTCAATGGCGATGGTCAGCCACAGCTGTGACGTCACACGCTGTCAGTCCAAACCGACGCTTTAGCGACGGCCAGCCACAGCTGTGGCGTCACACGCAGCCAATTAATCTGCTCTCCGACACCCGCCAGTCGCAACACGGCTAATTACCGCAGACGCACACATGCACCAGGCTTTTTACGGCTTATGCACAGGAAACCACGAAACGGGTCTTTCCATTGTGGGACATCGCTTGCCTAAGGCCTAAGGCCTAATTGCTTACGATCTAAAGCTTCATATTTCCTGTAGCTTGCTTTTCACATGGAGAGAAAGCTCGGCGTGAAGACGTACCAGCAGCCTGGGAAGGAACTACTAGCAAGGAACGATATAAGTTTTATCCGGGCGGGGGAGGTAATTTTCGAATGCCCGAGTGGCTAGCGCGTCTGACTCCCACGGGCGGGCCCCGGTTCGAATCCCGGTTGCGCCATAGTCCTTGAGCGCCCATATCGCGAATGCTCAATAAAATGGGTGTGATGACATGCGTCGCGTTCCATAAAAATTGAAGTTTCATTGGAAGTGGATTGGGAATGCATTATAATACTTACGAATGGATATGGGTGCCAACATTGTCATGTACGCATAAAACAATGTGCACACAGCTATGCGCATGTATGCACAAAATTATATGTACATGTGCACATAGCTGTATGCATGTGTGCACATTTATGTGGCTATATGCATAGCATGTGCACGTAATTATATGCATGCGCACGAAAAAACTAGCGGTGCGTAGACCTGTACAACTGAAATCAAACGCCTCGTTGCCTGTAAGCGTGAAGCAAACTAACTACTTTCAGCTTTACCTGGAAGTTGTAGATTGATTGAAGGCTGTTGATTGATGGGATATCCCCGTATTTGAAGCCCAGCAGCAGATTCTTGTGGTCCTCGGAAGCGTCGCGCAAGTTTTGCCGGACCAATACGAAGTGTGGCTTGAAAGATCTGCCAACAACAGGCAGTGCTGTGGTGCGTCGTATCTATAGCGCATCGAGCTACACAGCATTATCCATTCGCAGATGTGTTGCATAAATCTATAGTGCATTATACCTGTTGGTCTCGGCCCAATCCTACGCGCTCAACCAAACGTTCCCCTGGGTAACCGCGAGCTGTGCTCAGCGGGGGCTTCCGGTCCGAAGTTGGCCGGCCGATCCGTATCCTGTCGGATCCCTGGTGTTCAACATTTCCTCGTTTTGATACTCATCAATGTTGACATTTTTATTTGTTCCTCATTTCCTTCCGCTCGCTCGCTTTCGTGTTCTTTTCTCTCCAACTTTTCCATTACGTGTACTAACCTGCAGCCGGTTGCTTGCTTTAAACATGTCCGCGTTAGAATGGCATGTAAGCTATTAGCCATGATATCCATCACGACACTTTTACGTCGCGGCCTCGTGGCGTGCCGTAGCGTGCCGGCCACACTGAAAGCCTTCGTGCAAATGTCGGATTAGCCCTACTGGCACCGTTTGCCACGGACGGTAATGCCGTTTACACCTCACTGACCACGGTCAAATGACGGCTGGCAATTACCTGAAGTCATTCACTGTAACTACGGTGGCGGATTAGATGTCTGCAAACGTAAGCTCCAGTCCTACAAATAATTGTTTGGATGGCGTTGGGCGATATGCTACGAGCAACTGTGTCATACACTACACATAAGCCAGCGATCATTGCTGCCTGCGATAGTTGATTTTATCGGCATGCTAAGGTGTCGCCACTGAACTATCAACACGAACCAGATTGTTATTTTCAGTTGTCTTAATTTCGACGCTCTCGTGAACAACTCCGTACACAATACACGTCGATAATCAGGTGTGGTCAATGCTCCGCACGGTGATGCGAGAGGGCATCGTTCTGATTTGGAATAAGTTTTGAATTAAGTGAAATTTCCGGGACTGTAAGAACACAACCAAGTGCGAATTAACGTAATATTAGGTGCCGATTACTTTGCAAATAGCATATAAGACAGTTCTCCACCTATAATTACACAATTTGGAACTGTCAATCTTAAAAGAGGCAGATGTTGATCCGTCCTGAATATTGGAGGGTCATTGGGCCCCTGAAGTTGCGATTTTACGCTGAGCGTGAAATGCTCACCAGCTCAACACCGGAGGTCAGTTGGCTGAGAGCAGACATGTGTCCGATCCCTCAAAAGGATTCAAGATCCAGGAGATCATTCGACAGAGATCATACAAAACCCTAGATTTTGCAGGATCCTAAGACAATATTATAGAGGTATCCCAGATCCCAGAAGGTTCTTCAGCAAAACTTTAACAGGGGTCCAAGTTCCCGGAAGATCCCTTTGATGCAATTTCAAGAAGTTCATAGATCCCAGAAAATCTTGCGACGGTTTAAGAAAGGAACGATTCCGCAATATGAAGATACTAGATAAAAGGAGATCTTTCGCTATCTTTCTGTCACTGCAATTTTTCAATTGAATAACCAATAGCATCCTGGCACAGTTTTTGAGGAGCAGTTTATGCATCGTCATGGATGAAGAATGTGGTACGATTGGTGTGGCGGTGGCAATACTAAGCTCCAAAGGGAAATCAACCGCTGAAAGTAAAAAGAAAAACTCGCACTGAGGTGCAGGTCGTAAAATTGTACCCATCATGCAATTTGCTACATGACATCGCACTTACTCAATGTACGATTTTACACGCGTCTACGCCGCATTTTTTTGTGCCAACATTTATGCGAGCACATGCCAGTGTATGCAATAATTTGATAACGTGGTGAGAGCACGTGCCCCCGAGACCACTATTTAAGTGATAACGCAGTTTTCCGTGAGGAAGTGCGGAATAGAGCGCGCGGAGTGTATACTTCCCGAGCTTTGCTGTTCTACAGGCGGGCTGGGTCAGCGACTGGTGACACTCACCCAGCACGCCACGGTGGGTGATACGCGATACAAACATCCCACCGTAGTAATTTTGCACGGGGAGGAGGAGGCAGGGGGGACCACTTACCTGACGACCCGGGTGCCTCCGCGGTAGACGACCATGGTGACGTGGGTGCCGGCCTCGGTGCTGCCGCTGACCGAGATCTCGCCGAACTCGGCCTGCTCCACACGGATGTCGTAGTCGCCATGGATCTGGCGCCCCTTGAAGTACTTCGACCTGCGGCGAGATGTCGGCCGACCCCGTCAGCTTCGACAGTCGCCCGTTCCCCCCGCTCGCGCGGCTGACGCCGATCGGTCGGCGGCATGTTCCCTTCCTTGTGAAGCGTCGCGAAGACCGCTGAAGTGATCGCCTGGATTCGGTATTTTCAGCGGCTATTTTTAGGTGCGCTTCGTTGCACGAAGACTGTCAAATATTTACTTTCAAGCTTATCATTAACGAGAGCCCGATCATGTCACTCTCTGCAGCGCCACCTCTGTTTGGTAGTGAAACAGTTCCTATACACGTCTTCATAACAAAGACGTGGAGGCAAAATAGGTGTATTTGGGTGCGGATTGAGAAGTGTCTTGTTTTTCTGGTATTGGGGTCTTTGGTGTGCAGGGCCTCAAAATAACGCGGAACGAAGGTCCCGAATGATAATTTTTACATTCAGATCACTTCGCAAAGGATCTTCGTTTGTTCATTTGCTTAATCGAGTTGCCTTGAATACAGTTCAAATTTACAAACAAAGAGATGCTTGGAAAAGGAAGGAAAGAAACGTATAAAAAAGTAAATAAGTACGCATTCGGTTTAGTGGGAGCGAAAAATTTAGTCAATACGTAAATCGATTGGCAACTCTCGCGCCATAGCTGCTCTTTGAAGGGAATGTTTCACATTTGAAGATATTGAGGTAGGCATCATATACGATGAATCAAGCTCACTTATAACCATCGGTATGCTTTTCATGTGGGAAAGACTGCTATAGACAGCACAATGCTCCGTCAAGTGAATATGTTCCTCAATGCGGCATTGTTTGGTTACGTCATCGTACATTGCACAACATTGATTAAGACCCCATTGGCGGTCGTTATATCTGGAAATCGCGCTCACAAACGCCCGATATGAACGCCTCGCCAATGATCTTTTCTAGCCTTGATCAACGCACGGCGCATGGAATATCAGAGTTTGAATGACGTTATTACGACGTCATGAATGCCAAGGTGATTTAGAAATACTTTCCCTGATGTGCTTTCCCCATTCTTGGGGGCGTGTAGCTTAGAAACTAAAGGAGCTTGGGTTTTAGGAAGGGCAGGATTTTGAACAGTACCGAAAGGTTTTCATGATGGGTATTTCGGTTCAAAATCCCGTATTAATGTGGAACATTTCTTTTAAACTATTTGTTGCGTCGGTAACAAATATCTGACTGTTCTGGTGTTCAGTGGTTCTCAAACTAATCCTCATTTCGCAACATGCAAACAATACAAACTGTTATTTGATAGGCAACCTATGCCTGATACCTTGACATATCTACACAGACACGAAATATCCACAAAAAAAACATTTGCTCCGCGATCAAGGTACTGCAGTGCAAACCCTTGAACAATAACATCACCCCGTTGCAGCGAAACAGCCGTCGACAGCTGCTGATGCTCACCAGTCCGTGTTCTGGTCGTCTATGACCAGCAGTGTGAAGCAGCGGTCCTTGTTGAATGTCTGGCGCAAGGGTCCGTCCGGCCTGCCAGTTATCAAGGTCAGGTCATCCAGGTCGGGGTGACCTCGGGCTCACGGATGCGGCGAGCTAATGCTAGCGAGTTCACGAGCGCGGCGAGCTAATATTAGCGAGCTGACGAGAACGCGGCGGGACCCAACTTAGGCAAATGGCACCAGCCTGTGAGCCCGTTCAAATGGCGAATTGAGAAGTTAGTCGAAGTGCTGACGTCAGCGGCTGCTGGCGCGCTGATAACATGGGTCTCTGTCTCGTCGCCAGCATGCGGAGCCGATCAAGAAGAGTCTGTTATTTCTTTGGACGTGTCAAACACTCGCAGCAGAGAGTTGTTCATGTAACATATATACCAACCCATCAAACACGAGGGCGCCGGCGCGGCAGTTTTGGGGGCTCGGAAACAAAGCAAGATAACCATTTCATAGCACTGGGAAAATGCAAAAGAAAAACATGGCACCTCGTCATTAACAATGGCGCTGGAGGCATGGGGACTCGCAAGAGCTGGGGCTGGGTGGGTCAGGAATTTTTTACTGCGTTTTTCACCTCCAGTTCCTGTGCCTCTGTCCGGTGCTGTCCCCACAGACATGGACAGATCGGAATGCGGGGTGGGGGATGGAATTTGCAACCGCACGCGTACGGGCTCTTAGTATGCTCGGCCTGATTTGGTGTAAATTAACCGGCATCATAGTTCACTGCCTGCTTAACTACAGCAATTCATAGAAATTTGAATTAATTTACATCATCAAAATAGTGTTTTGCTGGACGTAACTAATGGCGTCAACAGTATCAATAATCGAGATGGGTGGTCTTCTAAGTATCGTAACCGAATCAGCCGATCAGCGAGGCACTGTATCGCGATGCTTTTATTGACAATCAGGGAGACTTCCCGTTTGCAATGTTTCACAAACGTATTCGAGCCAAACCAAGCTTAAGTTTGCAAACACAATAAACAAATCCCTGACGTCCTTCCGCCCTGGTGATTCTGACGTTTCTCTAGAACGAGAGCCGTCGAATCATATTTTCGTTGCGTCCGGCTCTTCCGCAAAATCACAGACCAGTTTTGTGACAAAAATGGTAAAAGCCTTCCTTTGCCATTGGCTACCGTGTCGCAGCAATCTGCGGGAGTGCAGCTAAAATGCAGCCCACCTCATAAAGAAACGGCAAGAGAGCTCCTCTGGGACTGACTTCTGCCTCGCTTGGGCAGTCTGCTTTTACAAACGTCAAGCATGTGCAGTACGCAACACGCCCTTTGACTTGCTATGCATATTTTGTAAAGCTATATCTTTTCGCGCTGCCGCAGGTTCCAACAACCTCTGCTATAGACTGTTGGTCACGCGCTTGTCAGCTTCGATGATGCAGATTTTTTGTAGATGGAACGCCTTTGATAAAAGCATCTCGCAATAATTCCAGAAGAATCGGTTCGAGCTTCATAGTACCCAATACCAGAAATTGGTAGAGATCGGCGTTCAGAAACGGAGCGGCGTCCTGACTGGCTGTCCGCCGATCTCAGGTGATTGCGAGAACGAATTGGTCCCGCTTTTTCCTCCGAGGTGTACCGCGATTGGCGTAACGATTTCAAATACACTATATGGGTTGATGGGACAGGGGATGACTACCCATCAGAGCGTAGGTCATGCAGGGCATGACTGCACATACAGGAACCATAGTCAAACTGCTCTTACATTGCTCTGTTGATAATGTACGTGCTGTTCTAAAAAGAAACAAATAATTGCAGGCTCTACTTTATTTCACAGGGACACAACGGACAAAAAACATCCATTTGACCCTGCAGTGTGGAGCGCGCGCATGGTTACCATTGACGATAAACTTTTGACAGACAGCCTTTAAACCTGAAGTAGTCAGCAATCACACATGCGACGCCCCTAATCAGGAGGATCACAACGAACGGCCGATATGGAACCAAGATCAACTTGCGAGCCAACTTTTAATGCGAGTTAGATCGCAGGTAGAGTAAGCCTTGACGTGAACTAACAGGATATTGTTTGGCCTCAGCGGTTCGGCCAGGCCAGTCCTATTTTTGTCAGCTCAAGTGATCAATAAAGTACGTACAAGCTGAAGACCACGGATGGGAACCAGGTCCAGGGTCCGACGAACGGACGTCAAAGCCGACCTGGTCACGCGCTCTCGGGCACAGTTCACGCACCCGCGTCACAGTTCACGCACCCGCGTCACAGTTCACGCATCTGCTCGGCTTGCGTCGTTTTAGGGCATGTTGTCAGATTTCAAAAACAGGTGAAGGTGAAGGTGAAGACGGAAACGACCTGTGTAGTGTAGACGAATGTACCGGGTACAACCCATGAGGATATATCGGACTTGTCCGACGCAAGGGCGCACCAGTTATCCATTGAAAAACGGCCAACGTCGCATTTTCTGAAACCTGACATGGAATACAAACTGAGGCATAAGCTGAGAGAGTTTCAGCCACGAAATTTGCAGAGGCGTCCAGAGCAGTTCATTTCGACCGATGTTCACCAAATGTATCTGCGCTTTTTGCACTGCTACGATCACTGTAAGATAAAATATAAATTTCCAAAAGGTCGCTTTGGTTACCTGCAACTGCAAGTCCTTGCCAGGCTCAGTTAACCAAATTACCATTTTACAAATTTATGCGTGAACGATAAATATCGATCCTCTGTCCACTAAACTCAAGAAAACGGGATATTCCAACTATTCGTAAAGCATCCCATTGCATTCACATTCAGCATTCCATTCGTAAAGCCTATTTGTATGGATTCCCAAAGTCGACGGGCTCCATTCATGAGATAGGTATTGGTACCACGGACTTGACGACAGCACTCACATCTGTGTTGTCGTCAAGCTGTCTGTTGGTACCTCGCTCGTCCCACGACACAATAGGCGTTATCTGGCGAAGTACGAATATGTCATGCGGTGAGGTAAGGCGAGTTACCAGAGGTGAAACCCGCCGCTCACCTGGTGACGCCCGAGGTGAGACCCGCCTCTCACCTGGTGACGCCCGAGGTGAGACCCGCCGCTCACCTGGTGACACCCGAGGTGAGACTCTGTACGCGCTGCAGGAAAGACTCGCGTGTCTTGCTGGGGCTGCTGGGCGCCGACGTGGTGCGCCCGCCTGGCCGGAACGTGCCGAAGCTGAACCCAGAGCCCTCCTGCTGCGGCTGCTGGTGCTGCTGATGCTGCGGGGGCGGCCCCTGCTGCTGATGGTGCTGCTGCTGCTGGGGCGCGGGCCCGGAGGAGGTGGGCGCCGCGGCCGGCTGGCCCACCACGTCCGCCTGCCGCTGGCGCACCTCGTCACCATCCTCGTATTCTGAGGCGAGGTCACCTGAGCTGAACCTGCCGGCCATGCCCCGAGGTCAGAGGTTTAAGCAGTGACTCCGCAACCCTGCGCACGCACGCGCATAGTTTAAGAACAGTGTCTTGCGGTTATTTCAAGACGCGTCTAAATGCTTTGAGCATCCCAAGGTGTTCCAGATCGAAAGGTGCATATCTGTCCCACGGCCCCATCGGTGTGTGCAATTGACAGCCACCTTTGTGTTTCGTGCCCCCCCCCCCCCCTCTTTCTGCATACAGCTGATATGCTGATGGACACTGTCCACTGAAGAGATGCCACTAAAATGAAACACTTGGAACTGAAAGAGTGAGTCTTCTCCTCCCTCTTCTCACTTCTTAAACGAATCCCCGGCTTTCTGAAATGGTTTTCCTGGTTCCGTACGCTATCGCGTGCTACGCCCACAGCGTGTCAACGCACGGTAACAGAGAGTTTGTCCTCAAAAGCAATGAACAGCGGCGTCCTCGTAACGCACAGGGACTCATCTTATTTGACCAAAGGTAGCCACGCAAATGAAATGATTTACTGATATTAATCATTGGTAGATATTGGCATTCGCATTCCAGATTGGAATGACCGCAGCTGCACCTCACCGATGTCATACTGTTGCACGACAGTCAAAATTTGTATCCAACCTAAAAGCAGCACAATAATTTTGCGGTTTACGCACATGTTATGAAGCGCCAATCAAAACGCCAGCGACTTATTCGCATCGCAGGTCGCAGTGACTGCTATGGTCTGCAAGCGCGACGTGTTAAAACATTTCAAAGCAATCGGAAGCACATGGAGCTGACACCACGCATTCTTAAGGTATTCGATTGATCTACTTTACAGGCCTGCGTCCACCTCGTTCAGATTATTTGAACACTTTACGCAGAAGCCGGACGTCAGCGTACAGGGCAAGATATGCGGCGCAGGTTCATTAAAGCAAATACTGAGAGACCCTAGCTCATTGTAAAATCCATACAAGTGACGTAATTAAAGTAAATTGAGTTAATCAAAATTCATCTGTTTTGCATAAAAGTATGGAGCTGAAGCGGCTTGAGCCTGAAATGAAAAAATCGGCTGAACGGTTGAACGATTTTGAACTAAACTATAGCAAGGATAAGAAATCGACAATCTCGGTCGCCTCGTCTGTAGTTCGTGATTGTTTTAGTCGTAACTTCAGCCGTTTAGTGACATCCACCGCTGAAAAAACTAACACTCTCAAGTAAGATGATTCGATTGGGATATTCACCATCTCTTGTCTAAGAGGATACTTTTCGAGGGCTTATTTGGACCACATGTGAAATGAGACGGTGTGGTATTTACTTGACGTGTCCGTGGGGAAATGCCAGCCTTTGTTGCACTCACAAGTCAAAATGCGTCGCACAATCTGCGTTAAAGTTGTAGACTAGCTGAGAGACCTCCTGGAGTGTTCTAAAGACCTTTTGAAGCGTGTTTTGTATGCATTAAATCACGGGAGCAGTGCCCCGTAAACACGTTCATTCGGTCACAACGTGGCTCACCTTCTTTTCAAATTGGAGACATTAGCAGTGAAGGACTGCTTGAAGCTCAGAAAGGAAGCAATTTTGGCTGGTTTTTGGTTACCTCCGCTGCAAGAGAGACGCCGACGTGGAGCCGGATCTGGCTGAAAATAGAGCTTTCGTCAGACGGGAGTATGGGTCAACAACGCGACGCACGCGGTGTTTTCCGACGGCCAAATCCAATAGGCGACTGGAATGGTTAATAAAGGCGTGACAGCAAACCACAAGCATCGCAAAATGACCTCACGTTATCATCTGAACATGTTATATTGGTGAAAAACCCGCGAAGAGATCTGACACGTTATCACGAATTCAGATAGAGTGTTAAACGCTCTAAATGTATATCTCTGCTATTCTGCCGGTGTTGAAGCTGACAAGCTGCGCCGCAGGTTTCTCCTCGTTAAAAAAAATCCGTAAAACTTTGTCGCGGGCTCCATCCCCTTAACCTACAACAACCGACCGCCGTTAAAATACACAAACGAATAACTTCGTTAACAGTTTTGACGACGTTGCATAGTGATGCGTTTCGTCTCATACTTCGCACAGAAAATATTGCGTGGATTTGTGATACGAATGCAACGCAGTGCACAGAGCGAGCGCTATAACAAGTCATGTAGATCTGATTTACAGCAGCGCGTGAAAAGGGACCGGCTTATATTCGCGACGTGACGAAAAGGAAAAACGGAGAGCGTAAAAATGACTCCCATCGCTTTAAAAACAGGGCCGGGAAGTGTTTAGAATGCGGCAGATTAAGCTGAACATGTCTGATCTCGTGACTGGATGACGGATGAGACTAGATGGTGGATGTACGCGCACGGTTTCTGACTGCTCTGATAGAAATATATTGCACCCGATCGCGTCATCTGCAGTTCACCGCTAGCTGTTAACGAGACAGCAGGCGATTAACATAGACGACCAGAGCGGGCCTTCTCCATACAACTGGTAGCAATTTGCCGAGTCCCGCACTCTCATTTATGTCCAGCTCGTCGGCCGGCAGCTGCCATCGCCACCCGGCTGGGCTGTTTTTCGGCCAGTGGGCGGTGTGGGGCCGCTCTGCTCGCGCGCTCGACATAAGTGCCGCAATATCCAGAAATGGACCGGCCAATGTTTTGCGGCACGCTCAGGATTGGACGGGGCCGTACAAACTCAGGATTGGACGGGGCCGTACAAACGTGCAGCGCCTGACGGTTTGGCTGGGCTCAGCCGTATACCATTTACAGAGAGAGGTGGTGTTAGCCATGCCGCCATTGGCAGACGTGCAGTTTTCTGAAGCTCTTTACGCGGGACGGAGACCGCATTTGCGTCAAAGATGAAAGCTTTTCAGTTCCCAATTTCCCATCCCGAAATCAGCTCAGTTCACTTCTCAACGATTTCTTTGGCGATTTCAGTTTTATGGCGGATGGCGAAATAGAGCAATAAGAGCGGCTAAAGACCGCCCCCTCCCCCCCAAAAAAACATATAAGGCTCATCCATGTCTATTGGTGACTACGCCCCTAAAAATGTGTCCATCAATCCTTTGTTTTGTTTGAGGTTTTTACTTAGTCGGGCAATGACGAATTCGTAGCTTGAGCGTGGATCAAGAGATCAAATCATGTATGCCCGCTTGTACCACGGCATGTGAACCGATTTGTGCGGCGGCCAGTGATCACAGCATGCAACATGCGCTGTGTGAGCCCATGCCTGCCGATGTGCAGACGCGGGTTCATAGCAGCTGATAGTCCCATCACACTAAACAATTATCAGCAGTAAGTGAAGACTAAGGGGCTGTTCATACAATATGCTACGCATGGAGTAAGGGGAGGAGGTGGGGCGCACGGTGGAGATTAAGTGAAGTGTGACAAGGGGAAGGTGTTTTGATCAGCGTATCTTTAAGCTCAACTGTAGTTGCGCGCGATGCGGACTTTTTAAAAGACGTCTTAGCAACGTAACCGGGGAAGAGGGGGGGGGGGGGGAATCTTCTCAGCAGATCCAGCGCGTAAACGAGGATAGAGGAGAGGGTGGAGAAATGCGTAACATAATATTTACGTAAGGGACAGGGACAGCGGACTTTTGGACAGAGGCAGGAGACAAGTTACCTCCTCTCAACATCGGAGAGCTTAGCATGAGCCCTACGGTATTGCATTGAATGAAATGACTCCAAACAGGCATAAGTCTTCCCCTCCCAAGCTGACGAGTTCCCATCGCCACCGAGCGAGTCTGGCCCCAACTCCTCTTCATAACTCACCGCCAGACTGCGCCATGGTGCTCAGATGAGCTAACTCAGGCGCGCGACCAGGCGTCTCGCTCAGGCTGAGCATCAGGTGCGACAGTGATGGATGGCAGTTAACGATCAGCGGCGAGTGCGACATGATGGGCAGGTCGACTCATTTTGGTTCCCGATTGGAGGTTACCTTTTTCGTTAAGTTCGGATGTGACTCCACGTTTATTACAAGAGCAACTGCAGTACACTTTATCATACAAGCAAAGGAAATGCCACAGGACCAGGAGTTTAACTTTAAAGCCAAAAACCAGCGCAGGAGCCATGGTGGAGTAAGTGGCAGTGAGAGGCCAGCTGCCTTTTCCAGCCACTGGACCCTTTTCTGTGAAACTTTGTAGCTCGACCCGACCACGTCGCGCGAAATGCGATAAAGCAGGGTATCCAGTCTCTCTTAACCTCCAGCGAGTCTGCGTGATAATCGTAATTTTGTAACTGTTGACAACGTAATTGTCAGCGCCATGAAATCAGAACGGGCATTATGGTGCACCAATCATGATCCGAGTCAGAGGAGGCAGAGGGCGTGTCAAGTGGTCGATAGACAATACACATCTGACATCAACAACGAACGGCCGCCTCACAGCGCGGCCACGGCAGTCTTACAGGCACACGTCCAGCAGCACCAACCAGGCTCGGGCTATCCAGCTAGCCGAGATGTCAACGGCAGCAACTGTTGCTACACGCAAACGCCCTGACCGGCCCTCAGCTCTGCCCATGGAGAAAGCCTCGAATGTCCCCACCCTCGCCGGTCTCTCTCTGACCTGGCGCCGTGACCTGAGGTCGGGCGGACGGGCAGGCGGGCGGGCGAGCGGGCGGCGCCAGCAGTGGCGGCGGGAGGCGGGCCGGGCACTCCGAGTACTCACCGGTACGAGGTGCACGCCCGGCACCGGCAACCACGGCGAGATCAATAGGGCGGAGCGGCGCCGGGCCCGCCATCTAGCGGCCGGAGTGGCGGCGGTGCAAATCGATGGCCGGCGCCGCCCGCGCCGTCTCCCCCGCAGCCAATCAATCGCGGGGCGGCAACAGGCCGCCGCGGAGTCGGGACTGTGTCAGCGGGAGCCGGGACTGGGTCAGACGGGAGCCGGGGCTGGGTCAGACGGGAGCCGGGACTGGGTCAGACGGAAGCCGAGACCGGGTCAGATGGGGGCCGGGGCTGGGTCAGACGGGAGCCGGGGCTGGGTCAGACGGGGGCCGGGGCTGGGTCAGACGGAAGCCGAGACCGGGTCAGACGGGGGCCGGGGCTGGGTCAGACGGGAGCCGGGGCTGGGTCAGACGGGAGCCGAGACCGGGTCAGACGGGGGCCGGGGCTGGGTCAGACGGGAGGCGGGGCTGGGCCAGGCGGGATCCGGGGCTGGGTCAGACGGGGGCCGGGGCTGGGTCAGACGGAAGCCGAGACCGGGTCAGACGGGAGCCGGGACTTGGTCAGACGAGAGCCGGGGCTGGGTCAGACGGGAGCCGAGACCGGGTCAGACGGGGGCCGGGGCTGGGTCAGACGGGAGCCGGGACTGGGTCAGACGGAAGCCGAGACCGGGTCAGACGGGGGCCGGGGCTGGGTCAGACGGGAGGCGGGGCTGGATCAGCAGAGCCGCGACTGGGTCAGCGTGAGCCAGGGCTGGGTCAGACGGGAGCCGAGACTGGGTCGGACGGGAGCCGGGGCTGGATCAGCAGAGCCGCGACTGGGTCAGCGTGAGCAGGGGCTGGGCCAGACGGGAGCTGGGACTGCGTCAGATGGGAGCCGAGACTCGGACATAAGGATTGAACGCGGGTCAGACGGAAGCTTGACCGGGGCAAACGGGGGCCTGGCCGGGAACCAGGGAGCTGACCAAGTTCAGACGTTCGGGGATGGTTCTGGTCGGCAGACGGGAGCTGGTCTGCGTCAGACGGGAGCTGTTCTAGATCAGCAGACGGGAGCTGGTCTTGGGCTGACGAGGATTAGACCATGCTCAGACGGAGACGCCAGCCAGACGCGAGATAGACCAGGCTCAAACGGATGGACGACAGCTGAACCAGAGTCAGGCGCAGCCCGAACTGGGTCGAACGGGAGCCTGGCCCAGCACTGCCAGATGGGTGCTGGATAAGATCAGACGGGAGCTGGATCAATTCAGACGGGAGCTGGATCGAATCCGACGGGAGCTGGATCAAGTCAGACGGTCAGACGGGAGCAAGATCAATTCGGATGGGAGCTGGGTCGTTTAGACGAGAGCTGTATGGGGTCAGACGGGAGCTGGATCGAGTCAGGTAGGAGAGAACAGTCCAATGCATATATCTTTCTGAAATCAGGTACGCGTCATTCGCGAATCAGCAACCTTCATATGTACACATATTTGCAAATGCTGTGGTTATTAGTGGCACAGTGTCGCACGCCGACTGTGACTGGAGTTGAAGCTGGCGTTCGCAGCTGCCGGACCGCCACCGGTATCGACCACGCATCAACGCAGCTCGTAGCCAGCAAGTGTCTTAAGCACTGGGAGTTAGGAACATTCGGTAAGCGATCTGGCTGCGCTGTTTGGCCGGCCTTTGTGTACGATTGCATGTGCTGCGTCACGAAAAGCCTAAACATCGGTGGACATTTCGCGCTAATCGATGTTCCGCTCTTTGATTGCATGAACATTAGATGTGAGTCCTTCATAATGCATGAATAGCCGTGCGTGCTTCGGGGGCGCTGGCCAAAAACAACAGCGGCGCGGTCATGGCTCATTGATGGCTATCGAGCAGCAGACCGGCGGCTGGGCGCCAGCCTGCCGCTGGCCGCTGGGCTTCCTCCTGCTACCAGCCACAGGCAAATGCTCGTAAAAGGCGCGCAGACGAAGTCGAGCGGGATTTATCGGGCGGGGAGTCTTTGGCAGGCCCGGGGAGTTATGGGCCAAGCTGAAGCGATTGCGACCGCAGGCAAGATTTCATTTTTAGGTTTCCGGGGCGAGAGAAAATCGTAAAAATCCTCTCGGAAATCAGCCTTCACGCGCAAGTGATGCAGAGCAACGGACAGAATTACTACGAGTGAGATGGCAACCTCAGGTAATCGCAGTGTAACAATATGATGTGAAGTGAATGCTGTGCCGCCAAGTATGCGTCTTTCCAGCGGTGTTCCCACTCCATCGCATCTGTGCGCCGGGACAGGTGGAGCCATCACGTTTCTCTCGGTGGAACCTGGCTGGGTTGAAGACCCCTGCACCACACAACCTATGCACTATGGTGTCGGCCCGACCCGGGACAGATGGAGCCATCGCGTTTCTCTCGGTGGAACCTGGCTGGGTTGAAGACCCCTCCACCGCACGACCTGTGCACTATGGTGGCGGCCCGATCCGGGACAGGAGGTGGACAGTCCAAAGTCCAACACTTGGCCCCTTACCGACTGGGAGCCCCATATGCGTGTACTCGTGCACCCTCCGCCTTCCCTCCGCGGAGCGTTTGTGAGGTGAAGAGCAGCATGGATACTGGATGAAGTATTCAGTGACGGCTCGCGCGGTGGCGAGGCAAGCAACGCTCTTTCAATGCGTCGAGTTTCGGTTTCTAACTTCTGCTGTATAACTTCTCATATAGTGTAAGAGTGATGTAAAGGGGATTCGGGTGACTTTTTTAGGCATCTGCCAAATACAGCCGTGGTTTGCATAGGCGGATCCTGAGGGGGGGGGGGGGGGCACGGGGCTATGACCCCCAAAACCCCTGAGAGTATGTTTTGGCCCCCCAAAAGATTCCCAGAACTTCATAAAAGTTTCGTCTATTTACCGTCTGCTTTAACTTTGACTGTTTTAGCTGTTTTGTTTTAACTTCTGTTTAAGATTCAAAAGCATTTCGGTGTTTTTTCGGTTTTGAATGGTGTCCCTACTAGGTATTCGCGAGAGGCACCATGCACTGGACCTCGGATCCCACACCAGCCAGCTGGCGACGAACGGTTGCCCCCCCCCCCAAAAAAAACTCCAGCTAGATCCGCCGCTGGTCGTTTGATAACCTTATTTGACAATGATCTAGCTGATGAACGCACATGAATGCCCACGATTGTACACGATCCCATGAATATTTCGAACTGGTTTTGACTGGCGAGATGCAGCTTTGCTTTAGCTCTCTGGTTTAGCGAGAGCATTCTCCCGCGAGTAGTTAATGAGAGCGTACTTGATTGGTGAGTTTGGCTAAATCGCATCTCCACTAGTAAATTTTTTAGAGTTGAAGGCTGGCAGCCGATCCAGTCGGGCAAAGGCCGATTCCCGTACGCGGATCATGACCGGACTGTTGAGCTTGCCGTGTGATGTCCGGTCCCGCCCCGCGACAGATGAACCCCTCCCCAGTCACGTGGCCACCGTGGACAGCGCGACTGCCCCGAGCGGCTTCCGGCCGGCGACCTTGCTACCCCACCAAGGTGAATCTCGTTCTAGGAAAACACCTGCCACCCGACCACAGTCAGTACCCGCCCCCCCCCCCCCTCTGTCATGAGTGCGCAGACCTTGGCGGAGGTACGGAGCGATTCGGGGACTCCGTCTTCTCATGCGCGCACATACTTTCACGAAATATTTCACAGTGTTCCAAGTGTCCATATGCCCAATCGACTCTACACGTACGTTTAATTACGGCGGACATGGCGTAGGGACGGGGCAGCCGAGGGCTGTGGCCACGTGACAGTCCATGTGGTTTGACATAAGCCGTTCGGTCATGGCTAACGACGATGCTCATGAGAAGTACGTGGGCCCTCAGTTTTCTAAACGTTTTGGACACCTTGGCAACCTTGACACTGGGCGGATGAAAGAAGGAAGTACCGTCGTTTTGGACACCTTGGCAACCTTGACATTGAGCGGATGAAAGAAGAAAGTGCCAAGGTGTCGTTTTGGACACCTTGCCAACCTTGACGTTGAGCGGATGAAAGAAGGAAGTGGCGTAAGTATCAAGAGATGTCTCCACTGGCTGCGTATAAACAGCTGACAAACCTTAAGCGCAATCATTTCGAGCTCCGGAAATGGCTTTCCGACTTTCGAACGCAGTTTCAGTGGCCCTTGATCTCCCTAATTAACACTGTTTGACAATTAGTGTCGGCCGACCGAGCGCGAGCGCCGCGTCACCACAGGGCCTGTGTTCGCCAGCGGGCGAGCTCTGGAGCGGACCGTCTGGACTGAAGGCCGGGCCGTCACCGGGGCCGCCCGCCGCCGCAGCACCACTTTCTCCCGGCCGCCAGTGCCAGCCGCCTGCTGTCGGGCACAACATGGCCGCCCCGGCTGCGCGCTAGACCGATTCGGACGCGAAGCATATGGGAGAGCGCGCGCGCCGCCCAACATGAAGCTCGGGGAGTGTGTGCTGTGTGTGATTCTGCTACTGGCTTGCCTGAGTGTTGTTCACGGTGAGTGGCGCGCTGATCTAGGTGTTCCTCCGGTACACAGCTGATCCTCGTGCGTGAAGACTGCGTCTGGTTTTGGCTGACCTAGTGCGAAACCGCGCATGAAGAGCGGCTACGCCTCAGTGTTCCTCGGGCTAGATACATTGCCGAAACGCGCGGTGATATGGATGGTGACCCTGAGCCGTGCCGCGGGCTGGTGGTGGCCCTGGACGGGGAATGAGAGCGCGCGAGGACTTCTCGCCTGGTCCGGCTCGAGGTCCCCGGATGAGTCACGTCCCCCGCCCTGACCGGCCGGCCGGTCTCCCCTGTACCAGGCCGCGATCGGCCCAGTTATCGGCGCGTTCCAGCCGTCGGTAACCTTCGCCCATCCTGCTGGAGCCACGGAAGGGCTACATTGCTCGCAAAGGGCGAAGGGCGACATTTACCGAAGGTCCCGAGATGCCATGAACATACCTGTTCTTACATTAAGGTCGAAATTTCGGAATTGTCTGATGTTTTATCGGACAAATGATTTATCGCAGCCTCAACTGCTTCACACTTTTACTTAACCCTACGAAACATTCAAGAATGTTACTCGCATTCATTTGTGGATCAGCAAAAACTGTTTTCCCATCTCTTCGCAGGGAAACGAGTCGTTTCTAACGTTTCTTTTACACAAGCGGACGCTCCAATTGGGAAGGTTTCCCCAGTTTTCAATGCCAATCAGCATATGTGCTCGTCGATGGCTAGGGACAAAAAGTGAAACACGTAGGTGGAGATGATAACAGACGTGCTTTGACCTTACTTAATTACTTTCTCTGATCTTAACGACCTACCACTATGATTTATTACTATTACGATCTAAGAGTCCTTGCGTACGTGCCATTGCCCAAACCACAATCAGCCAGATTTCGCATTCAGCAATTAACTCATTCCCACACGGAGTAGATCCACACATGGTACCGCACTCTGTCACCCGTTCACCCGGAGGTCAGGGGGGGGGGGCAGACGGCGGCCGCCGCGGAACGCCACCCGCTGTTCGAGGTCGGGAAGAGCTCACTGTCCGCCTGATCCGCACCGGTGCGGTGCCCCTCCTTTCCTCGGGAAGCCATGTTCCGTGAGAGCACAATGTATCCGAATGCTCGCATGCACCCAGAGCTGAGGCTGAGCGTGATCGGTCAGTGCCAAACAGATCGGGGACTGGGAGGCGCATATTGTCACCACGTGCTAGAAGAACTTTCGGGAAAAATGTGGGATGCAAATGGAGTGGGGATGCAACTACACCGTCAATGAGCAGGCAAGCTTCACCCACGTCACGCGACTGGCGGAAACAGTACCCGACTCGGGAGAAAGAACAGCACCCGACTCAGAGTTTTCGACTTTTCGGAAAGTGAAGCCCGTGGCGCCATGGCGGCGGCGGCTGCAGAGGCACGCGGAGCTGACGTGATGGAGCCGCTGAGGCTCTCGACTTACTGGAACAATCCCTCACGAATAGGCCTATGGCTATCAGGAGCACGTCCGGGAGCTAAGCGAATCCCATGGAGTCCGAAGACATACCCGACTGACTAATGAGTTAGCCGTCAGCCTCAGGATCCCTCGTTTCGGAGAACGACTTAGGCCAGGGATTAATGTTAACGGCTACTCACTTGGTCACCGCCATGTTGATGACAGGTGTGCATTGGAAAGACTGGTAAGTGATGCCTATATTGAAGCTTACCGGTTGATTCATATACCATTGTTAATCTCTTCTTTGCCACAATGCTTAGCAAGCACGTGATTTCAAGGCAGCCATTTTCAAATGTCCGCCACGCATACGCAATCTCGGCTAGCAACGTACTGCTGCTAATTTGTCCCAGTTTCCACCAAAACACAGCTCGGCGGCCCTCTTCCCCGCCCGCCGCCAGCTGACTGCCCACGGTGTGATCAGCTGACGCCGCTGCCGCCAGGTGTGACGCAGCGTCGCTGCTTCCGGTGCCGCTCGCGCGGCTCGCGCGGCGACTGCAGGGACGCATTCGCGCACAACACCACCGCCCTGCTGGCCGGGAAGGTGCGCAGCGTGAGCGTTGAGCCGTGCGCCTCCGGCTGGTGCGGCAAGATCATCGAGGGCGACAAGGGCGTCAACGGTGAGTGACGCGCGACGGGGCTGCGAACGATGGGGTGCAAGCCGCGCGGTGTCTGGCGCTGCTGACGGAGGGGTGCACCTCTCCGGTGGGGCAGCGGACGGTGGGGCGCCGGCCGCACGGCGTCCGGCGCTGCTGACGGAGGGGCATCCCTCCCCGGCGGGGTAGCAGACGGTGGTGGTGGGGGGGGGGGGGGGGAGAGATACGGACGTGCGCCGGAAGAAGTCTGGTGGTTTTGGAGAAAGTCACAAAGTAGGGCTGCGCCTCATTAAATTTAGCTGAGGCCTCAAAGGTGTGTTATTAAACATAGTTGTTTTTTTTTTGCTTTTTCAGCGTTGAGGAGCGAATCCGTAGACCATGTGAGCCTTATTGTTAACTAACGGGAAAATTGTAGATTCAGTTGCCGGCCCGTGCGGCTACGCTTTTCATGGACTTATATATTTGCAGCCACGGAAGATTTTAGTCACAGGTGGCACAGTTGCTTGAACATTGTACTGCAATATTTTCCAGGCCCTAAAATGCAGGCCGTGGGATCAATGTCGGATCTTCCCAATATTAAAACACCGCCCCAAAATAGCCTAACCACTTGATAAGCATGGTAAACATGACATTTTCAGCTCTAAGTCGAATTTTGAGTCCATAACACAAGTAAAGATCGCGGGTCGGAAACATGCCCAGAATTCAGCAAGTATGCACCCCAGTGACATGAGACTGATACCTACCGAATAAGGAACGGACAATCGTACCGAAAAACGTGCGGGTCACTGTGGGGAGACATTGCACGGAATCGTGCTGGAACCATGGACACACCTGTTTTCTGGGCTCTGTAAGGATTAGTGTGAGATGTCGGCGACCAGAGTAGATTGAGACGCGAAACTAGACGTACGATGGTGGCGAAAGCAACGTGTACAAATCATTAAGCGACTTCAAGACTATCCAACGCGTGGATCTGCAAGATGTAGGCCGATAGCCAGTTGCATCTTTTCCCAAGCCGGCCCCCAATATAACGCATTGTGGCCTCAACCGACGCAGAAAGTGTTGTGAATAATACTGAGGCACATAACACGGCTCATCATGATCCACATCCATCAGCGTGTTTCCAGCACTATCTCAACTGTCGCCACGCGCGTAACTTCTAAAAATTCGTCCATCTCGTCGACTAGTGACAGTGGCATGCATTGTGACGAGTATTGTGACAAGCGACTGATATTGTGACAGGCGTTAGCACGCTCAGATCTAACTAACATCCCAGTAATATAATTTATTAAATTGCGCGCAGACGTTAAATAACAGCACAGTTCCACCGGGTAAGCACATGGCAGAAGGATACTCCGATGCATTGATAAGCCAAAGTATTATCTCCATGGTAATACAAATTACCCCTGTTAGCACCTCCACACCGTAAAAGGCATCTGTTTGTGCGAAAAGGCAAAAGGCATCTGATGGCTTAACGCATTTGGTCGGCTCACATTCGGGGTGTAACATTTAAAGGGCTGGGGAACAAACGTGGCCAGGAGACAGAGCTGCAGCAAAGTCATTCCACAGAAAAGCGGAACTCTACAAGTGGCCATACGCCGTCCGGTGGTTTTGACAAGTGGTCACACCATCCGGTGCTATTGACAAATTGGTAGACGTTCAGTCATGCGGTTGGTTAAACCGACAGGAGTTAGCGCTCGTCTCGTTCATCGTTGCTGACGATGGGGGGAGGATATCACAGCTTAAACATCATGTCGTACTGTTGACAGAGCCGCGCGCCGCCGTGTGTTACCGGCATAGGTCAAGGTCAACACGGCAAACGGTGGTAATGACAGAGATCAGATGCCGCCTTCGCCACTGACGACTGGTCTTATACTGTCCGGCGTCACTGGCGCACGGTGATGCATCGCCTGGGGGTGCATGCCAGCCTGAGCCGCCCCGTTCTTGTCCGGCAGACTACGACACGGCCACGGAGCGAATGTGCATGCAGCGCCCGCCGTCCGACCTGCAGGAGCGCTGTGACGAGACCATGTACGGCCAGTACCGCAAGGTCCACCTCTGTATGTGCTACGGCGACCTCTGCAACGGCGCCAGCCGGCCGTTGGCGGCGGCCGCCGCCGCCGCCGCCATGCTCGCCTGGGCGGCGGCCGCCCTGCTCAGATGACCGGTTTCCCGTCGCCCCGTGCCTGCCGCAGTCTGCTGAGACGGAGCTGGCCTCCGACGCTCCGGACGGGCGCTGGTGCGCTGCACGTGGTTTGGGGTAGCGCCGCGTGAGGGGTGCCGGCACGAACAGGCAGTGGATGACCTCAGTCTTTGGTGATACAGCAGTGGCACTCGGTGAGTGTGGGCACACACGCCTGTGGCGGTACCTTGCGGACCGGAATCGAACTGCAAGCGCTGCGATGCTGATGGAGCCGTCCCGTTGAGGACATATGAATGGGGCGCGTAAAAGACATTACGCGCCACGACACTGTTCAGAATATGGACATGCATGGTATGCGCTTCTCGTGTTGAAATGAGATGCTCGTTTGATGTGGTTGAAAATATATTTTTGTTTGCCAGAAGTGACACGATGTCGGCTGCTTGTGGGGTGTCACGAATTTACATGTACGGACAAATAATCCAGCTCAGCATTGTAACGAGGATTAGGTCGAAGCGCAAGGATCGAATGCAAATTTTTGATTCCATCCTATACCAAAATTTCCAAGTTTCCCGTGATTTATTCAGTGTATTGACACATTCCATGGAATACATAACTTGCACATATAGATAATTATGGACATCCCTGTTAACGAGTGTGTCTGACAAAGGCTAGTTCATTCAGACTCCAGAGAGAGTTTTGCTGTTTTTCCTAATACCAAAATGTTCCATTTGAAATGTTGCTTTAGTTTTAATTCATGCAGTGGAACTGATTTTTTATAAGAGAACGCTGTGATCAGTATTTGATTTGGCATTACGAACCAAGTTCACCGCGCTGCGGCTTGAATATTGTTTAGCGAGTTTCGTGATGAATTTGGAGATGCAGAAAATCATATGAGATTTTTGCGCACGTTATTTTGATAAAAATGCAGTATTGAAATTACTACGATTCACCGGCTCTCCATGGAAAAATGAGTGCATAGAAATAGATGTCATAAGTACCTCCAGGCTAGCAATGGTAGGCAGTTACCACAAAATATTTGGAGATTTGCTTTGACATTTTTGAAACATCTGTTCCGTCCAATTCGGGAGGCAGCAGGTCAGCTTCGAAACCGACTGGCTACCGGGCACCACACTGCAGTCTCTCCTCTCTCTTCTCCTCTCTCTCTCTCTCTCGTCTCTCATCTCTCTCTCTCCCTCTCCCTCTCTCTCTCTCTCCTCTCTCCTCTCTCTCTCTCTCTCTCTCTCTCATCCTCTCATCTCTCTCTCTCTCTCTC